TACACCCATCAACCTACTCAGTACGAGATATTATTCATATACATTCTATACATTCTGTCATCCTGTACATTCTAATTTCTATATATACTATATATACTGATTATATATATACACACCATGCCACTCGTAATGCAATCTACCCGTAATATACCATATATACTCGAGATACATACATATACACCACACTACCATACCAAACCAAACCGAGCAATCTATATATCCATCTACCAATCCATCTCATAATTTTAAATTGAATGCAAGCAAGCAAGCTCCTAAACGCCATGCCATGCCATACCATACCAGACCATACCATACGATGAAATGCCATTCTCCAACCAGCCTTTCCAGATTCAAAGTCCAAAGATCTGAAGACTTGATGTTTTGCTCATGTTCCCTTTTATATCTATATCCATCACCTATGAACATCCTCACCTCACCACACCTCACCTCACCTCACCTCAACTCACAACCCCAACCAAACCACCCCCACCACACCCAAAACCACCAACCCCGCACTCCTCCCCACGCCCTCCAACCTCCCCGCCATACTAGCCACCAACCCACAACACTCCCTCTCATACGTAACATTATTCCACTTCGCCGCCACCTCAAACACACTCCCCTTACCCACATTATAAAAATCCACATTAAGGAATTTAGGCGGAAACCCCCAGTCTTGCACACACTGCGCTGCATTTTCTCCCAGAGACCCATAACCCGTGACATTATTCGTCACATTTAGAAGATTCTGATACGGCACCAGAAGCGAGATGCCTAGGAGATTAATATCGTAATTTAGATTATGGTTCGTCATATACAAGTGGCTCTTTGCATCCACATCGCTGAGATTAGGTGGGCGTTGCGGTGTGCAGGGGAACGAGCGATCCGTGGGATCGAAAGGCGTTTCCCACATTTGGGAAAATTCATCCAGGACCCATGGGTAAGCAGTTTGGTTGGCGTTGTAATCCATGAACATAACGACGCGTTTGCCGGATAAGATCATAGAGGCGAGGGTAGGCCAGTCGTCGAGAGCCATGGGGATTTTGGGGGGCACGTAGGCGTAGTTTTGAAGCCCGGTTTGCTCGAGGAAGGGGATATAAGCGTCGATTTGTGAATAGTTGCCGTTTCCGAGGAGGATCGTGACGATGTCGAAGGGGTGGGCGATAACCCAGTTGTAGACGTCGCCTAGATACTCGGTGATGGGCCCGGCGTCGAGAATGTCGCAGGAGGTGTGGCAGAAATGAGGGATGCTTCCATTCCATTGGATCTGCGCTTGTAATAATCGCACTCCATCGTTGAGTTGCGTCGTGACGTCTAATTGTTGATTGGCGGCCGCGTTGCCGGTTCGGACAAAGGGGGAGTTGTGCGCGGATACTTCGGTGATGTTTCCGTAGCTGCGGTCGCAGAATTCTACATAGTTGTTGCAGGGGGTCGTGTTGGTTGTGATGGCGGAGCTGGAGGTCGATGTTGCGGTCGAATTGGATGTTCCATTGATGGCGCTGGTGGTGGTGGAATGTCTTCCTCCTCCTGTCAATACGATTTGTGTGGCGGTACTGGTTGATTCCGTTACATTTCCTGTTAATGTCTCGGTACCAATTGCATAAATTGTGGTTGATCCAAGAGTGGTTGTGTGTGTGGTGGTTTTACCAGTTGAGGTGGAAACCACAGCTTCAGTCGATACAGCCGATGAAGATGTTGAAAGGGTAATTGTGGACGAGTAAGAAAGATAAGATCCTGTAGGCGTCCGAGCCTCAGATCCTGTTAACACAGTGGTATCTGTTGCCGATGAAGTAGAATCCGTGTTAGATTTGGAACTCGAACTTGAAGTGGTATCTGAAGTTGATTGAGCATGCACTCCTCCAGCAGCCAATATACCAACTGAAAAGAGGCGTGAGAACAACATAATTTTCTACAAGTGATTTTGCCAGTGATTCCTTGACGCCAAATCACTTTCGCAGATCAGTAGATGGAATTGTGTATATATTCAGAATGGAATAGAAATCAAAACGAGTGGATGTTCTTTAGGAACAAAGTTAGGTATATCTCGTATTCGTGGTCCTGGGGAGGAAAGTTTAGATAGGTAGGATCTAGATAGTGTAGATAGGACTAGGATTGATAAATCGACATTAGTGCTAATAAGGATTTAGAAAATCTAAAAGGATCGATAGTACCGAATTGGAAATAAAATAACAGCTAGAACATTTAATGTCTTTCCTAAATGGTAATAGCACTAGATGACTAGTAAATGTATATATATCTCGCACTTGTACATACAGTTGAAGCGATGACGTTGATTACGTTCTCTTCTCGTCTTCTTTCCCCTTCACCTCTATTTCACAATTTGAGAGGGCTTGCATTTAGAGAAGTTCTGTTTTAAGACATAGTGGATATACAAGCCATTTTTAGTTTCGAATACTCTAATACTAACTAATAATTGGCATTCTAGAAGACAACTTAAATTATAAGTGAAATTTAAGTTTTCTAACTCTAGCCCTAAGAAGAATAATAGTTCTTAATAAGATAATAATTTACAACCACAACTTTCTGATACCAACTCTATAACTTCCAAAACCATAACATTACAGCTTTCCAGTCCCGTGACTCCCATCATCACTAACTCTTTAACATTATCAAAAATGTCTTACAGGTGTATCAAAAAGAGTTTCAAATCCATAGAAAATATATCCCAATCCCTTCCCCTCTCAGAGTCTCACCTATTCTCAAAGCAAAGTCTCAGTCCAACCATTACCCATCATCCATTTCTTTTTCCCGCCCCTCCTTCCCTTTCAGCCAAGACGGCTAATCAAGGATTCTTAACTACACCACTGCACAACTTAGCTAGCACAACTGCACAGATCCGAGTCCAGGATTATGTTTCGTAAAAGAAGTTTTGGGATCGAGAAGGAAACTTGAGTTGATTATGGGTTGTTCTAGATCGAATGTATTTTCTGTACTAGATATATAAGCATGAGCAAGCATAGTTAAGAACTAAGAGAAAGACAGAAAAATCTACTGTATAGGTTTGGTTATCTTCATAGGAAATCTAATCATACAAGTACTAATAAAAAACTACTACACAACAGCAACTAACTGCCGAGGAGGATTCAAAAACCCTACAGCAAACCTTTGTGTCGTATTCATACCGTCCGTAATCTTCTTCTATGATGCTCCTATTGCATATCATATCAGAGAGAAAACCCCAGAAAACTGCGCCTCAAATATAAGCCCCAGTGAAGTCCAATAGCGGTAGGAGTTACGTTCTCAAGGTCTTGCTTGGGTTGACGCGCCAGGGGTAATCTTTCATCGATCCGAATGGGTGAATAAATACTGTATGAATGAAAATCTAGTCACTGTATCTCGGATATCGATACAAGTACCGTATAAGAAGAGCATCTAGATAGGAAATTCACATACATGTACATATACTTGTACACAACACATACATCAGTAGCCTTTTTCTTTAAATCATATAATAATTAAATAAAGTTGCAAAAAAAACCAACTATCTACCTAGCCAAACAAATCAATTTTAGTACAAAGTACCGGTACCCATACATACCATAACCTGGATACAATCCACTACGAATCGTGCTGTCAAAAACCAATCTAACGAAGTTTCAACTACGAACCAACCACTACCAACCATTGGAACCACAACACCCCTAGCTAGTTAGCTACGAATCTACGATACGACCGACCGCCAGTTCGAGACGCGCAATATGAGGCAAAAAGCCCCTGGGTTTGCTTCCAATGGTTCCATCGATGATGTCGATAAGTATGGGTCTTGAGTTCTGGGTTTTTTTCTTTAAAGCCACTTATAAGTTTTAGCCATGGATATGAGTGAGGGTGCCCGGTGAGTGAGGTGAGATCGAAAAGCTAAAACTTGATTGGAAATTAAATTAATTGGAATTAAAAGCTTTTCTATTGTGTACCGGTATTTATGAGTTTAGTACGAGTTATTATATGAGTATTATATATATTATACCTTTGCGGAAAACTACTACCCGTGTACTACCACTGTACGGTGTACGGAAAAATCAAGCTTTTGGTGAGAGGAATTAGAAGTTGAGTTAGTGTAGAGTAGGGTAGGGTAAGGTTAAGGTAGTAGGGTATCGGAACATTTGATTGATTACTTGATATCCTACGTTGTTGGACGATTGCTTGATTGATTGATTGATTAAGAAATTGATCGATTGAGAAATTCAACTATTGTTGTCGTCGTTGAACGTTATCGTTGGAATCGACTTATCAACTCTCATCTACATCCACAACCACAACCTTCTGCGTAGACAGGAATTGTAAATTGAAGGAAACTCACAATCTATCTCCAATCCTCTACCCTCTACCCTCTATCGTCACATCTCCCCAATTCTCCTCTCTCACCACCAACCTCACCAACAACACTCCTCCCCATCCTCACCATGGGTCTTTTCCCCAATCGAAAACGACAAACTGCTTCAGCAGGAGTATTTACCCCCGAAGGACGAACCACCGATAAGAGTTCCGATCGAACATTAACACCCGGTCACGAAAACCCCAATCATGTTCCTGGAGCTACCTTTGATATCAAGAGAGCGACTCAAGCTCGTAAGACCGCTATCTACATATCCAGTTTTCTTTACTTGATATCTTTCATATTTCTAATTCTGGTAAGAAATAACTTTTCTTGCTCTGAGTTCTTGCTCTGGGTTCTTGCTCTGAGCTTCTCTTCTATCAAATCTCACCCGTCCGTCCGACATTCCCGTCTCATGTCTCATCCTCCTCTCCATTCCAATCACTCTTCCTATCCTACCCAATAAAAATAACTAACAAATATATGTACAACCAGACCATAATCGGCAATACACACGACCGCTCCGTCCTCCGCCAGACATGGTTTTTCCGACTCGACCTAACCAACATCATCCCCGAATCCGTCGGCACCTCCATCACCCTAACCAATTCACTCGCGCGCTCCCTCGGTCTCCACGACTTCTACCAAGTAGGCCTCTGGAATTTCTGCGAAGGGTATAATTCCGACGGCATCACATCCTGTTCTCCACCCAAGAACCTCTACTGGTTCAACCCCGTCGAGATACTCCTCAATGAACTACTATCCGGGGCTACGGTCGCGCTGCCCGCGGACATCAATAAGATCTTAAGTTTGATTCGTATTGCTAGTCACATCATGTTTGGATTCTTCATCACAGGAACCATCATGAATTTTCTCAACATCTTCCTCTCACCCGTGGTTCTCTACTCGCGTTGGATATCCGGCGCCTACGCCATCTGGACATTTATCTCAGCGCTGCTCACTACGGCCGCAACCATCATTGCCACAATCATGTTCATCATTTTCCGCAACGTGATAACATCTCAAGCAGGCCTGAACATCGGCGCGAAAATCGGCACCCAAATGTTTGCATTCATGTGGATTGGATCCAGCTGTTCGATTATCGCTTGGGTTATTCATGTGGGGATGTGTTGTTGTGGTGCGTCGAGGAGAGATGTCAAGAGTGGGAGGAGGCCCGGTAGTAAGAAGGCGTATGCTAGTGGTGTGGTGCCGGTCCCGGATGAGAAGAATGGAGGGGCGAAAAAGAGGAATTTGCCTATGTTTAAGAGGACGAGAGGAGCGGGGGACCTGGTATAAATAGATGTGAGGGTATAGGCATAGATCAAGATTCTTTCTTTTCGTTTATAGGTTAAGGCCAGGTTGAAAATGAGATGAGATGAATGGATAGATAGATAGATAGTTGGAAATATGGATAGATGGACAAATGGAACAAAATCACCTCGGATTGGAGCGGAGGGGTCTACTACTGAGTATATATATATATAGTTCACGACACAACATACAGGCGTTTTTTATAGATTTATAGATTTATAGATTTCGACGGTTGGGGCAGGGCAGGGCAGGGCACTCGATTTGCATGTATAAACATAGAACATAGAAAAGGATGGGAATGGATATATTGCATAGTATATATATACATACTCAACTACATATATATCATTAGAAGAATTAAGTCTTCCGGTTAGTTAGTTAGTTAGTTAGTTAGTTAGTTCAGGGGGGTTATTGAGAATTTGTTATACTGGTGTTAAATTATTAATAACTCGGATTGGCTATTATGTTATTGTTAGTATACGAGTAGAATATAAAATTGGCGAAGTTGTACAGTATATACGGTAGGTAGACATACATACAGTATGTTTACATATTTGTATTTGTATTTGCACATTTTATATACCGGTACTCGAGTATAAAAATACGTCTTTACTTGTACTTTCAACCTTTACTTCCACAGCACACTCCAAATTCTCTGACCCCTCCAAAAAGGCACCACTTCAACCCCATCACCCTTGAAACTCGCGCGAACAATTTCCTCTCCTCTTTTCAAAATTATGCTTTCACCATTCCCTTTCCCTTTCCCTTTCGCACCATCTTCCCCCATCGGCTCCTCCACCCCATAAAACGCCCTCCCCCTCTTCCCCAAAAATCCCTCCAGAATCTCCACCGTAATATCCTCCGCCCTCAAAACCCCCATCTCAGCCCCCTGTTCTAGCGCTGTCAGCACATGACCCACCGCATGCGCCTGGGTGAAAACGCCCGCTGCAGTTTTACCCACGCCGCCCTTCTTGGCCGCGATATCATGGGGCGCACTATCGGTACCCAGGAAGAATTTATCCGAGTGGCTGGAAGCGGCTAGGAGAAGTGCGGTACGGTCGCTGGGGAGTTTGGCGACGGGTTTGCAGAAGTGGAAGGCGTCGTCGGCCCATTGGTCGATGGTGAGGGAGAGATGGTGCGCGGTGATGGTGCCGACGACGCTGGGGCCGCACTTTTGGACTGTGGCGATGGCGGCGGCGGTGGTGCAGTGTTCGAGGACGATTTTGAGGGTGGGGAATGCTTGGTGGATGGATTGGAGGGTGGGGAGGAAGGAGGCTTCGGCGTTGAGGATGGTGATGTCTTTTTGGTGGTCGGAGGGACATTCACCGTGGAGGTTGAGGATTAGTCCTTCTTCCTGCATGGCGGAAAAGACCGGATAGAAGGGCTCGTAGGAGAGGACGCCGGAGGAGGAATTAGTTGTTACGCCTGAGTTTGGGTTTAGTATTGCTTTTGGATTTGCAGGTAAATTCATGGGAGGGACCAACCGGCGGGGTAACTTTTGATGCCCATAATACCTGCTTTCTTAGCCTCGCGTACTGTGTCGGGCGTAATGCTCTCGTGCAAATAAAGCGTCATCAAGTACTCGACCTTAGGGTCGATGGCCTCAAGACGCTCTTTATATGCCAGAGCTGCCGATACCGTGGTGATGGGTGGAACGAGATTGGGCATGACATAGACCTAATTGTGATAACATATGAGCCAAAAGGGCTTATGAAGACGACGATGAAAGGTAATGAATGAAAAAAAAAATGAAACCCACCGTATTGACACCCCCCATCCGAATTGTCGGCACAACCATCTCCATCATCTTCCCATCTCTTAGATGCACGTGCATATCAGCCGCTGCGGGAATTTCTAACCCGTCAAACTTCGACAGAGGTGACATATTCATATTCATATCTTTCTCACTTTCTGAAATCCAAACTAAGATTTCACACCAAAAGCTTCTTGACCCGTCTATCTGCACTGATGTTGATATAGATATCGATATATCCAGCAAAACCCCGAGATAAAATCGCAATTTCAGGAACTTTCACTTTTGTTTGATACAATTATTGAGTTTGTGTTTGTATTTTGTTTGCCGTGTGGGTGTGAAAGCAGATGAACAGGGTGAATGCTGTACTTGGTCACCTAGGTAAATATCGATATTGGTGTTAGCGGAGTGAAATGGTAGTCTCTAGTGTATGATTGTAAAAACCTTAATATGTGCTGGGCAATATCATTGAGGCATTTCATTGGTTGATTTGGATGACTAACCTCGAAATGCCAGACCCCATTTCTCGTTAGAGATCCCGTGATATGCATCGTGTTAATGAACCTGTGATGTTGAATCTGTGATACTCGTAAATATCAATTTTGTGTTAAATAATATTAAGAAATCAATATAAAAACAAATAAACTCTTTAAGGATATCGCTTGTTATAATATATAAAAGCTATAGAAACTTAAATCTTTCTATTAGAGTCTCGAGTATCAGACATTAGACATTATGATACGATTTCTCTCCTCTCCTCTCCTATCCTCTACCTCTATTCCCTTCCTCCCATCCTTTCCTCCTACCCCTCCCTCTCTTCCATCCCTCCGACCCCTCATCCTCTCTCCACCTCATATTCCCCGTAATCCACCATCTCTTCACTTAGACTCAAACAAACATACATTCAACGATCTATAAATACCTACCTATCTATATCTACATCAATACGAGTATAAATATATACAATTCTGTACTCGAGTAGATCGTTTAACTATACAAAACATTTCAACGGATTTGTTATAGTCTTATGTATAATATTGTATTTGCAATCGTAGACTAATTGATGCCTCTCAGAACTACAAAATACTCACAAATATTCCTTACCCACTCACTCACCACCTACTGCTTATAACCCCATCCATATATTTGATTTTCACTCCCTCCTCCACGCACCCTCCATGCATCCTCACACACAGCATCATCATCGCGGTCCCACGATATACCCAATGATATACACCAAGGATCCACGGAATTCCTGCTACCTTATAATCTTATAACTCATACTCATAAACAAAAGCCATCATATCACAAAGACCTCACTCATCTTATCATGTCTTATCCTATCCTATCCTAACATTACATATCCTCTCAGAACACACCAGAAATAGAAACTGTAAAATCTACCGCAACTAGCTACACGTGATATAGATACGAATGCAGACGCAGATAGAATGAAATCATGCATACATAAAACTGAGGAGATATGTCACACTCATACTCATACTCATTACTCACACATATCCATTCATTTTCTCTTACAATATAACATACACCTTCCCAATCCGCACAGCTGCTACACTACGCAAGCAAATTCTCCGCCTGGAGACAGGATATAGGATTTTATTGTAGTTGTCGTGATCACTGAGTATACTCAATTGTGAGTTATTTCGGTTTCGGGAAGAGGAGGCTGGGGGATATGTGTATTGTGCCCGTTGATAGATGGATGGATGGTGTAGTTTAGAGATACATAGGAGAGAAGAGAAGAGAAGATGGGATGGTGATAGGAGATGGGAGACGATTAGTACAGATCTACATTCCCATTTCCATGAAATTAATTAATGTCTGGAAGGAAAAGGAACAGGAACGAATAAAAAAAGCTTTTGAGTGATCGTTTGAATGGACGTAGGGATTATGTGAGGATGATACCAAATTATACTATCATTAATTAGTTGAGGTATCAACAATAGATAGACTTATTTATTTCAAACTCCTTGACAAACCATATATAACAACAGGTTCCAGGAAGTTATCATGAGGCAATCTTGACATAAGAGAGTTGCTCCTAGAGCCTCGTTCACTACATTGATTGTGAGGTACTCAATTACATTACCAGCAGGCGCTGCAAACGATGCAGGCTTCCGGCTGCCCCATTGTGAGGAATGAATGGTATTTCCTGGTTTATTTCATTTGATATGAAGTGCTGTGTGTGCAGGGAGGGAGGAGTATGAGATGATTGCTGTGCAAAATCTCACCATTCGTTAGGTCATACGTGAGATACAGGGGAGAGTAATGAAGGTTTGAAAAGTGTGAAGGAGGGGGAGAAATTGACGAAGAGTAAATGGAAGTGAACGAAGAGGAAACGGAGGACGAAGAAATGGAGAAAGGGAAAATAGATACCGCAAGATACACAAACGGTTATTCTCATACCAATAATCAAATGGCTGTCGTAGGTTATATCTGTATAGCACAGGAAGGTGAACAAATCCATATATGCCTTTGATTTCCCAAACAACTTATTCCACTACTAATTTTGTGAACCAGATATTATATAGGGCTTTAGTTAATAGATTTCCCCAGTCTTCGAGCACTTAGATCGTTGGCTCAACATCAGGGTTGAATGGTTCATCCAACTTAGTGATTGTGTATAAAGATAAAGGTCACTAGAAGTACATAGTAGATAAATTTATCCATCTGTTTGCTTGGATACGGATACTTGAAAGAATAGATTTCTGATGGAAAGAATGATAGCAGGCTCGAATTGACAGACAGAATCCTTCTTCCCAGGCCGTTGTTTGAGAAGTATTCTCCAGAATGACAAATCACTGTCGCGCTGACATTCTACTTATGTAGACACTTCAAAACTGTCTTTCGGTGTAGAGAACGAATGTAGCTTGATTTTACACTTGGCTACATATACTGGACGGATATCATCCCTTGTTTGAGACTACTGAAGTTGAAGTAATGGATTTTGGTGTAAACAGCGAGATATCAGATCCAGTTGTATGCGGCTACAGATACTTGGATATCCGAGCTGTGTGTAGATATTGTGAAGAAAATCGGGTGCAATGTATAAGATTTCAACAATTCTGTATAATTGGCTCCACTTGGAGCTAAGAATCAAAAGTATCAATTTGGTGGATAGCACAAGAGATGTAAGTAGGATCAGTAGTTAATGGCTCAAATGATCAAGATTGATTCCGAAAAAAAGAAAACTCCTAATATGGGTATCATCCTGCCTAGCGCCAAATATAAAGTAAAACCAGAGCATGCCAGGTCTCGAAACCATAAAACTCCATATTGACCTTGCTTTTACCTTACTTTCCGCCCTTCACAGTGGTAATAGCATCGGGATCATCATCCTCCTCGCCCAACGTTTCAAACTTTCCACCTGACTTTGCTACTTTATCATCCGTCGCATCAAATGTCTTCTTTGCCTCATCAATAAAACTCTTCTTCTCAAAAACCTCCGTGATCTTTCCCAGAAAAGTCGGGTTCTTACGACAGGCAAACTTGATATCATCAAGCTTGACCTTTTGACGCCCAGCGATTTGTGCTGCGCGAGATGCTTCGAAGCAGAGCTCGATGATGAAGTCGGTGACGATTTCGTCGAGAGCTTTGGTGGTGTTTTCGATGGCAAACTTAACATCACCATGCGCGTGAAGAAAGTGTCTTACTGCGATTGAATAGTTAGTTCAGATCTTGAAATTCAGGTAGATGTAGATCGAGAGTTCAAGAGTAAAGATTAAAACGTACATTCTGCCTCGCTGAAATTTTGCTGGCCGCGATTCTTAGCAGCACGAGCCCTTGGTTCAGACATCTTTCTTGCTGGGTCGAAATATGGTGCAATGAAACGGGCGTCGGTGCATGGATATCTGACATCAATTGGTATATTCTCAACTTTGATCTTACTGACTCTGGAAAGCAGTAAGACGTCACACTTCCAGTTATCTTTGCAGTTAACGACTGGACCCGTGGGTTCACGAGGACAAAGATCAATTGCTGTAAGAAAGACTTTGGTACGTCTTTCGTGATGATATAACCACTCTGGGAGGGAAGGGAATCTTTGGTATAAGGTTGTTGAACTTGTAGGTCCTTCACTTCCACTAAACTATGATTAGTAAATTATCCGAATCGGCCTCAAAGATAATCCGAACACCGATTGCCCAATCCATGTGAATGGAAATCTGTTTGATAGATAGGTATGTATCACACTTACTGATTTATAAAGACCCAGTGAGGAACAGTTTCACCAAGCAACGTCTTTCCTGTGGTCTCATCCATTATCTTACACAAAAATGGTTCGTTGATTTTCGAAAGGAAAATGGAGATGTTTTATTTGTGCGATTTTCCTTAGCGCCAAAGTGCTAACTGGCTGCCCATTTATAGTCCGCTCTCTTCAATTTCCAGTCAGCGCTGCTGGTGCTCCTCCTCCTCATATGTACGAGCGCATACGCACATCAATTGTTCCCTAACATTATGGATAGAAACAAGGAAGGGTAGGTTCACGAAAGTTCTTAGGCAAGCTGGAAACCAGAATACTGATCAGATATAGGACTTTTACGGGCCTATTCTGGAAATGTGCTAGGATAGGAGAGCGATTAAGTCCTTACATAAGTGTCTGTTGTGTCGTCATGGCCGTGAGTTATATTCTACATGATCTGGATCTGGGGGGTCACTAATGAGAATAGGTTTCTCTATTCGTTGGTAACTAAGTGTTTGGAGGGATTGGATTTATATGGCGTTTGGGTGCATGAATTCATATCAGGCTGAGGTCTAGATCTCCAAAACGTTTGACATGGGAGATGGTACCGAGAAAGTCATGAGTGAGAGGGTGGCATCTGAGCCAACATAATACATTATACGAATAATCGAACACGATACCAACCTATTCTGCCGCGCAACTCTACGTTTCTTGCAGATATTCCTTTGCGCCAATCTCCATGAACCATAGACCAAAACACCTTTGCTAATACCCATGCGGATGCTCATTTATTGTATAAGCCAATCCAAAGAATCTTTACAGATGACCATTTTTTGACCCCTTCACAATCGAGCATGGCGCTCTTACGTCATGGGTCATCGCGATGGACTTTCGATACTCGCAGTATCCATAGTTTCATTATCACCCCAAATATCTCGACTCTCTTGTTCCACGGATCTCATTGCAGAAGCAACTTCCTCCAACTTTGCTACCACATCAAGAACTCCCTCATTCACCCTATGGAAATACCTGTCATTAGCCTCCCTTCTCTTTCTCGCCATTACAATATCTGCCCTCGTATCCTCCTCCAATTTGTTACCCATTTTTCCTCCACCTCCACCATTACTTCCACTAGTGGCCGAACTCCTCCCTCCCTCCGTTCCAGTTGTCACTGTCATTCCCGGTGCATCCAATGCACTCTTTCCCTCACTTCCCAGTGTCCCTCCCCTAACATCTCCTGTACGTCCCTCATCAACTACATCATCTGCCTCACTCCTAGCCCACGCTTGCGCCAAAGCTATTTGCGTTGCCCGTAATTCCTCTAATGCTCTGCTGTGTTCAGGTCCAAAGACATGCGTTGCATTTACTGCGCTGAGTTCAACTTCTTCCAATGTACTTTGCATTTCCGCCCATAGCGCATCGGTTCTCGCAGCTTGCTTTTGTCCCTCGGAAGGAGCTTTTCCCGCGCGAGGAACTGATATTAGGGGGGTTATATCGGAGGGGCCATCGAGATTGGTTCGTAAAGGCAGTCTTTGGGAACGTTGACGGACGAGGGAATTTCTAGAGGTGGTGGGATATAAGGAAGGTAATTGGTTGGATGGTACAGGTGCCAGAGCACCTTCAAATGATACATGAGAGGCATTTTGAGAAGGGGTTATAAAGAGAACGGGAGGCGGGTCACGAACTGGTCGTTTCGATATCGATTTCGAGGATTGTTCCATATTGAATTGTGTATGAAGATGTAGATGTAATTTTAGAAGAGTCTGGTGGAGCTGTCATGGGAATGTAAGTGATTGAGTGCTTATTTCTTATCGGTGATTCTTATCGCCGGTAATCTACATTCCTGATGCCTTAAAGTAAGGCTCAAGTTCTGACTACTCCAAGGCATCAATATTTTGGGGCAGATTTTTAATAATTCGCTTAGCGCATTTTAGCTTCACCCACTGAGTGCAACATTTTCGAAATTCCTCTCTTACAGCTTCGCAACGACTTATCGACAACTAACCAAAACCCATCAATTCCCGTTATCGCCATAAACCGGTATATACCCAATCTCTCTACGATTTATCTTCTGAATCGCTTTCGACCAGCAGCTAATTCGAGATTCTTCAATAGCAATCATGGGTAAAGGAAAGCCAAGAGGTCTCAACGCCGCTCGCAAACTTCAAAACCATCGTCGCGAGCAAAGATGGGCTGATTTGTCCTACAAGAAGCGTGCCTTGGGTACCGCTTTCAAATCTTCGCCATTCGGAGGTTCTTCCCACGCTAAGGGTATCGTTCTCGAGAAGGTCGGAGTCGAGGCCAAGCAACCTAACTCCGCCATCCGAAAGTGTGTCAGAGTCCAGTTGATCAAGAACGGAAAGAAGGTCACTGCTTTCGGTATGTGGAACATTTTATATCGAGGGGTTTATGCGGGGTGCTGAAGGATAGATCCGAGATCTGCGGAAGAGGGAAAGATCGATTGAGGAATATTGGAAAACCGAGTCTGAAGAAATGCTGACAAAAATTCACTATAGTTCCTAACGATGGTTGTCTCAACTTCGTCGATGAGAACGACGAGGTTCTCCTCGCTGGTTTCGGTCGTAAGGGAAAGGCAAAGGGAGATATTCCCGGTGTTCGTTTCAAGGTCGTCAAGGTCTCTGGTGTTGGATTGTCCGCGTTGTGGAAGGAGAAGAAGGAGAAGCCAAGATCATAAACGGATATGTTAATGATTTTGCTTCTTGGGGGGAATGGGATATGGTGTTTTGCTGTCGCATGATCGATGGCTAGGCTCGGAATCTACACATACAGCATAGTACTTTCATACCTGCAGCATTTGGGAATGAAATACCTCCATTGATCACCATCAATTTGTCTTTTGGGAAGGAGTTTATCTGTGCAGGCGGTTCATGTGTGGTGAATCTTCAAGGGATTGGACTGGAATTGAATTCTGGCTGTTCGCCTCGACGATCTGGATTAGTGGCGAAGTTGTAGTTGGATTTCAGAGTCTCTACCCGTTCCATTTTCCACCCAATGCTCAAGCGCGCATTCTGCCATTTCTCCATCAATAACCCACCATCTGATATATTGTAGCAATTACTGAGAACCATCTTCACCCAACCAAGGAATGCACTCATATTCGCGAGTCTTTTCATGGGAGCATAGTCTAGTTCCGCATCGACCTCCACATTTTCTCTCAGAAAATAATACAGCTACATTTCCCTTCTATTCAATGAGATACCTCTACGCCTTACACACTTCATGATCACTAGCACAATGAAATCATCAGATGCATTCCAATAAATCCTCACTCACCTGCAGTCTTCGTCTCATTAGAATGGTGAATGTCATCGAATGTTCATGATGCTTATAGGTACTCTTGATTAATATTAGATGTCAAAGTACGACATATCGATTGTTTCGGGAGTAAGTAATAATACCAACTCTGCTTCTACTTCGAACATCCATCGGTTATACTCGAGTATTTTATGCAAACACTCAGCATGTAATATCTCGACACAGGCTGTATTTTTCATGGTATAATATCAATCACCGCAACTGGCAGCGATGGGAGTGTCAGTCACAAGTCCGCCTGCCCAACCATTGCCATTTAAGGCCATATCTTTAAAACACCTAATCGTTCTCATACCATTCATCGGTACTGTTTTCCTCTCGATGATATATATAAGCTTTTGTATATTTCTCGATATTCTCGAATTAGATATATTTTGGTTGCAGAGGATAGGATATAGGTCATTGCTGTGATTGGACTGGGTTTAAAATTATAATCAATGTCTTGACTCTTCATATGTTATTTTCCTCGATGAGTATGGACTATTTACTCGATGGCTCATGGCTAGAGTAGTATGTCTCCGGCGGAAAAAAAGAATTGTAGTGTTATTGGCTTGAGAAAGCTCTATTCGGGGTACTTGGAGTAGTTCAGGTGTTTCACAAATCAGATACGGATGATATCAGAACTTCGTTGTTGCAAGCGGAAATGGATAGTTCATAACATTTGATCAAGAGGTGTCTACCTAGTGTACAGAAACGACAAAGGCAATATGTAGATGAGAATATAGTATTATAGTCTAATGGAAGTGGCGGTCTTTGGGAGCCACCGTGTCTTTTTTCGTGTACCGTAATAAGTCGACATGTTACTTTTACACCGGTTTTATCTATTAAAACGCACGGTAAAAGCAAACTTACCCTGACCTGACACCAAATACCTGGCAGTGGTGGCTTTGAAATCTCATAACAATCCCCGACCATATCAAAACTCTTCGAATCAACAACTTCAAAATTTTCACCGAATATACGGATTTGGTCAAGCTTATGGTCCAATCTTTCGTAATCCGCACACTAACTGGCAAAGTCCGTGTACCATTCTCGCATTGCATCCATGGACCTCCACATTGTTGTTGCGGCGAAGTACGACCTCCTTGGAGTTTGGGCTTCCATAGCCTCGGTATCTACAACGGGAGGTGATGGTGGATAGTTGGGAAAGAAACGATGTAGATTTAGACTAGCCTGTTTAACTGGAACAGAACCAGTAACTGGAAGAGAAGCGGGATCTAGAGGGTCATCGCGAAGTGATGATGCCCAAGTACTTTCAGTACCCATAATGCTAGTAGTGATCAAAGAATTTTATTTTAAATACATGAAATAATTCGCCATAAGAAATTGAATGGTCGGGGGAGGGAAGCAAGAGGTAGGAAGATTGCTTTTCATATAAGTTGTAGAATTGTTGAAAGACGAGTTGCGTTTGAGGGTTGTTCGATACTTCAAACGTTGTGACTTCCATTATGGGGAACCCTTGTCTGCGCGGATTCGAATGGTAGGGAAAACCGACCTTAAAGACTCCAGACTCCTTTATAAGAGCTGCGGTCTTTCTGACAAAATCTTTCTGAAGATTTTGAACGATTTGAAACTCCGAAGTGATATCGACGGGGTCAGAGTTTGCCTGGAAAACGATCTTTTTCTGTATCCCAATCTTTTTATATGCCATGTGAGCTGGTACATGCGTGAAAAGGAGATAGAGATTAGATAGACGGACAAGCCGATCATCAAAACCCACTCATCCAAATCATCCACAGAACGGCCCCGATAGAGAGAAGCACGGTACCCAACGTCTCTTTTGATGCTTTCTCTGAGTTCCACCAGACTTTCTGATATAGAGTTTACCGGTATCAAGTCTCCCTGGCTCAAATTTCAGCCATGAGAAGTCCGTTTTTGGGGGGCCTTCGTAACCGAATTAACCTATCACTTTCTGCAGGGACGTATCTATTATTGTGGAAAGTTCCCATCTTCATGGAAACTCCTCTCGGTCCAGGGTACTGACGTGTGCCTGCTGCTACGTCATAAATGGATTCAATATGCTTGCTGTCATCAGAAAAGAGGAATACAGGCTCTTCTTAACTGGTGTTTCGCTGTGACGTCGTGGAGGAGAGAGTAGCAGCAATGAAGCTAGGCAATCAACAGTAGATTGAGGTTTAGTGTCGGAAAATGAGTCGTTCCTTTCGGTTTTGAATTTTGTCTGAACCGACTTGGAAATCAAGAGCTCATTCATCGTGAACCCTGTGGCCCCTTCAGTTATGATTTCTTCTTCGTCCCAATTCCAAGCGAGTACAAGAAATACCTTATATTGGCCCTTCACAGCTGCAGATCTAATATCTGCATGCTCCGCCACGTATGGAGCCGCATCATCTTCCAGCCAATTACCAGATACTTCTATTCCCTCTTGTCTCCATCTATTTTCCCACTTTCTCCAATATTCGAGGACTTTCTCGCTAACTGCAGTGAAGACTTCGCTGTCAAACCTGAACCTCAGAACCTTTAGTCTACTCGGTAGCTCCACACGAATTGGTAAACTAAGCCGTAAACACACGTTCATTGGTCGACCAATTACAACTTCACACATCAAATAAAGCGTAGCGAGCCATGATTTCCCTGCCGGTGACGATGTGTCATGGATGGAGATGCCTTGAAGAAGCTTAATTTGAACAATAAGAATTCCTTTCGTGATGGTGTGTTTCAACGGGCTCGTTCCAGTGAATACCGCCACGTCCAGGAGACAACCGGATCGGTTGCTTCCTCCTTTGCAGGCGGACTAGAGCTCTCTTTTGTTCTCGTATTTCCTTGTGGCTCAGCGCCTCTGCTGCACCAGCTACAGAAGACATTGATCAAAAATTATGTTTATAGAGACCGAGAAATCAGTTCATGATGTCCATGTGTAAGAAGGAAGAATAAGAATAAGAGAATAAGTAGATAATTGCACTACATTACCAATGCGCCGCCGTAGCAGTGAGCCCCGTGACACGAACGCTGTAATTGAATAAACACGTGACTAAGGAATCTTAGACTTAATAATAAAGAAGATTATAATAGAACTTTTAATAGTCGACTCTTTATGGAATGATTATTAGATTTATAATTAATTTTGATAGTATTAGATTGGTTTTATTTATTTATAAAGAGTTTTTAAAAAGAATCTTCTTTTTTAAAATATTAAAGAATTAAGAATTAAATATATTAAATCAAGTTTCTATTAATAAATATCAAATAATAAATAATAAATATTTCTTTAATTATAATAATCCTCTAGTTATAATTATAGATTTTAATCTAATTAAATAGAATACTCGTTTATATAAAAAATTTGCTTTTCCCGACTAGTAGAAACTAAAAAGTCGATCTATAAAGAGTCGACTTATTAAAGTTCATTCTACTATCTACTAGGAATTTCCCTAAAAGAACCGAATCTCATATCCGCCATATCCGCCATATCCGCCATATCCGCCACAGCCGATTTAATCGACATCATTAGCCGCATCGATAATGACATACGTCCGTAAAGTAAAATCCCTAAGATTTTGCGGCTCCACCCCACTGATCTCCCATGAGTCCCATCATGCCACCATGTCATGGAGATCAGGTAACCATGACAGAATAATTGATAGCAAGCTTTCTCGGGGAGTTAAGTTTACACTTGCCAGTTGGACAACGTCCCCTCCCAAAAAAACTCAAAATCAAAGTCTGATAAATTGGCATCGGCAAAGAAAAAACTTGATTTAGACTTTTCAAAGGGTTAAACCGTTTGATTGCTCTGTCGTGCCTCATACTTTTGTACAAGATGGACTTTTCCAGCGCATTGCGTAGTGGCTATAGACTATAGAGAGTTGCATGATCACCAATCGCGTCTTTCTGGGTGGTGCGATGTAAATCCGTTTCCTTGGAAACCGAAGTCGAGCCGAGCCCTATCTATATCTAGGCCTACTCGACATGATATATATTTGAGGTCTGGTGTATATATTTTTGAGATTTCTTTTGAAAAATTTGGTTTGATTTAAGTTGAAGGGTTAATATATCATGGATTTTGATCAAGTGAGCTAGATTATGAGAATTAATATAATTAATTATTCGTATTTCATTAGAGTAGACTTAATTCATTTTATATCTTTTCTAGATATTTCAATCTTTACTTCGTTTGAAATTTTAAATAAACTAAAAAAAAATGTAATTTAGAACAAAATGTTTATTTTGTGAATATCTTTTGGGTTCTGAATAGTGAACTATAGAGTTCTAAATTCTAGTTTATTGAGTCCGAGTCAGAGTGTCTAACTACTTATTAGTTTAAATTCTATTATATAATTAACTTTTTCAGAATCTGCGCAAGCCCTCTATTGTAGCTTGCAAATTTGAGAAATTAGATCCAACGAAAGGTTGGTATTGAAAAATGTCAGTACTCATGCCACCAGAAAGTCTGCAACTTGGGTAAGCTAGCACATGCCACAAGGTGGTAAACTACAACAGGAATAGCCTAATATTTAACTTCCTGAGTTGCGAACTTTCTGGTAGTATGAGTAGGTGGATGCTAAAAGCTATAGAATCCAACCTAAGAGCGATGCATATTCCTCTCATGTTAGTGTTTGTTTTGGGAACTTGCAATTTGAAAGGCCTTTCTTTGGATTTCAGAACTGCCGGAATTCTCTGCCAGACTGATTGCAACTCACTCTGCAATATTGGCTGTACAGAAGAGCTAATGAGCACATGCCCAATGTCAACATCGAGCGAGTCAGGGGCGTAAACTCAAAATTTACACCTTGTCGCACCACTCAGTCATAACTTTCCATGCCTAGGATGTTCGGAACCTTATCCCGAGAAGCTTGAAATTGTCTTGGGTAGAAATTCGGGATATGTGCTGTATGTTTTGCATTGCATTGCATTGCATGCTGAGTTAAATTAAGTTACATTGGTGACGGTATGAACAGGAGGTAGTTGTCGTTAAAGAGGGTTTTCCAGGTCTCTGTGCAGTGTGAACTTCCGAAGTGAGATGCAGCGACATGAAGCCCGCCTCGAACGGCATCTCTCTTATCAGTCTAACGGGTTGGTTTGACTTGTACTGTCGGGAATGTCGGGAATAGCACAAGTGCCGGGTATAACTCACAAATAGGTGGAGTTTACTTAGCGAACGAGATTAAACAGATGAAGCACTCAGGGGACGGAGCAATGTCGAAAAGAAGTAAGGAGGGGCAGATGTCCAAAAGCGCGGGGCGTCGGCGGGGCCAGGAGGGGCCACCTTTTGGATGCTCCTACACCGCGGAAATCTTTCCACCAATACTCGTAGAGAGCACTACCTAAAAAGTCGGGATTTTCGACTTGGCTTGTCGTTTCACGTGTGGCTTCAAATCCGAGTTTCCTTGGAACCTCCGAGGTGATGTGGCTCGGTGTGGCCAATCTACCTTACGAAGTTACGAAATTTCTTTCACACATGCTCCGTGTAATACTGGCTTGGAAGTCGATGAACCACATTGCCCATGAGTATAACATACCATGGAGGTCAAGGGAGTCAAGAGATAAAGATGATGGGTTGCCTGAGCAGGGAAAATGCATGTCACTGAGATTCCGAATAACTTTCAGTGGATTGATATTGCGGATATTGCGGGATTGAGGCTGCTGCGGGATCGCGGAGGAAAAGTCCTGCGCTTGGGAAGGGAGATTGTTGTCTGGAATCTTTGGGGAGAACAATACAGCACGGAGGTAGGAATATACGGGAAACATTGCGAATGTACCAAGCCAAAAAAAGACGGAGATCATCATGTGGATCATTAATGCCATTATGCTTTGCTCCAGCTCTGGTTCTGGCTTCTGATCCGAGGTGGGAGATTTCAAAGTTTTTGGCGAGAATTGAGTTTGCCCTGGGTGCCAGTAATGTACTGTACCACAGTACTACAGTAGTGATGATGGCGCTAGAACGATACATTTCATTGGAATCTGCATGTGAGCTTTTGCGAAGGCCCAATAGAGAGAGTTATCCATCTAATATAGTTTGGAAATCATCTTAAAAGTTAATTATAGAGCGAGGTTTAACCTTTATTAGTCAACAAAACCTAAAAATCAGCACGAGCCATTGGTTTGGTGCCTTGGCTGTGTTCCTGTTTCTCGGATTGCTTGAGTTGAGCAGATGCTTTGCCAAGCAGGTAGCACGATATCATGACCCAGCTAGGCCAGTATCAAAATCAAAGATGTTGAAGTCGACTGTATGGAAGTGAGTGTATGGAAGTGAATCGATACATAACATAGTAACTGTACGTACTCATGAAATAACCCATGGCCATCTATTATATTGAACAACTGTTGACTGAGAGAGTCATGAAGTCATAGATTCAAACTCTCTTTTCATTCAACAAAGGGTGTATAGAGCCGTGGAGTCGTATAAATGCGATAATATCACAGGGGAGTTCAATTATACTTTATTTGTTCTCTATTCGCTTATTCGATAGATGTGGCAAGCTATAGCCAAAATGGCAACTGCTCCGCTCTTGAAGCAATCACTTATTTCCAAGGTTATTTCCAAATGTCGTTCTATCAATGGGAGTCAAGTAAATAGATTTCTGTACTATTGTCAGGAAATTCCACATTGTCTCGTTGTCCAGCACAAGCTTTTTGCTAGGTTTAGACCCCTGGCGAGTCAATATATATCATACCAAGATTGAAATTAGGATATCTCAATCAGTTTTGGAATTCAATTGGGGATTTCAGTCAGCCCAAGTGTGTACATCGAGATCCAGTATTTGAGTACCGTATATTGCATTGGACTTTGGAAGGAGTACTGTACTCTGTTCAGGTACTATGCTATGGTCTAGATTAGGGTTCTTTGCAGCTTTTTTTGCATCGATAACCCATTATCTACCGTAGCCAAACCTTATATACGCTAAAAGCCTAATGCCTAATGCCACACATAACGTTTACAGAATCATGATAAATTCATGGTCACCATGGTCGGTTAGGAACATAGGAGTTGTTTTAGGAGACAACGCTTGCTGTTAGCTTTCACGGCATATGAAAACAAGAGAAACTCTGATTCTAGCGTTACGCCAGTGCATAAGACAACCAGTCTCATAAATAGCACCCCATATTTTCTGACTTTACAAGCTGACCCATTACGTTAAATCTGGTCCGAAAGATGATGATATTCTGAACCTTCCGACTTCCTGTGTCCCTGTGTCCCATCCCGATTCCCCAGGAGCTTGGTAACTCATGCAGCTCCACAACGATTCGCAAGCATGTTTCTTCTCTGGCAGAGGGCGGAAATATTCCAACATAATTGGGTCTTATACTTTCTATGATGCCGGGGTTCAATATCTGGAATAAGATTTTGGAATCCTATCAGGCGCAAGTCATGAAGTTATACTTTTCCAGTCCTACTATATAGGGTTCAACCTCAGTCCCTTTACTCAGCTCTTCACTCTTTCCTATTAAGACATTTTTCTCTAAGTTCCATCACATATCGAATTTACATCGAATCCACTCATTTAGTATTGTCAAGCAAATATACAAAGCCTCGAATCCATCGTCGATTCATCTCCAACCACCTTCCTACAAGCATTAAGCTGAGCTACAGTGTTACACTTATAAAGCAACATCCGCGTCACCGTACTTAAGTACTTGTCATATGCAACTCGATAAACCCCTTGCCATTTGTCCATATTCCTCCATCTCCATGCCTTTCATTCAGGACTCGCACCTTCCTCTTTCGTCGTTTGCTAAGATGCATATTAATATCCCCAATCATCTCGATTCTTCCTTATCTCTTCATCCAATAATGAATGGGTCGACCGAAAGCCACGAAGGAGGATATAGACAAGCCCAAGCCGCCACTCTTTCGACTTTCGAAGCTTTGAGGCTTGCTCGAGAAACTGAGGAAGGTTCGGAAAATCCACTTGTCAACGTTGTCTTAGAAATCGCAATTCGAGAGATTTGGTCAAAGATTCAAGCGGAACCCAACACATGTGTGTTGACACAGGAAGAATACGGTGTCTTCAATTATTTCCAAAATCGATTCCAAGGGCTAGAAGTTGCAGTTGCAGCACGGAGGAGATATTGGGATTTCCGCATCAGTGGCTCAACTTGATTACCGACTTATCTCACATCTCACTCCACCTCTGCGTAACCCCCTTGTTCCCCGCTCGTGGATCATTTCCAAGCCGAGAAGTCACAACGTCAGCAAGAAATCATCCCGACGATTTGAAGAAAGATATTTATGTTCGAGATGATTTCCAACTGACTGGGACCAATAATGAGCTTGGCGACAAAAATCGAATATCCACCAAAAACATCACAATGTTTCTGCTCGTGGTTCTGACTTGTGGTCTTTCATCGATATGGTGGTTTTTACGACCATGTTCTCCGGAGTACGTGGCTAATACAATACCAAAATCGAATTTGGTAAAATACTCCGCCGCACCAGCACCATCTGCTACACCCTCTTTGGCTGTACTTGAAGTCTTCCAAGTCTATCAACCGGTTCTCATTCCTACTGGTGTTACCGATGAGACGGCATCATATGATGGAGTGGAGGAGACTGCGATTATCGCGTCGACGAATGATGCTACTAGCTGCAAAGTCGTTTTGATGGAACATTCTTTCGGTTACAGCTATGGCATCCCCTTTGTTGGTATGGAATCTTCATTACACACGTATGTAATTACCAACTAACGATCGTGCAGGCAATTATACGCCACCTGGTTGCAAGTTCAATAGAGTGGTTATGAATTTTACCGTCACTTCAAGTGGCCGTCAATTTGACCGTCTTGCACTTATGTACTTTGGCAATTCGGAAGTTTGGAGAACATCTACTGCAGAACCAACAACCGCTGGGATTAGATGGGAATATTTCAAGGATATGACCGAATACCTTTATTTTTGGAACTTGCCTCAGACCATTATTTTTGATCTTGGAAACTTGATCGATAGCACATATACTGGAGACTACAACACTACTCTTACAGCTACTTTCTTCACAAGTCAAGAAACTATCGAGCCTGCTGATCTAATTCTCCCGGTCTCCGCAAGACAGGGTGCTGAAGACGCTGGGAGTGTGTTCACGTTGCCAGGTGACAATGCCACAAATACGATTAGTTTTCCACAAAACGCCAACCGTGCTGTCTTCTCTATTTCAGCTTGTGGTCAGTCGGCTGAGGAATTTTGGTGGGGTAATGTACTCCAGTCAAACATTGAAACATTTGAGGATTACGATGGAACACTTTATGGATACTCGCCATTTCGAGAAGTTCAGGTCCTGATTGATGGTCAACTAGCTGGCGTGCAATGGCCATTCCCGGTCGTCTTTACCGGTGGTATCGTACCAGGACTTTGGAGACCAATCGTTGGACTCGATGCTTTCGATCTCCGTGAACACGAAATCGATATCACTCCTTGGCTAGCCATTCTCTGCGACGGATCTGAGCATACATTTGAGATCCGAGTTGCAGGTATCCTAGATGATGGTGAAGGTAGCGGTACCCTCATTGATACAGTAGATAGCTACTGGCTCGTCACAGGCAAAATTTTCATTTGGCTTGACTCTAATGACTCTGTCACGACCGGCACCGCACCTACAATCTCGCTCCCTGCCCCTATAATAACTACTTCGCAACTCCTCACTCAAAATGCCACCGGCGCAAACGAAACACTCACTTATACCACCAACGTTCAACGCTCACTTTCTATTTCATCTACCGTCATTACCGAAAACGGTACTACCACATCGACATGGACACAACAATTAAGTGCTTTAAACTATGGCCAATACACGGCATTTGGCGCTATCCAAATCAACAACGCAACAACCCACGGTGTCGACACATCAACATCAGGAAGCGCAACGAAATACAAATCAGAATACACATACCCTGTCTGGGTCAACACAACTTACCTCGTCCTCTCCCCAACAAACTTCACCCTCGACGCCACCATAACCCGCGGACTCGACCTCCTCATCTCAGGAACCTCCGTCTTCCCCAGCGGTCTCCAACCCTTCACCTATCTCCCTTCCTCCGCCCCTCTCATCTTCGGCTTCTCTGGAACCCATCTATCAACCACCCAAGACGGATCTGCGCATTACCTCGGTACATCTGCCGGCAGTACCGGTTTCGGAAGCACGAGTCAGGTATTCCAATTTTCTGGACTCGATATCAATAGTGATGCGCTAGATACCGAGTTATATTACCGGAATGTGGAGGCGGCGAACTCGTCAATTGTGTATGATGTGGAACGTCTGGTCGGGACGGAAATCGGAAGGTATGCGGATAGTAGCTATAGGGCAGGGAGTGCGTATATGAGTATGGAGGTTATGAGTGCTAAGAAGGCTATTGGGAGGGGGAAGGGAAATCCTAAACAATTGCTTGTGGGTGGGAGTTCTTAGTTTGGAGTATTGAAAATGATTGGTGGATGCAGAGACTGGTTAATCGCAAACATCTTTTTGGTTTTTTCACGACGCTCATTTGGTAACAAATACTCAGTCTTTTTTTGGTATTTCCTTTTGAATACTAGAAAAAGATTGGCGCGATGGATTTTTGGACGGCATGGAGTTGAGTCGAGTCGGGTTGGGTTGAGAAACGCGTTGTATAGATTTTTCTGGCTATGTTCAGCTATTCGAGTAGTTAGTATATACAGTATTAATTATCCTTTATTCTACATCATTATATCAGATTCATTGACTGCACCATGCACATGACGCTTCTGATGTGATTACCTGTTTGAACTTGAGTGTACTCGAGTATTGACTGGTATGCTAGAGTATGTGTATGTGTGATTTATCCTCTTGTATTTATACTAGTATTTATATTGAGAAAATATTTCCTTTCTTTTCACTTAATTTTATTTGATCTACAGTAGAGATCTCCCCTCCTCTCATCGCTTACTATATATATACATCATACTCGAGTACAGTACTCGTGTATTTCGCATTTCGCATTTCGTATTATATAGTATTATACAGTATTATACAGTATTCGAGTAGTCGTAGTATACAAAGAAAGTTATGATGATCGAGATATCTTTAAAGTTTGAACCACATGACAGTCGCTTTACGAGTACATTTGAACATTGAATATCGCACTACTAGGGTATCAGAGAACTCGAAAATTTCAGATGGACTCGAGTAAATGTCATACATATATATATCTAATTCGAGTCTAATCCGAATCCAAATATGACTCTCATAATTGATAAACAATATTTCGCGGGAGCAGCACAAGATAGACCATAGATATGTTGTTGACTGTAATTAATTAATGAATCGCTTCGTACGAGTATGAGTACATGAACATGATATAATATCTTGTTCATGCACAAGATATCATAGATATGTTTGAAATACGCTGATTCCCTCACGCTATAGAGATTCCTGCAAACCTCCAATGATCAATCCTTCAACTCCTATACTCCAATTCGCTTTGAACATTCGCCTTGCGACGACATCCCACGCCATCGCCCCAAATCCACTCATCGATATAGTGGCAGGATATTCAAACGGCCGCCTATTCATGCTTCCAACCCCTTGATATTCCCAATTCCCAGCATGGGTTTCCGGATATGCATTGCAATGCTACCAACGATTTGACCATATCAACTCCCGTCCGGATCATCACTTGTGAACTCTGGACTTTCATCACGAGGCCATATAAAGCGTTCAAAATTGAAAAAATCTCGAAATTGGTTCCTAAAAATAGGGGACCGTGGTTGTTCGGGTACAGATGCGGCGTCAGAAGCTTGAGCGGGTATGCCTCGGTGTTGACTGAAATCAGGCGCCTGCACCTGCTGCACCGTTGACTGTCGTAGCGCTAGCTGTCTTGTGCCTTGGGTGCTATTCGTCTGGCTTGGCTCGGATGCAAGTTGCTCATGTGCTGTTTGTGTAGTTGGAGAACGATTACTTGTTTGATGCGCAAGGACTAGATCTACCGCTTTTCTCATTAGTAGCAGCGTATCTGCCTTTAAGTATCTCCCTAAATTCCTTCCAACTGTGAAAACTTGTAAGAGGTTTTCAAGCCCATGAACTTGTTCCAGTAAGCGATGCAGTACGACAGGCTGCTTTTGTCCAAGACAATTGACTAGTTCGGTATAGAGCGTAAATCTCTGCTGATCAAGCAGTTCATTAATCATTGACGATCCGGGGTTGGGTCTAGGGTCTGGTACTGGTACTTCTTGGGGTGCTAGAGGTGCTAGAGTTACTCTCATCATTTGTATAATCACAATTAAAAGGTGCTCCTGCTCCAATCGCGGTCGAGCTTGAGCTTCGAAGTGTGGTCGAAGCTTTCGAATTAAATCCTGATGAGCTGGATTGGTGTCCTCGTCCATTTGTCTTAGAAACGTGTGGGGCAGTGACACTCGTTCAGTGCCTTGTTGTTCAATCTGTTGATCCGATTGCGGATTGGTGTCAGCTTCGAGCTGTGGTCGCATCACGACTAGTCGAGCTCGAAATTGCTGTAGCAGTAGCCTGTATCGGGCTAGTTGATGTAAAACAGTTGGATTCTTACTGTCCCAGAAGAGCATGTCGCCATCGTCTTCCGTCATCTCATCTGGACTAATATCCTCCGCGTTGGAGTTGCCAATCTCTGGCCTGTTTCTGGATAGCCCTGGTGTTATTTGATTGGCGATCATTATTTCTTGCTCAGCTATCTCATCAGTTCGATCGAGACTCCTCAGAAACTCGGCGACCCAGTTGTCCTCATTCATAGGCATGCTCATGGCTAAGGTCGAGGGTTAAAATGTTTCCAAGAAAAGTAAGCTGGAGCTTATGAAACCGACGGAAAAGCAATAAGGATATTAATATTAAACCAAGATATATAGACTGGGACAGTATAATGATAGATTTATGAAAGTATACCGAACAAGTTATGGAGATCCTACGAGAGATGGTTTGTTTACTTGGCAAGAAAATCAGCATGCTCCTGCTCTACCAAAGCCCGCAAACACTGGTTCGCTACTACCATACAGAAATTGACACCCAGATAAACAAAGAGGCAAGTAAGAGTAAGTCAATATAGTCTAATAAGCCTGTACAGTCATGTCCACTGGGTGCAAAAGGCACTGTTGAACTAAGTCTAAAGCAAGCTTTATTAGAAAAAGTGTCCATTACAAATTCAGTGTCTGAGACAACTGTGGTCGCTGTGAGGAGCCAGAGAATTATACATTGTTATACCGTGGTTCTGATTTTAAACAACAAAAGATCAGAATGTGACCACAGACCAACGTGGCATTGGTGTAAATAGAGCTCTCGGTGTTCTACCCGTCCTTTATCATACATTCGAGGTCGAGGACATGTAAGAAAACAGTTGTCAGTATTGATTACAATTAAGGCTATTTGAAATCAAATATTTCGGCCGGATCAACTTCAATTCCGGATGACCTAGTCAGTGCACTCATCGGTAAATCAACCAATCGTATTTGTCGGCAGATTTACAGATTGACATCTTATCGGGCAAACCAGAATTCCTATATCTGGGACTTTACCCCTCCATCATACAAAATTTTCCCCTCAATATATGAGATGACATCTTCCTCACCCACAAAGATGCGACTCCAACATCTAGCAGATTTTAAGCCTCAAGCTGCAACTCGAGCTTGGGTTTCCATCCCAAATCCCAATAACCTACCTCTCATTGCGACTGCGACCTCGGACAAATCGGTACGGGTATATTCCTTGATCAACTTCACATTACATTCGACCTTGGAGGGCGGACATGAGAGGAGTGTGAGATCGGCGGCGTGGAAACCGGGTGTGAGGAAGGATGGGGCTTTGACTATAGCTACGGGTAGTTTTGATGCGACAATGGGGATTTGGAGAAGAAAAGACGAGCCGAAAGATACAACGGAGGATGCGGTATTGGAGATGGAAATTGGTGCTGATGGAACTGCCCAAAAAGGTCCACAATTGAGGAGTGGTGGTGATGAAGATGGTTATTCGGATGAGGGAGAAGATTGGGAGTTTTCTATTGTGTTGGAAGGACATGATTCTGAGATTAAGCATGTAGCTTACTCACCTAGTGGACAATGGCTGGCTTCATGCTCAAGAGACAAGTCGATATGGATCTGGGAAGAAATAGGAGATGAGGGTGAGGATGAATTTGAAACAGTAGCAGTCTTACAGGAACATACTGCAGATGTAAAGTCCGTTTGTTGGAGAAAGGATGATGGTAATGGAGAAGTTCTTGCCAGTGGTAGCTATGACGATACAATCATCTTATGGAGAGAAGATGGAGAGGGAGAGTGGGGTGCTGTTGCAACTTTAGAGGGACATGATGGTACTGTGTGGGATTTGGATTGGGAGCCGGATGTTTGTATAAAGTCGGAAAGTAGCGAAGATCCACCAGTATCTACACAACGACTACTCTCCTCTTCCGCAGATATGACGATTCGACTTTGGTCAAAAGTCCCTACACCACCGCCACAAAACAAGCCATCTTATCTCAATCCCGGTATTCCCAGTACCATGCGACCTGCGCCCGAGAACGAAACCTGGGAATGCACCGCAACCCTACCCAAGGTACACGATCTCCCCATTTACAGCATTAATTGGAGTAAGCAATCTGGCAGAGTAGTATCTACGGGTGGTGACGGCAAGGTAGCAGTCTACGAAGAACGTACCAAGGGTCGAAATATTGTTGGTGGTGCCATCGAAAAAGAATGGGTAATTCTCACTATTCTTGAGGGTGCTCATGGACCTTACGAAATCAACCATGCTACTTGGTGTATGAGATTTGATAATGGCAAGAAACTGGATGAAGAAATGATCATCACAACTGGTGATGATGGAATTGCCAAGGCCTGGTTTATTGATGAGAACGTGGAGGAGAACAAAGTAGAAGTATAACGATAAAAATGATTGGGTTGGTTGCATGGAATAAGAGATCCGCGGTTTGTACAAAGTCATCAAGTTATAAGCATAGCGTCCGGCGTTGCATGTCATGTCATGTCACATCACATAGAGGGCTACACATTTACATTTATATTTACATCTACAATTTTTTCTTCTTCATTCTTTTGCTACTAGAACTAATATTACAAAATTATTACGATACAAAAGTTTTATCTGATTTGGCTGAAAACCAACAGCAGGAGCTTACCAAAAGACCAACCAACCTGGCTGAATGATCTATCGGTTAGAGAGGAAAGGAAAGGAGAGTAAGAGTAGAAACAAGAAAAACCATATTCTAACACAAATTTCGAACGTCAGAGTGAAATACATACACACATATTAAATGAGTGAGTGGTGAGGAAAGAAATGAAAACAGAGAATGAAAAAGGAATGAAAAGAAATACAAGATATCCTAACTCCAACTCCAACTCCAGATCCAAAATACTGAATCTACACTGTTGTCAAGTGACAACACAACCAACTCGTGAGTGAGTCGAGACTGACAAAAGAAAGCTTGTATAATCCAATCAATCAACGCAAGCGCACTTTCATCAGACATTTCAACTTTCCCACGCCTCATTCATTCATCCATTTTCTCAATCTTCATAACCACCTCCCCCATCCACCCTCCCCCTCCACTAAAAACCTCACCCCCTCATCAAATTCCCATGCGGCGCCTCCCCCCTCAACCTCCAAAAATAAAAATTCTCCACACTCTTCCTAACCAACATCTGCGCCTTCCTCACCTGCATCCCCCGCTGCAATATTTTAAAAGCTTCGGGTAAGATTTTTCCGTCTGGATCGACGGCGTGTGGTTCTTCCCACCAGGGCTTGGGGCAGGTGCAGTGGGCGAGGATTTGGTCGACGGTGGTGGGGGTGAAGAGGTGGTGGGGGGGGAAGCGGAGGGGGGGTTTGGGGTTTGGGAGGGAGTTTTGGGAGGAGCTTGTGGAGGGGTTTGTGGGGGAAGAGGATGGGGAAGGGGGGAGAAGAGAAGAGGGAGGCCACCACGATGAAGAGGAATCGTAGAGAAATTTTTGATGGAGCGGTTGCAGGAGGAAGGCAATGTGCGAGGTGCTGAGGCCGTGGCCGTGCAGATAGAGGATTAGAGATTGCGCGGGAGGAACGAGATATGCGGAGCCTGGGCGCGTGAGATCGATGTAGGAGGTATCAGAGTCGGAGTCCGAAGACTGATCGCTTAAAATTTGGGCTTTAGATTTGGAGATTTTGAATTTGGAGATTTTGGATTTGGAAATCTTGTTACTCGGGGATTTACCATCGAGCTTGGCAATGTTGGCTTGTGAAAGAGAGGGTTTGCGGAAGGAGGAAATGTTGCGTAGAGTTAGTGTGCTTTTGCTTTTTGCGGCGCTGGAATTGGAATGGGTGCTGCGGGATCCGATGCCAATGCCAATGCCAATGCCGATGGGAGGGGTGGAGGGAAGTGCTTTATTTTTATTAAGATTAAGGGAGCGAGGGATAGATTTGAGGGTTGGCACGAAGGATTTGCCGGATTTGGTAGGTGAAGGAACTGGTGTAGATGAGCCTGTCGAAGCTCGAGATCTCGAATGCGAACCCATTTGCGAGGATTTTGCCGGTTGGGAAATCGGATCGAGATAGCTCATTAGGATCATCTCGGCAGTGGGATCGCGAGGCTTGCGCGCTTCGTGTTCGTGCAGAGAGTATCCTATTATATCCTCGATGAATTCGGCATCCCAGGCCGCGGGACGAGCACGCTCCATTTCGTCGGGTGTGATGCCGATGCTTGTGCAGTCGTGGGCTGCGTCGTATGGTGGGTACAGTTGGAAGACGTGCGGTGTAAATGTCGATGTGCCAATGGCGTAATCTTCTTGACATTCTGTTCCATGGTACGAGGAATCGCCAAAAGAGTAGTCGTTGAATGTTCCATCGTCGCTCTCACTATCTTCGTCGTCGTCGGTGTCGTATTCTTCTTCGCTGGCTACACTGTCGGGATTCGAGGTGCGGTTCATCATGCTGAGATCGTATTTTCCCGTGGAAATGTAGCCGCGCGCCATGCGAGCTCGGAAACTATTGTCGATGCCAACAGTACCAGGACTAGTACCAGTACCTGTGCCGGCGCGGTGATCGTCGGTGGTTCCGTAACCTTCGACTATGGAACCTGCGTATTCTCCTGCTTCGGATCCTTCAGCTTCGCTTCCTACGAATTGTCCTCCTTCCTCAGAAGAGCGTTTATACATTCTTCCCGTCTCAGATGCTGTGAATCCTGCGGGGCCGAAATCGTCGTAGGGGATCCCATCACTATCATACTCCGCTGCAATCTCATGCTCCACTTTCTCGTCTGCATGTTCGCGCTGATCTCTCTCCTCATATTCATCCTCAGCCTCATCCTCAAGCCTAAATTTCAACTCCAACTCCTCCAAGCCAGGAACATCCAGTCCTCGCACGTCCTTCCTATTCACACCATCAAGACCTACGTCATGTGGTTCAAACAATGGTACGCCATAGTAAGCCGAATAGTTGCTTTTAACGTCAAATACTGGACCCATTCTCCAATCCCCAGCGGCAACGATATGAAAATGACGTTGCATTTTCGTCATGTCCTCCCACACATGAGCCCATCCAGGTATTCCCAAAAGATTAACAAGATCCTTATGTTTGAACTCTGGTTCCGTTTCCTCATCCAGTTCATCTCCCATAATCGTAACATCATCATCATCATCATCATCATCATCATCATCATCCTTACCAACGACACTTCCATTCTGTGAATTTGGCGGGTTGACATATCCCTCGGGGATAAAATCAAAAGGAACTTTAACCTCATCTCCACACAGTCGCTTCAACTCTCGTGTTGTCAATGCAACAACGTGGTCTGGATCAGCTTCCTCTGTGCTATCCGCCCACTCGCTCACTTCTTGATACCGATCATATGCAAGATATGGATTATCAGTTTCGGGGTTATAACCTGGTATATCTTCACCATACGCAGAAGGATTCTGCCAGAAGCGACGAGCATGTTTATGATACACAGTATCCGAGGAGATATTATCCCAATTGAGCGAGAAAGAACCGCGAGAACTATAATGGCGAGATCTCAGAGAAGGTGATCGTGAGCGGGATTGGGATTTTCCATCGAGCTCCAAGATCGAGATATTTGACTCGGAACTCGATCTCTTCTTGAATCGGTGCAATTCTGCAGATTGAGCCGGAACAAATTGCTGGGGATCAAAAGTCGGAAATTCGTGCATCTCGGGATTTCGTCGCGGTCCAATAAACGCTCCTAGGGTTCCCTCTTCACCTTGCTCCATAACATCATCGCCTTGAAAACTTGTGTGCCGACTTTCTTCTTCCCCGAAAGAAGAATGCTGATCTTCGATCTCTCCACTTTGACTCGTATCCCGCGACTGCTCTTCGAGCTTGGCTTGTTCTTCCTCTGCCTCTTTTCGCATCTGTGATGAATGGCCCGAGTTATCACTCCGCCTACTAAGACTCCGCGCAAATCTCCATACCTTGCGTGTCCTACCACTTCCACTGCCGTCACTCCCCTTTTCTTTTCCCTTGCCAGTTGATAAACTTCTCGATAAACTTCTCTTCACCACACCCAATCCTTTGCTTGTCAATCCTGGCTTATTCTTGATTTGCGGCTCCCAACGAGCATGGAGATCTCGACTCGCACTTCGTCCTCTCTCATAATTAAGACTCGCGCCAGAATCCGACGATGGTGAAAGCGAAAGTGAAAGCGAAATTGAAGAAGCGGCTGTAACTTCAGATGTGTTGCTTTCACTTACTTCCAACTTGCCCATCTCACTTAGATCTCTCTCAACCCCGTACTTCAATTGAAGCAAAGCAGTGCGATTTCTCAGCCCATCTGTAAGAGTCGTCGATGCACTGCCCCCACCCCCCTTACTCTTTCTCAACTTTTTACTTGCTGGAGTAAGAGGTCTGGAGATCTTCAAGGAAGTCATCTTTCCTGTACCCATAAAGACGATTTCCCCATCAATTTCCTCTGAAACCTTTCCTTGGGAAATTCCACATCCACCCTCACCCTCCTCATCGTCTCCACCCTTATCACCAACATCATCCTCACCACATCCCTTCTCACTCGCACTCTCACTCTCACTCTCCTCATCCTCATCCTCATCCTCATCCTCCTCACCAATCCCCGTACGCCCCCCCGTAATCACTGTCCTCCTCCCCATCTTCACCCTCTCTACATCCCTACAAACCACACAAACACAATCCTCCGAATGTCTCTCCTCAACCGTCGTTCCAAAATCCACATTTATCGTAATCTCCTCTTCCAAAATAATCCGACTACCTTCTTCGGTAATGATCGCCCTCGATTCTACATAATCATAATGTTCTTCGCTTGTCATGGAGAGGGGTCCTGGATAGATGGGTACGGCACGAGGCATCATCTTTGTGAGAAGTTTTTGATTGTGCAGAATTGGCTTGGAGAATGATTGGTGTGGCTGTCTCGGATTTGACTCTATCTTGTCACAGGAGATTGATCGAAGGACTTAAATTGTAGTGAAGGTCGGATGCGATAATATCTTGTCTTGTTTGTTGAAATGTAGTACAGTATCTGAATTTTGAGATTATGTTTCCTTGGTAGTCTGAAGGAAATCCAAGCAACGAGCAACGAGCAATGAGCAAAGTGTATAGAACAACCTGTCTCTGTATCTGTCTCTATTCAAACAATTAGAATATTTCCCCATTCACAAAGAATAAAACACATACCCTGATCAGCGCAATAAAATAGCAAAACAAGATTTCTTCAATTCTCTCTTCAATTCTCTTTTGCTGTATTGTTACCATAAAATTATTATATCTGCCAATATCAAGTATCAAGTATCAAGTATCAAGTTATCAATCATAAAGCAGCATAGCAATTTCTTCTTTTCTTTTCTTTCTCCAAAACAAAACCAAGAAGTCAAGAAGTCAAGAAGTCAAGAAGTCAAGAAGTCAAGAAGTCAAGAAGTCGATGAAAGAGTCCTCTCCTGTAAATTTTCACGTCGGTTCACGTCGGTTCACCTCGTGTCGCAAATTATTAATACCTCCAAGTTTCAACTTTCAACTTTCAACTTTCAACTTCGAAATAACAAAACAAGATAAGACGATACCATCTCATCTCATACCCAATACACTACCAAAGAAAAACCCAGAAAACCAAGATAAGAATTTGGGAAATTACTATTACTGGGTATTAGTACTCATAGGGAGTCTAGGGATCAAGGAAAAACTTAAAAGTGAATAGGAATTAACGGATTTAAACAAAAGAAAAACGTGCTGGGTTTTAATTTAATATAAAGTATAAATGGTAATTTTGAAAAGAGGGTAGATAAGGTAAAGTAAACCAAACCTATCAAGGTGTTGTGGAAATTTTGATAAGGTGAGGTGAGATGAGGTGAGATGGTGAGGTGGGTTTGATTTGATTTGATGGGATTTGATGGAATATTCTCGGTGGTGAAGGAAGGGAAAGGAATGGAAAGGGAAGTTATTTAGGTTGTGATTGAATACTGAATGCTGAATGGAGTGAGGATGAGTGACGGTGAATAAGTGAATAAGTGAATAAGTGAAGCAAGATGAAAGATTGAAAAAGTACCCAGCCTGAGTAGCTAGTGAATAAACAAACAAACAAGCAAAATAACGTGAAACTGAAAGAAACCAAAGAGTGTTCTTTCTTAACTTCTTCATAATAGAACAAATATCCTAGGAATAAAAGAGAAAGAGAGTACTTTACTTTTGAAATAACAACTTCACTTGAATCTAACCATCTCAATCTTGATATTGCTCTTGCTCTTGATTCTTCTGCTCAAATACCCTTTTCATTCATTGTATACCATACCTTTGATATCTACCTAGTTGTATCGTATCATCCTCAAGCTACAGGACAGACATCTGCTTTGACATCTGCTTTGTAACTTGTAAATAAGCTAGCTCTCGCTCTCTAGCAATTATACTGAGTTAGTTGCTTATCTTACTTACTCCATCTGAATTATACTAAATTGAACCCGTACTTGTACGAGTACATACTCCTCAAAATACATACATACAATACCTACCTTCTGCAGATCACATTACTATTTCTCCTTTCTTTCTTTCTACTATCTATTGATAACCCACGCTTACCCACCATTCATTCCCAACATCATCCATCCACCCTCACCAACACCCATGAGTCATCAACACCTTCATCTATCTACCTCCAAGTTCCCTCTACATATACCCAGACAACATGCATATAAATATATAAATACATAAATACACAGCAACTCCTCACTCCTCACTCCTCACTTCACACTTCCACTCCCCACTTCACACTTCACACTTCCCACTTCCACCTCAAACTCCCACTCCAAACCAAACTCCCCTGCTCATGCATCTAACCCAAAGCAAAAGCAAAAGCAAAAACATATGCAACCACATTACTGGTATATTTATATTCATCGTTTCGTTTCACTACAATATCTCTTATTTCCTCTCATCTCCTCTCTTTGAAACCCCCATCCCCATCCCCATCCCCATCCCCAACCCCAACTCTACCTACCCCTGTCCCATATCTCCACCTCTCCACATCTCCTTTCTCTCATCTCTTCATCCCCTCATCCCCTCATCCCCCCTCATTCCCTCATCTCCTCATCTCTCTTCTCATCTTCTCTCATCCCCTCATCCCCTCATTCCCCCTCCAAGTTCCCCCTCCAAGTTCCCCCTCAAAATCTATCATCACTAGGAATATCAAATCAACACCTTATACTCCTTCCTCTCCTTAAATCCTCTCCTTAAATCCCCACCTCCTACATCCCATCCATCCTAGCTCTCATCTTCCCCCTCAAAAAGAAAACAAAGGAATTCTCGCTATATTGCTCTCTCACACACACACACCTAGTCTACACCCCTATCCTGCATTCCACACCACTCCCACACTCCTCTATCCCACTCCACTCCACTCCACTCCATTTCATTCCATACCACACCTCCACTCCTCATCTCTATTAACAATAGTAGTTTATCTATTCCCAATCACAATTACATTTACTCTCTTCCTCCCCTCCCCTCCCCTCCCCTCCCCTCCCCTCTCCTCTCCTATCCCATATCCCCTATCCCCTATCCCTTCCCCTTCCCCCTCTCCTTCCTCTCAACAACACCCATCCTAATTTCAAAACTCAAGTGCCAATCCATCATCCATCATCCTCAATTCCCTTCCCCTACCCCACAAGCAGATACTGCAGAATTGAAAAAAGATTAAAAAAAGAAATCCCAGCACTTGCCAGCTTTCTCCCTCTTCTCCTCCTTCTTCCCCTTCCCTATCCCTATCCTATCCTACTCCCCAAACTCACATATCAATATCAATATTAATATCAATCAAATGTGCACCACACTCCTTATCACAACATCACTCAATCACTTACTCAGTCAATCAAATCTCATCTCATCTCATATAATTCCAATTAATATCTTCCATTCCATTTCAATTCAATTCATTTCAATTGCATGCTCACAAGTTTTACCAAAATATACAACCAACCAAGCAATCCCATCAATCCAATCCAATCCAATCCAATCCAATCCAATCCAATCCAAGCAACACAATAAACCTCAATCCATTCATACTGTATCAACAGACTACTCATTTCCCCTCATCTCATTGCAGTGAATTCGTCCCTTATTCCTTTGTTTCCCCTTGCTGATAGTCTAGAAGACATCTAACATTATGCTCCTATCATCCCATCCTATCGCGTCCCAACCTATCCTACGCTATCCAATCCAATCCCAAAAGAAAAAAAAACCCAACCAAAAGACCAAAAGTTAGCGCACACATACTCACAAAGCGCCCAACCAAATTGCAACATGAAGCAAAAAACTGTAGGCATACTCCGAAACGTGTATTTAATAATGATGTGATCATCCAAAATGATGAAACAATTTTTCCACCTAACCGACCCAGAAGAGATGCGTGGACTTTAATTGTCTCCGAAAGATTAAAGACACCACCACCCAATGACTGATTGTTCGACAACTATTATACAGATTGTAGTCGATGTATGCGAAAGGAAACGACAGACGCTGGGTATCAGAATTAGGAAATTGAAGAAACACGCAGGTATGCAAGACCGGAACCCAAACCGACCCGCCCAGCCCCGAATGACTCCCAAAAAGCAATGCGGATTTATAAGAAATGTGGAAAGTAAAAATAAGAATATTATGAGGCGGCCTCCGAGCTTTTTGATATATGTTGCTGTAGTAATTCGTCTCCAGCCATTCTTGGAGGTATTGATTTTTTCATATAATGTGTCGCCATAACGTATCCGAAGTCTGGCTTTAGTATGAATGACTCCGGGTGAGTGGTCTCCTTCGTGTCAACTCTCTCGATGGCTCGGTTCTACCATTGAGAGAGTTTTGGAGATATCATGATTCAGTCTGTGATTCTTTCATGACTCATCAACTGGTAGATCTGGATCTTGCATCATGTTGATATCACCTTCCTCCTCGGCATCTGGATTAACAAGATATGCCAATGGGGCCCAAACCCTCCAATGTAAAATACCAATATGGGCAATCCTGGTGGCAACCTCCGTAACTTCCTCTTTTTGTCCAGTTGCTGGTGCATTCCCGTGCATGACTCCGTTTGTAGATTTTGGCGACGTGGCCGCATCAAAGATTTGGAGACTCGTCAAGGGAGTATATGACTCGACAAGCTTTTGTAATTCGGGGAAAAGCTTCGAAAGTACGCGTGCTTCCGCGTCTTGGTAAAGATTGGATCGAGGGTTACTAAGGTGGTACGAGAGAAGAGTTTCGAACACTAGAAGGCGTGCCATAGGGGTTGGTGTTGAGCGAAGAATCTGCAAGGCAATATTCGACGATAATGCGGTCCACCTATCTTGCGAGGACGAAGAAGCTAGCAGCGCTTGAAGAGATGTGCGTACTTGCGATGTAGAATCCGAGTTTTGAAGAGACAAATAAAGTGGTGTTACGGGATAGGTCTCGGGGGTCGATGCGGTCGTTGATGGTGACGAACGTGGGCTAGACGATATGGAATTCATAGCTTCGTCTTCTAAATTTGGTACCCATACTTGTCGACCCGAAAGTTCAATTGAGAAGTGACCTCTTTCTTGAGCTAAGTGATTGTACTTTCGCTTGGCGGTGAAGTCATTCTCTGAAGGTACTGTCGGCGCCGAGAGAATACCTTCATCTGCGGGAGAAGTTATATAAGAAGAAGCAGCAGGTGTATCATCATGCGGCACTGATCTAGCCTCGTTTATCCTAGATGTCGCTTCAAGTTTTTGATACAAGAACATGCAAATCTCGAGGTTGATGAGATCCAGCATATCCGCGCGAAGTTTGACGAGGCGCTCCTCATCGAAGAGGAAGGTATGAGGAACGGGTTCTATGGCTTTGGATGGTAGTGTTAGATTCACAAGTGCCTTCATGAAATCCCACGTGTTTCCTTGAGTTCGTGTTGATGCGTCCAGTGGAAGACTATCTGGTAAATTCGCTGCTTTCCTAAACCAATCATGCGCTGACGCGATGTCTACTCGACCCATTGCAATTTTCCTTACAAAGAACTTTTGCTCAAATTGAACGGTATCGTCGATAAGCAACGGGCGCAGACACCTGATTTGGTGGTTTGCAACATCCTGAATTCCATATTAGAAAATTTCCATCAAGCTCATGTCAAGTAGAACTTACGAGTTTCATAGCTTCCAAGACACCCAGCAGACTTCGCATTCCGGAGACTAACATTCCCACGTCCCAGCTTTTGTCACCCTCACTCAACTGAATTACCATTTCATCCACCCACGCGTCTCTCATCGGCGCGCAATGACACTTCAGAAGTTGCGATAGCCATAATGCAAGTTTACCCAGGTCAGCAACACCTTTTCGAAATTGCTGCATTAAGAGATCAACGTTGAAGGTCTCCTCGACCGATGACCGATCTCGCTGTGGGACTAATGTCTCCAAGATCCCTCTGATGGCTTTAAGCGTTGCTGGCAAGCACCATTCCGCAACCACCAAGTCTCTCTCGAATTGCTCACGGTCAGTCAAGTACCCTTGGAGTTGCGTTCGCATCGTGTCCCAAAAATCATTAGCTTTCTGAGCCTTCTTTCGCCCCTTTTCTCCATCGAGATTAGGTCTAAAATGCAAATCCGGATCAAAGTTGATGTCATGTCGAAGTTTAGGATTGTGTACTATCTTGTTCACATCGAGTTCACTCAAGGTTGATTTGGTGACAGGGGGCTCCAACGCCGGCTTAGCCACAGGTTGTGGGCTTCTCTTTGACGTACCGGACCCTTCTTGACTAGAGGAAGTTGTTGATCGTTCAAACGGATATCTGGGGGCCGGGTTCGTGGGTGGTGAGCTACTATTAGCCGTAAATGTACTGGACGACTGTAAATCATATCCCTGAGGGTCGTCGTTGTTAATCTCCCTAGACTCTTGCGCTCTCTCTGTTACCTGAGCCTCGGTTATAGCTCTGCCGTCGGTATTCGCAGGTCTTTCGGGGGTAGTCGTGATGCTATTCCCACGTTGTCTCTTCCCTGCATCGTGCTCCATTTTGATGTGATTCTCAACCCAACTTTACGGTGTTTCTTGCAAAAGTTGTATTCAGCTATCAAGCTGTTATTATTAGAAAAGAATTTCGCCGCAGTCCAAAAAGTAAAATCTGTAAAAGTACAGTGTTAGTAATTGCTTTTTGTGGCTCGGGCGTCAAGGTATAATGTTGTGGGCAAACAACGAGTGTGCTCTGTACTTCGAAAAGTATGATCTCGTGGATGCGGTACGGGTAGTAACATTGTCTTGTACGCCCCTTTCGAGGAGTTCTCGAATCCGCACGAAAGAGTTGTTTGTATTTATGCACAAGGCCGGGAACTTGCAAAACATACCTCTTTTGTGAAACCTGACAGATCTTCTTCGCCCCAATGATTGATAACCAGTTTCTATGATTTTTTAAAATCAAGTCGACTTTCTAGTGTTGACGAGGAGAAGTTGTACCGGAAAGGACAGGAATTGGCTGGAAAGCCTTGTTGATTGAATGAAGTTGAAAGGTTGAAAGATGGCAACAACAACAAAGGAAGTTCTTGGAAGCAGAACAATCTAAAAAGAGCAAAGCGCAATAAGAGAAGATGAAAGCAGGAAATTAATGAAGTAAGGAAGGCAAGAATTGAGAGAGAGAAGAGAGAAATGACAACCAAAATGGTGTACAATTACAATTGTTAGAGGAGTAGTATTGGGTTGTGGTTTGTGATGGTGGTGATGGTGGTGGTCGAGGTGGTGGTGGTGTTGATGCAGTGATTGCAGTATGTATGTATGCAATAGCAATAATGCTATGCAAGTTTCGAAGTGAATAGATGAGAAAAGGAGAGAAGGAGAGAGGAAGAGATAGAGACAGAGACAGAGACAGAGACAGAGAGTTTTAGATTTGAAAGCGAATGGGAGAAAGGATTTCGTGACTGTGAGTTGTTGGGGGGATGTATGGATCTTTGAGTTGCAATTGAGACAACAGACAGTGCTCTCTCGTTTGGAATGGAAGCCAGGGACGCCTTGACCTTTGGGAAATTCAATAAGTCAGGGAGCCGTTCCTTCCAAGAAAGATAAGTCTATATTATGGTTATGATATAATAAGGAGGGTTATAATATGATGATGATATTCCAAAGTTCAATTTACTGTAAGAAGATTATGTCAAGCTGACATTCACGAAGTACAAGTACTGGTACAGTATGTATTGACAATAATAACAAGATATCCAATCCAACCAAAATATTCAATAAGACAGACTTCACTTTCCCCACACGAGTCAATAACATACTGTACTAACTAAAATGTCTAAAATGGATTACGGATTCAGGTTACTGTATACCAAAGTTCAACGATATCGATTCCATTCTTTCACAGATACAAAGATCTATAGAGTTATAGAGTTGTTCAAGTTTCTCTCTACAAGTAAACGCCTCCTATCTCATATTTTATTGCATACACCCAATTGATTTATTGCCTGCATTCGCTTACATGTGCATACATACATACCTAGCCTCAGGGTAGGGTGGATAGATATGCATAGTAAAATATGTACAAGTACAGTAGTAGATAAAAGAAGCCTTGCTTTTGCATCCCATCGGCAGTGAAAGCAGGCGCGCGGCCCATACTTGAATGTTGATTGGTGTAAAGCAACCTTCGGAGTCCATTGGGATCATGCAGAGAGGAAGGAGGCCGAAAATGGAGCCCGGTCTTTTACAACCCATGGCCATTATTGTCACGATATCACGATGTATAATGTATATATATATATTACTGGGTGTTTGTATATTACTAGGTGCAGTACGGTATGTAAGTTCTAGTCCTGCAGATAGAGAGAGAGAGAGAGAGAGAGAGAGAGAGAGAGGTTGGAGTATCTAGAACCCCCATTCTACTCGAGTAGATTGGATTTAGGTTTCAACGGTTGTTAGAGCTTATAAATATCTCTAGGTAGACTTGGGAGGTTGATGCTAGTGGGTAGACATACATACCGGTAGCATAACATAGCATAGCACACTATTAATAATAATAATAATACAGTAACAATACTACCTCAATTCAACTCCCTGCTTACTTCTCGAAATTTTATATATTGAAGATTACTTTTCATGCTGAGAATTATCAAAAGACGCCGGAGCAACCGATGCAACCACCGATGGATGGATGCAACTTGATGCAATTGTATTATAAAGCCTATCTAAGACCCGCTATACAGCCTTAATTACAGGGATTGACACGAGGGCACCTTTAGGCTTGTTCCAGGTACTATACCGCTACAAACTTCTCCCCCTGTTAAAAGTCATTTCTTTTCATTTCATTCGTTCCTTGTAACGTGGAAACATCTAGTTCTATCCGTATTTGTTCTTATTTCCGTTTTTCTCTTTCCACTTACTTATGCCTCCATCGCTCCCATCGTCTCGCCTGATGTCTTTCGCTACCAACCCACCATCCCACATTTCTAGCGCTTCTCCAATTCGACCTCCCTCAACCCCTGTAGCCGGGTTCCATGTTCAATGTTCATATTGTTCATGCCATAAATACCCTATTCAGTACCTAGGTAGGTTAGAACTTTAGAACTTCTGAACTTTTGAACTCTTCCAGATGACTGGATACTGGATTGATCCTCTCTTTCTTCAGCCTCGGTGTTCATTAATTCCTACTTAAGTAACCATGGATATCCTCGATTATCGATATCGTATCTCCTTTTTCTTCTAAAAGTTATTTCTCGTTTACTCGGAAAGGATATTCCTTACGAGCAAACCGAAGACAGACCATCAATCAGCACAATAGATCAAATCACATCGTGGCCAAAATGGACGGACCCTTCCCATCCAACGGATAGATCAATGCTTGACCAAAGAAACCTTCCAGCTCGGATAGGGACACTGTCAGTGCTGCACGCAGCCTTGCCATCTTGAGGAATGGCCCCGGGTATGCAGCTGAATTTGCAAAGGTCGCCATTCGGGAGTATCAAAATATTATCAATCAGGACTATTCCATCAGAGCAGGGCATACCAGAGGCGTCAGATTTTAAACTTTCAAGCCCCTTCAACATGACCGATGCGAAGAGAACCCTTCATAATCCTTCCTGCAAGCCCCTTCTTTTCTTCCATTTATTAGACGACACACACCGGGGAACACAGATAATAGATTTTTGACGAATATCATCATCTCCGGTAATCTTCTTCCTTTGAAATTTGATCAACAGGGACCTTGTGACGGCAGAAGAATTGCAACATATCTACGTGTATAGAACTTACTCCTTCCTTACTCCCGTCTTTTTCAAAATCATCTGCGAGATTTGGTGTTTCCTCGCTGGGCTCACACTGTTACCTTTGTATATAAAGAACCCAATACACAACGTAGCCACAACATCGGCAAGTCCGTCGGTCGTCACATATCTATCTTACACGTAATTAAGTAAATAAGTAAATAAGTAAGAGAGAGAGAGTTCGAGCAGGTAATCAATTCATCATCATCATCATTCATCAAACACACAAAATTCACATTTGACTCTTTGCAACCAACCTTTCCTTCACGCCTCGGTCGTACCTACTCAGCACACATATATTACTACTACAAGAAGAGATGGGTCCGATATATTAACTCAACTGCAAAGCTCACGAGAGACGGACATCAGCATTCTTGGGTACTTGTACTGTACCTCCTTACTTAAGTTAAGCCCTTTGCTTTGATCACAAATCTAATATGCAATGCAATATGCAATGCAAACAAACGCAAGAAGAGCGGATAGATTGAAATATTTTGTTTGTTCGTTTATCGAATTCTTTCCATCCTTCCCCTCTTGATCATTTCACATTTTCATATTTTAATATTTCACTACTTGTATTGTTATCTATCACCTCCGCCTTGCCTAGTATCTACTCCACTACCTACCTACTTGCCACACAGCGAACAGAAGAGGTAGGTTTAAAAGAGGTTCAAGGCTACAATACTGTATACAATATCGGCTACCGAAGAATGAATGTATTGGTAGCAAGCAAGTACAGTACAGTAACATCAACCAACATATTTCCATTTCCATTTCCATTCCAGTAACATTCCGGGAGGCAGGCTTTCTGCGGTCTAACCTTACTGTACAAAAAGAAAAATGAAAACTTTGATGGATGACAGAACACGGAAGATTATGGTTATGAATCAAACCATCGATAGTTTTTAGGAGATCAATCAAAAAAAAATAAAGTCTAATAAAACACTTATATATTAGCATAGCAAAAAAAGAGTGAGGCGTGCGAAATTTGCGCTATGAAAGAATGGATGAGTCTTGGACTTTGTCCTATTTCTCAGATTCTTATATAGTTATTTGGTAAGTTACAACTGCCATCATATCGTATCGTATCATCATCACATCACGTGTTGATTATCTAATATTATCTTTCGAATCCAAAGTTCTATTACTTGTATATCGATCTTCCAAGCAACTCAAACTCAATTCAGTACTTACTACTCCGTCGTTATATGTTATATGTCGGGCAACTCTTCTTCGAGAGCTTTTCAATCTTATCTTACCTTACGATACCTTACGATACCTTACGATACCTTACGATATATACATACCTTACCACCCATCTAGGTAACTCCTACGATGATTATGAGATGGAGATGGTCTGGAATGATCCTTTCCTACTCATCCTGCGACCCCTGAACGAACTCATCGAATAGATTCAACGAATAGATTCAACGAATAGATTCAATGAGTAAATCAAAAAGTGCCCAAGAAAGTTATATGTAACTTTGGAAGAGAGCAATATCAAAAGATTCCGAAAAGATTCTCTGGTTCATTCATCCATCCATCCATCCATCCATCTACCATATAAATCTTTTTCGGTATTCACAGCCTCAGCCACCAACCACACTGATTATATTATAACTTTCGTTATGTATATCCATCCCATCCATCCATCCCATCATCAATCACCAATATCACAATATCACACACATAATACTCCCTCTGCATATCCATCCATCAACTTTTCCTCATTTATCTATTTATCTATTTATCCCATTTATTATTCATTTCCACCCATACATACAGACCCATATGAAAAAAATCCCACGCAATCCAAATCCAAAGTCTGGCCTGGGAAAGCAGCCGGGAGTTACGGCATGAAAAGTTTTACGCATAACAGTACTCGTAGTAGTACTTTCTTTGATCATCCATCCAGTCTTTCATTTCTTTCTCGTACTGTATCGTGGCTACAGTACTGTAAGTGTACAGTATACAGTGAGTATAGATGAGTATACAGTGTATTCCATAATGAAATGAAATGAGATGAGATGAAACATTGTTAGTTATATATATACTCTTAGAGATATTTTAAAGCTTTACAGTATTGGATCAAGGATTACCTATCCCATCCCATCCCATTACATTATATTATATTCCCCACGCATCTATCTTCGTTTCAAAATGGATGGATGGCTTTGCATTTTTTGCGCTACATCGCATCGCATCGCATCGCGGTTCAAGCACTGCGGTAAATATATTAAGCAATAGATTAAATTACCTTAGGTGCAGGAGTCGGAAGAATCCAGCCAACCCAACCTCATATTTCACGACATATTTTTTATATCGATATTGATATTAAATGTGACATACATAGTACATAGTACATAGCATTACCAAATTCACGAATCACAACTCTTCCTAATGTTCATCTTCATCTTCAATCTTCATTTTCATATTCAATCTTCAATCTACAAAATGAAATGGTAACTGGTTATGTACTCAAAACACTAAGTAGTCCTCATATTCTTCTCTGGCTTCTTGCAATTGAAGCGATGTATTGTATGTGCAGAATCGAGAATCGAGATGCGGTTCATCTTGAAAAGAAAATGTGGTTTCACAATTGCTGATTTGATACTTGTTACTTGTTAGTTGATACTTGATACTCAGTACTTGACCCGAAAGGAAACGAGGGAAACCATTAAAATATCTGATTCTGCCATGTTGCCATGCTCTCGATACTCTCCAGTGAGTCGAGTCGAGTCTCACTATTACCGCTCGCTGTATTTACTCTATTTACTCTATTTACTCTATTTACTCTATCTACTCTATCGTATCTATGCAGTGGAGTGGCGAATGGAATGGGTTTCCTATTAGTTTTTTTTGTGCGTGGTAAGTGATTTAATGAATGGTCGGTCTATCTATAGGCGGATTCTATACTAGTATAGTCAGTATATCAATGCGTGGACTTTTCAGCTTAGGATGTATGGATGTATAGATGTATAAAAGTATGAAAGTTAAAAGGCGATAAATGGTGAGTCGAGTCGAGTCGAGTCAACATACTTACTTACTTTACTGTACTTTCCCGAAATTCTGAAATTCTCATCTCTTTGGTTGGGATGTATCTTATTCATTCTGTCCCAATCATCATTCCATCCATCTCAATCATTCTCTCCCAATCAACCTTTTGCTTCATTCTCTCCCAATCATACATTCCATTCGTCTCATCCATCTCATACATTTCATCCATTTCATCCATTTCATCCACCCACATTCATCCAACCACATTCACTACACTCAATTCACTCACCACAAAATCAACAACTCTTGCTTGCTTTGTACTCTTGCTTGTACTCTTGCTAACTTGGATAAACTCGCCACATAACATACACCCTATCCTGTCAAGACTTGTAAAAAAAAACCTGTAAAGGCGTGTAAATATGACCAGTAACAATGTTCAAAGCCACTATGTATGTGTATATATACAAGAAAAGTTTATAAAGCTTGCGTAGCACGCTTTGGATGGGTACTGCATGTATGGTATGGTATGTATGGCGTTGAGGTGGAGGTGTGCAGGTGGAGGTGGAGGTGAATGTGCAGGTGGAGGTGCAGGTGTAGAGATGTAATGTATGTAATATATATCATATCATGTACTGTACTGTACTGTACTCGAGTTTATAGATCTGTAGGTTTGTATTCTCGATTTAATGAAAGGTGAAAGGTGAAAGATGAAAGATAATCGAGGGGATGGATTGAATTTGAATTGAACTTGAATTGAATTGATATGCGGATGGCGGTGGTGGACTGGGTTGGATATCGTTGTGCAATCATAAGTAGATAGATAGATAGATGGATGGATGGATATCTTGTAAGTTGATGACCGTATGTACTTGCAAGTTGTCTCCCTTTCTGGTTTTGGAATCTAATAGGATGGATGGATGGATGAGTGGATGGAATATACATACATACTCGAGAACAAACTTCACTCCACTCTAGCCTCTCTCCACACTCTCCTCTTTTTCTCCTCGCCTTTTTTCTTCTCGCCTCCCCTGTTTTCTCCGCGCCTTTTTTTCTTCTCTCCTCTCCGTTTTCTTTCTCGCCTTTTTCTTCTCGTCTCTCGGAAATATATGTTTACAGTTTATATAGTATAGTACTATTCACGTGAATTTTGATAGATCCTACGAGTACGTACTCAGGCTAGTATATTTATTTGATGAGTACTATACAGTGCACTGTGTAGTACACATCGCATATCTCTCTCCTATTCTTATTCCTATCGATATACTACTCGTTTTAAATTCCTATTCCTATTTGTATTAGTATTAGCGTTAGCATTAGCATCTACTAAGTATATCCATATCTACCGAGTATTACACCCGTATAGTATAGTAATAATTTAATATAATTAATATATTGTAATACATCTAATTCTAATTCTAATTCTAATTCTAATTCCAAATCTAATTCTAGTTCTAGTTCTAGTTCTAATTCTAGTTCTAATTCTGCCAGTGGTACTAAATCTAATAAAAACAAAAAAGAAAACAAAAAAAAGAGGAATTAGTTAGTTGATTATAACTTACCACTTACAACTTACAACTTACAACTTACAACTTACAACTTACAACTCACAACTCAGAACTAACTCACACTAGTAGTCAATCACAGTAGAATAAAAAAGGAAATAGTTTAACTGTTTAAGTAAATCACCAATCTATCTATCTATCTATCTATCTATCTAGATACTATCAATGTATAAGTATATAAATAACTACTAGCTACATTACAATACCACTCCGTCCAACACTCCACTCACTTGCCCGATCCACTAACTAACTCACTTATAAATTATAATTACTCACTCACTTGCACCCCGTCACACCCCCTCATACCCACTCACCTCCCCAAAACAAACCTCGAATCATTGGCAATCGAATTTCACCACCACCACCACAGCCACCACAACCACTACTAGCCTACTCCAAAGTCCACTCCACAGTCCATTCAACATCTCCCCCTTCCTCCCCGCCGCCTCCGACGAGGTACTTATCCTCTTATCCCCATCTTCATCTTCATCTTCCTCTTCTTATCATGCACCATCCTCTTCCTCTTCCACCATAATCTTCCTCCTCTTCATCCTTTTCCTCCTCTTCTTATCATCCACCATCCACCATCCACCCACTCCCCAATCTCTACTCCCCAAATCAGTTTCTAAACCCTAACTCCCAACTCCCAACTCGAAACTCGATCCCCGAGACTTGATCCTAGCATTTTTACACTATTTCCATTTCCATTTCCATTTCTTATACGAGTACTTCTTTTACTCACCCTACTTTTATTTCTTTTACTTCACTCCATCTCATCCATCTCATCTCAATTCTCCTTCTTTCTATTTTCTCACTCTAGCCATGTCATTTCAATCCAATTCAATTCAATTCAATTCAACTCAATTCAATTCATCTCAATTCAACTCATCAAATCAATTACATAGATATATCATATCCACCCACTCAACCACCCACCCACCTAGATCTAAACTAAACTAGACTAAACTGATCTTAGTAATCTAATCTAGATACCCAGTGCTGTGCTCAAAGAGTCAAAGAGTCAAAGCCCATCCCTTCCATTCAAACCATATCTCCTCCTTGCTTTCCTTCCCTCCCCTTCCTTCTTCCCTTCCATTTTTTTCCTCCATTCAATCCTTTACATGCAATGCAATTCAATACAATACATTCTATATGCCATCGGCCATGCATCTATCTTCCTGTCCCTCTCTCCCTCTCTCAAATCGACCATGCATCTCCCTGCTCCCTCTCCCTTTCCCTTTCCCTTTCCCTCCCCCCAATCCGCACTCCTAGCTAACTCCATCCTATCAAAACATTAAACCTACACTCCCCTCCCCTCCCCCAAAGTCCCCTCGATATCGGTAAAACTAAGTAAAACTAAAACTAAAATTAAAACCAAAACCAAACCCCCAACTCCAAACCATGCATTCCATTCCAACCATACCAATTAGCGCCGCCCAATATTCATACATCCATCCATGCATACATCCATGCATACATCCATGCATCCATACATTACCAAAATACACAACGCTAAGTCTAACCTTACAGCCCTTGAAGACGAAACAAAATCAAAATCCCCAAAAAAGAAAAGATCAAAACGCTAATGACAGTGATATATGCTATGATTGCAAAATCGCGTTCCTTCATTCCCATTCCTTCCATATGTATTGTAATCCGTCCCATGCCATCCATCCACGCTCAAATAACAAATCCATCCATCCATTCCTACGTCCGTTTGCAAACTTTGAATTCCATTCCGATAAAAGAGAGAAACTTAGCCCTGCTGTACCGCCGAAAATCAGATTCCAGACCACACTGGCGAAAGATAACCAGGAAATCATAGATAAATATAATGCTTCACTGACATCGAGATACCCCAAGTTGTGAGTGCATGCCTCATTATCAAAAGGCCACCTTTCCATTACTTTTGTACCGATTGTTCATATAATGTGATGGACTTAGCATGATTGTTGGTCCATCATTAACAACCAATTGAGAAGTCATGGTACCAGCTCTCGATCCATTCGACAAGTAGTTGTCCGGGCGCTCAAAGACATTGCCATTAAACATTGCGCCAAACGCTGCGCTATGCGGAGTAGAGGGGACAGTAGCTTGGACCGCGGGCCCTAACGCTGCGCTTTGTGGAGTCATTGGTAAAGGAACTCGTGATGCAGGTGATTGTGTCGTATAGGAGCCGTTCGAACCACCATTTGTTTGTCGATTTGCTAGGAAACCCCAGGGTGATTCCGTAATCATTTGTCCCGTTTCTTTGATGGCTCTTTGAAGGGGTCTGAGAAGAATAATGACTTCGGTTGGGACAAAGCTGATTACGCCTTTTACTTCCTTGACTTTGACAACAAGATCGAGATATGACTAAAATAAATTAGTGATTTACATCAAGTGATAATAGTTAATGAGGTATATTTACATCTACCATTGCCCAACACATCTCCCAGAATGCCTTTTGCTCTCTGATATCAGGGTCTTTGAGTTTGATTGTTGACAGGCGAGCTTTGAGTGCATCGGCTATGTGTAACGCGTTCGTGCATTTATGTATTAAAACTTGCCAATACTGTTTAGCATGATCTGCATTACTTGAATTGGCACTCTTTTGCATGGACCCGAGGAAATGGGCATTGACACTGGGAAGGGTTCTGAGAGTCATTTCTGATGTTTGTTGCAGACGTAGAAATATCTTTTCGAAGTTTTTATCTTCCTCAGTAAAGTCTCCTACCAAGCGTCCACTGGTCCCTGTTGAGACAAACGATTCTCCAGAGCGTGGTGTAGCGCTGGTCATAGTTGCGGACCGCCCATTTCCATTCAAAAATGGTGGTGGAGCTTCTATCGCAACTCGTAGGTTATTTGAATGCTGAATGACAGTCGCACTTCTTGTTCTAAAATTGGTGCCTGGCCTCTCTCGAGTCGGAGTGACTGATTTATCCCTGGTTTGAGATCCTGCCTCGTAGTTGCTTTCCGGATGTCTACCAGTCCGACTTTGTCCAGGAGGAAATAAGCTCGTGCCGGCATTTCGTACTTCCGCTACACTTCCGTACAATTGAAGTAGTAGCGTACGAATATATCGAGGATCGCCGTTGATAAGAAGAATTTCGACATTTTGAGATAGTTGAGCACATACATGGATATATGCACCAACGCAAGTCAAGCAGGCACGTTTGACGTTTTCGTTTGATCGAGGAGAAGCTTCTTCGTCCTCTTCGGAGTAAGAATCATAGCGTTGAACATCCTGATCTAGCTCTTCTACGTGTGTTTTGGCATTGTAAAATACTCTCTCCAATGTCGATTTCTTCTCGCCAGGATTTCGAACCAGACCGATCAGTGTTTCGATAAGAGGATGGACTTGAAACAAAGCGTACAATACACCCTTAGCCCCTTCAATAATAGGATCCGGCGAAGTGGATTCTCGTTTGCGTTCCGGTAAACTCGATAATCGGCGGACATAGGTGGCTCGTTGGCCGACGGAATCTGCGGGACTTGCTGGGCTAGTCGTATTACCATTGGATCCAGTACTACTACCTTGCATTGCAGATCCATGACTGAGACCTCTGTTATGAAGACTGTAGCGATTCGATTTGTTCGTCTCGTCAACGGTTCCTAATTCAGCTGCCTTTCTTGAAACGATACCCATTCGTCGTGAGCGATCTGATGAAGAACGGTCTGGACGATCGCGATTAGCTTGCAAGAGGCTCTCGCTGTTGCTGCGAACCCTTTCATTTGTGCTTCCAATGGTAAGAGGCATTACGCCAGGCCGCCGAAGTGCTGCGCTCTGTTGCGAATAACCTCTTTGATGCGATCGAGAAGGTATAGGCGGGGGTCGAGACTGAGCTGGTGACGCGGGAACGCCGTCGACTTTTATAGGGAAACGGCCACTCACAACACGCTTCATAGTAGGTCGTGGAGTCTCGGTGCCTTCGCTTGATTCTTCTCCACCAGATTCGGTTTCGGGTCGACCCATAGCTTTATGCTTCAAGAATCTTTTGATCTGTGCTGTAACAGTGATATCGTCTATTTCACCTTCTTGGGGGGCACCACCGCTGGGAGAGTTCAAAGTTTGCGGTTGAAGTACCTCTTTGGGTGGAAACCTTAGGGGGTTCCCATCCAATTTAAGGACCTGAAGGGATGTCATGTCTGCCACACATAAAGGAAGTTCCTCAATTCTGTTCTTTTGAACGGATAGAACTTTCAGTGATGTCAAGTTTATGATCTCTGGTGGTAAAGTCCGAAGCTTGTTTCGTCCGAGGTCGAGAATTTCAAGAGAGGTCAACTGGCATATCTAAACAAAAGTCAGCATCTTTGAGCTTGTCTCACACCATGTTGACCTTGCATACTGCTAGTGGGAATTCCCGAATAACATTGTTCCGGACGTTCAGATATCGCAGTGAAGTACATTCGGCGAATTTGGCGGGGAATGTGGAAATCTGGTTGTGGGATAACGCAAGTCTGTAGCATGAATGTTTATTAGCTTTGTTTCCCAATATGATCAATCAGCTTTAGAAGAATGAAAGATGACTATTTTCTGAGACATTGGAAATAGAGCCATACAGAGCTCAATATGACAAGTTTAGTTTAGTGATTTGAGACAAATTCCAGCCTCCTGCAATGAAATAGAAGATTATAAATACCGTTCAAGCTCGACTTTTATAATATCGACAACCTCGTCCGGAAATCTTTGTATATGTTTATGGCTCAGATCGATCGTAACTCCTGGCTTTAGCTCGTTGCTAACAGCGCTTGACTCTGCAGCTTTCATTATGTTTTCTTCCAAGGCCTTATTCATATATTCCCGTGCCAATGCGATAACTTGTCCTTGTGATAAAGGAAGTTGAGAAGACAGCGAAGAATTTGACTGAGCATGCCGAATTGTTGGAGCATGTCGAGATGCACTCAGGTTTTGTGGCCTATGACCTGGACCTGGACCTGGACCTTGACCTTGCATCCCGTTTTCGAATTTTGGTCGACCCGATGACATTATCGCCGCCCCGAGAGGAGGACCAGTTGGCCGTTCCATCATGATATATTCTACCTCAACCCTTTCAATTATATGTTGTCGTTGCTCTCGTGAGATTGTGGCGGAGGATGTTTCAAGACTTTCACGATTCGCGAAAAAGGGACCAGACCCTTATCAGTTCGATGGGCAATACCGGTACTTGAGAAACCGAATATTCGAATAGGCTTTAAACTTAAGAATTGGTGGAGAAGAAAGGACAAGAAGCATAATGAGGGGTTTATGTCCTATGTAACACCATACATCCATAATATCTCAAGGAAGTGAATGTTCAAAGTAAATATTTCCTACTTTTCGCAAGTGAACTGCTTGTTGTCACATTGACAATACGGAGGTAGGTGGATAGGTTATTAGCATTGATTGGCATCATGATTTTCGGTTAAGCTTTCTCAAAATGGTTAAGTGTCGGGGATCGGAGAGTCGGGGGTTGGCTTGAAATTTGATGCAGGTACCAATAGTAATAAAATATGCATTTCCTCTTCTCTTGAAGTACAATGTTAACCTCATTCATCACTTGTATCTTCGAATTCTGTGGTGAACATATTGTGAAGTCAAAACAACAACCAAGACAACGAGGACAACCAACCAGGACAACCAGGATAACCAGAAAGACAACCAAGACAACCAACCAGGACAACCAGGACAACCAGAATACCCAAGACAACCAGGACAAACCAGGACAATTATAACTAGAATAACAACCAAGATAACAAGGATAACCAACCAGGACAACCAGGATAACCAGAAAGACAACCAAGACAACCAAGACAACCAAGACCAGCAGTTTCTCTCCTTACATACTCATCAACTTCTTTTGTAGTCTTGTATTCTATCACAATAGCTGGAGTCCTTGACAAGAGACTACTTGTCAACTACGAGTTTTTTGAGTTTTTTGAGTTTTTTGATATCTTTCCTCCTTCATTTGGTCATTACAAACACATTTTGATTGTTGATACAGTACTATGGATTGATTGAGATGGAAGACAACCCTTGACATATCTCAGATCAGACTAATCTTTGACACCAAATCATTTCCATACTCTACTTCACTGGCCATTGAATCACTGAATCCAAAGAATTAGTTGTAGGCTAAACTACCAGAAGAGGAGAAAAGATATCACGAGAAACCCCAATATAAGGCCTTCTACTGATAAGAAGAAAGATTTTGGATTTGTGTATCCTTCAAGAAAGTTTAGGTAACAAGTTCTCCGGATTTCTCACAGACCACAATAACGACCGACTACAACCATATAACATCTCATGAGCTCTCATTTGAATTTATGCAAAATGCCACTGCCAAGGTCAAACTCTTGTGTTGATATTGACTTTACACTTCGCCGTATATTCAAGAAGACTTCATTCAGGTAATCCACCTCAGTAACTATGCACAATATGAGCTGACCTTCTTCTCAGACCTTTGCAACGAGAGGTCATCGTTGCTGCGTTAGATGGACATGATATTTTTATTCAAGCTGCCACTTCGTTTGGGAAAAGTTTATGTTTTCAGTTGCCTGCAGTGATCGACCATGGAAGTAAGTCTTAATGATCATCTCGAACCTCTTGCAGCACCTCTGCTTACATTTTCAGTTACCATTGTTATCTCGCCGTTACTTTCACTGATGGTAAGTTTGGACCAAGTATGCGTCTCGTCTTTTACTTACTTTGAGATAGACCGACCAAGTCAATGCCTTGCGATCTGCAGGCATCGCAGCGGGTAGTATCAATGGTAATACAGCCTGGCCAGAACGACAGCGACTTCTTGCAGACCTTGAATCCGGTCACCCCCTTACGAGACTTCTGTATGTAACACCTGAACAGTGTTCTACGGACAACTTCCGCAAACATCTCAGAACTGTGCATGAACAGCGAGAGCTTGCTCGGATTGCCGTTGATGAAGCACATTGTATCAGCGAATGGGGTCATGATTTTAGAAAGTCCTTCAAGAATCTTTCATGGTTCCGAGAGTCTTTCCCGGATGTTCCCATTATATGCTTAACAGCAACGGCTACGAATCAAGTGCGGCAAGATGTTATAGGCACTATGTGTCTGTCGGAAGCAAAGTTGAAGGTATTCAGGATGACAACAAATCGCGAGAACCTTCATTATGAAGTGAGATTTAAATCAGATGAAGCAGATCATTTTAATGATTTTCTACACTGGCTCAAGGGGGTTCACAGAAATCGAACCGAAAATCCAGAACGTCGAGCCGAACTGGAACAGAAGCACGAACGTCTGGATAATGTGTCAGGCATCATTTACACTCTCTTTAGGCAGGATTGCGAGAATCTTGCATCTAGGTTGAGACACAGTGGAATCGGGGCCAAAGCCTATCATGCCGGACTCACCCACGAAGAAAAGACGGAAACACTGAATCGATGGATCAATAACGATAAGGGGTATGATGTGATAGTTGCGACAACAGCCTTTGGGATGGGTATAGATAAGGAAAACGTGCGTTTTGTCGTTCATTGGCAGATTCCAAAATCTTTCGAAGGCTTCTATCAAGAAGCTGGGCGAGCCGGAAGGGATGGAAAGGCTAGCATACATATCATGTATTACAGCCGCGAGGATCGTGACCGGGCATACAACAGAGTTTCTCGTGACGCCAAGGAAAGAGTCAATCTGGAAGCTAGGGTAAAGAGTTTGAAAGCTTTAGTTTCTTACTGCGAGGAAACTGATGTATGCCGACACAAGCTAATCTGCAAGTACTTCGGGGAGAATGAAGTGCCTGCCTGTGATTATGCTTGTGATTGGCACAAAGATGTGAAAGCTTTGAAAAAAGCAAAGGTCAATGATTTGATGAGTGAAGAATATGTAAGCACGCAAAGAGAATTGGGTCATTATAACAATGGATACGATGAGTATGATTGAACTCAGTATCTTTGTCTTACCAACTTACCATAACCAGAGTCAACGGGTGCTTACGTTTCTGATTATGCATGTTTGGGAAGTCATTAATTCATGGACTTTGGAGCTTTTGCTTTGAATGAAAATTGCTACAAACAAGTTACATGCCCGCATCATATCTACAAAAGACAAAAACAAGGATCTACGTACTTCCACTTCGCTTTGAGGATGTTGAAATGTGATTGCTTTTGAAAAGGGGAGCAAACCGATTAGTATCGACACCGGAAAGTTATATATTCCAAGCTTTCCACCACCAAAATCACCAGTTATTCAGTTCAGAAAGATCATTCGGGGTTCACTTTGATAGCAAGTCAACTTACGCGCAAGCACACCACACCCTCGACGCGAATCTTCATTATCGAATTTCAGATACAACAATCGCCTTCACCATGAGTGACAATACACTAGCAACAATGCTCCAAGCAACAATGCTCCTAGCAACAATGCTCCTAGCAACAATACTACTAGCAACGACAATTGGGTCTTTGTCAAATTGACTCGCTGGGAAAACGGCCATAACACCAGCTCAGCTCCTCTCCCTGTCGAAATTGACACCAGCGCAGCACGCTTGAATCTCCAGGCGGTTGAAAAGACTATCTGGGATCACTTTATTGGTCTCGAGAGAGACATCTCCACGGCCCGTGATCGCAAAAACCTTCCAGCAGGAGCTGGTCCACGCACAAGTGATGGTATTGAGGGGTTAAGCGTTACCTGGCAGGGGCGTTGCTCTGATGAGTGGTCTGCAAACGAGGAGACTGTCATTACGGAAAATAACCTTACTGGAGTTGTGAGTTATTATTTCCTGATTTTCCCCTTTTGAAGGTTCTTGATACCGTGTTTTCTTTTCATGTCTTCATCTCTACTTTCGATAACCACAATCCAATGGAAGAGAGCTAATTTGAATTTCTCAATGTAGTGGCACAAACTAACGAAGATTCCTACCGCGATCATTCATTGCATTGTCAAGGACAGCAAGCTCCCAGGCATCGAGTGGAGTCCCACAGATAGATAGAGCATTGCAATGGGTGGAGGATCAGATGATTGATACGGATTGAAAGTATTTGTGTTTGTGTTTGAGATACGAACTTTCAACATCTGAACTTACTTCATTTCACTCGTGTATTGCGGTGCGGTGGTTGTCGATAGGAAGGAGCTGATGGTGAGAAAGGGTGGGAAGAATTGATTTTATGGTGGGTGAGAGGAACTGTAGTTAGGAAATGAACTGAGTTCGTTGCATCTATCAATAACATTGTGATCTCGTGAATGCTGTTGTCATATTGGCATCTTGTCTAGTGGGTGATATGATTGATGAGTTCTGATATCTATTCTATTACAGCATCTGCTGTGCATGTACGAGTATAAAATGACTGACTTCTCTACACTGCTCCTCTATACTACCTATATATATTTCACATCTGCTGGTCAGTTCCAAAGTAAATCCATACCAGCACTGCATAACCACCCAACTGCATCAGACGAAAACAATCATGGAAGACCGGCGAGTAAAACTAGATAGAGTAAAACTAAATAGAATAGAATATTCATTACAATACTCGAGTATTTCATCACTGGTTCTTCCAAAGCTTAATATCCATCATCCATCAACCTTCACTTATCAACCTTTATTCACTCTCCACCCTTACTCATATCCATATTCATATCCCTCTGTGACTTCCAGTTTCTCCAAGGTTTTGTTGCATATCTCACAGATCTAATTTGAATACTCTCTATTTTTATTTATATCTCAATATTCTTTAATGTTTTGTTATATATCTAATAAGAGTTTGATACTTTTCACTACCTTTCATTCATTACCATTAGTTACCCTTTAAACATTCTCCACTATTTTATCCGAGATTTTGTTGCATATCTCATGAGTCCGATACTTTCTAACCAAACTTTCTCTTCAATCTTTTCCCTCCAGTCTCCCTTTATTCACTCTGTAACCCTTATCCATATCTGTATTCACATCTCTTTTCAATTTTCAATATTTATCCGAGGTTTTGTTGTATATCTCATGAGTCCGATATTTTCCTATTAACCTTTTCTATTCTCTATTCTTCACTTATCAATCTTCATTCACTCCCCTTGTCTTATCCATATCTCTCTCCAATTTCCAATATTATCCAAGGTTTTGTTGTATATCTAATAAGTTTAACCTTTTCCCTTCAACCTTTTCTCTTCAACCTCTATTCACTCTCCTCTATCCCTGTCTTATCCATATCATCAACTTTCTCGGAAGGTTTGTTGCATATCTAATAAGTCCAATACTTCATTTCAAGACAAGAGGAGAAATCTATGCTGATACATTTCCAATCCAACCCAATGCAATCTAATCTACTCGAGTACAGTAGTAGCATCAATAATACATAGCGGTAGCAGAGGTGTAAGGTATTGTACAAGTACAGAAGTTGAGGATCAACTAGGAGTAACAGCTATGAAAAGTAACAATAAACTCGAATTTTATAGAAAGCCAAAAAGTGGTAGCATTAACATTAACTACTATAATATTTTGTACACCAAGCAGATCAGATCAGATCAGATCTATCTAGCTTGACTAATGAACCACAAGTTCGTTCCTATATAATACCATCTGACTTGCAAATGTATGTTGGGTAATGCGCTAAAGAGCAAGCAAGCCTTGTGAAGCTTAAGAACTTTACCAATCTACCAAAAAGAAAAATCTTTTGCCATGCCATGCCATGCTTGTATCGTATGTATATATGCAGATTGAGTCCTCCATAAAATTCGCTATGACGCATGAGGGTATCGTAAACCATGCTTCCGTCCCAAAATTTAACCCAACGCCTCAAGAAAACCTCTGCCAAGACTCCCCATTGTGTTTCGTTTCACTTATCACCCGGGAAAAAAATTCTGCTTTGCTTTTACCTTCCCTTCCTTGCTCTTTACCGGCACAAGAACCCCCAATTTTCCACCTTTGATCGCCAAGTCTCCTTTACCCGAGTTACCCTCATTTGCTACAAAGATCGATGCGTCATTCCTCTCCTCTTTGGGGACATAATCTTTATTCTGATTCGGATGCCAGCCCCTATCACTTCTCTCCTTTCTCACTTGCGCCGTAAGCAATATCCCGAATCTCGCTTTCTTTCCACCACGTGCATCAATCTCCTTACGTTTAGCTTCGTACCAACCTTCAGGTTGTTCTTTGGGCCAGACGATTCGAGGATCGATGGTACCCCAAATTTGTGTTTTGGCAGCGATGTCTGCTTGGGGCGTAATGTTCTGTTCTCTTTCGACCTCGGCCCGAGCTTGGTACTTCATTTGTAGGTTAAGATAATGGTCGAGGACGCTGGGATCGTAGGTCTGGGCTCGTATTTGACGCTGATACTCGATAGTGTGGGGTTTGTAGTCGCCATAGAGTGGCGCTGTGTGATTTGTCTCTTTTTGTTTCGGTCCCTTTTGCTGCAACTCTGGAGCTGTGGGTTCTGGCTCGGGGAACTTTTCCTGAGGTTGAGGAGTTGTAAGTGCATTCATCGTATCATTGAGATTTTGTTGATTTAGATGCTTAATTACTGTCTGCTTTGCAGAATCTGGTTCAGCTTCTTGGTCCTCCTGTGGACTAGCTTTGCGTTTCTTAGCTAGTCGTAGTACTTGACGGTTTGAGCTTTCCAAATCAGGGGGCCACACGTCTTTTGTTGTGTTCGATACCAGTGCATCTAATGTATTCGTGGTCGAAGATACATCTGAGATTAGAGGCATATAAGGGACTGTAGAGGATGCCCTGATAGCCTTTTCTGAGCCAAGCAGGGGAGTTTTGTCAACAGGCTTCTTACTGCCCACAAAGGCGAATATTGACTCAGGCATGCTTCTAGCATGCGAAGGTGAAACGAATGGAGATGCGATTCCTTGAGCGAATGCACTTGCAGACTCGGTCACAATATTTTTTGCATTTTCCTGCATAGCTCGGAACTCGTCTTTGATCTGAGATCCAGGACTGTCGTCTTGTCCAACGTCAGACTGCCAAAAATTGGCATTATTGTCAACTTTTACTGGCGATGGAGGCTCGTATTCCGGTTCGTATTCCGGCGAATGAATGGTATTATCGTCGAAATTAGCTGGTGACGGAGGTTCATATTCTGGTGATGGTGAGGGTATGGTTCGATTTTGAAGTTTAGGTCTAGATAGGTTTAATTGGTCAATTTCACTGGATATCGAATAAGCTAAACTTACACGTTGAAGGCACCAATCGTATTAGTGGAGTTGTCCGATTTCGACTGTGATTGTGTGATGCTTGTAGATATTGGAATCCGAGCTGAGTTGTTAGTCCGGGGACGTAGCGCTCCTCGAACAGCCATGTCAGGCTGGGGATGCAAATCGCTTCGTGCAGCTAGTATGTTCTCCAGTTTTGAAATTCCTCCAGGTCTCGCAGTTGGTTCATTATTGAATGCTGGTTGGACAGGGAGGCGGGTTAAAGGCATTGGTGCACTCTTCATATCTCCAGGCTTTCTACCTGGTTTACGCTTCATTCCCTGCATGTCCTCATCGTACTTAACTGGGTAAAGTTTTGATTTCTTGATGAGTTTCGAGACTGGCCTTGACAAGGCTGATATCTGTGCTTTGGTAGCAAGCTTTGACTTCTCGCTTCGCTCTGTCATCTCATGATGCTTACACAGGACTCTATCTAGTTTGGTTCTACCGAACATGCTGTAGATTGTCTTGTTACATCCAGGAATTTCACAGACACTGCCTAACGATTCCTCCTCTGACGGAGGCTCTTTTGACGGCGGAACGTATTTCTTGACACAACGAGCGCAACGCCAGTCAAGTCTGTTTACTTTTAGCTATTGAAGACCGGTACGATAGGGCAAAAAACCACATACGTCTCTTCAATTTCAATATATGGATTATGACAACTAGCATGCCATCGGGCTGAACATTGTGAGCAAGAATACAAAGGGTCGATTATGCCTTCTCCGCGTTTACATATCAAGCATTTTATTACTTTGCTGATAGTTGACAGTGAGGTAGTTGAACTCGACTCGTCAAAATTGTCTTCGGATTGAGCTTGCAACTAGCAAGAAGTTAGCAAATGCTTCTGCGTACGATATTCCGCAAGATCAGGAAGAGAATTGAATGTGTCTCAGGTCTTTTCAGTCTATATAGTCTTCATATGGCTTGCTTGAGCGGCTTTGCAATTGAGCTATAAAACACCATTGCATGCCTCAGCTGACTTAAACAGATAACCAAGTCCCATTTGCAGCAGCTTCGACCCCACTTTCTATCGCAGCCTTTGGTCATACATCTTGGAGCAAGGTGATGTCTAACTCCGTATAGCAATAGTGTCAAAAGACATCGATATGTCCTCCAATTTTCACTGTTGGAACTGATTGTCTTAAGCTAAAACAGTCTTGCCTGAAATGGAGGACGCCGCCAGGGATAGATAAATGCGAAAGGTAGCATCATCGGCTATAGCAAGGAAACAGTATAACCAAAGCAGAACCAGAAGAAGCTTTTGAGCACTCCGACCTTTTACCAGGTAGTCATCATTGACACGTTGATGGAGATTAAGAAAAAGAGTTCCACATACGCTGTCATTTCTTTTTGAGGTGAAAGATGATTGTAATCTGATATTATTATCGAAATTGGTTGCTGGTCTAGCTGGAGCTGGTTGCTTGCCGTAGGGATCCATATTCCCTGGTAGAACCATATGACTAGAATAGTTCTAGTCATGCATACTCGAGTTCTCCTTTCTCATCTCATCGACGCAATTGTCCACCAAGAATAAAATGCCGAGTATGATGGATCGTGTTAAGATGTGAGTTACAAATAGAAGTTTTTGTAATGGTTTGAATTAAATAAGACGGGACGCGACGGGTTCAGAGTGAAGCACGAGTGCACGGGCCTTTGCGGCCGCTAGTTATACCAAGTGCCTCGATACACCGCCTCAGTATGGCTAGATTGGGTATAGCAGGGGTTAATCATTGAATTGATGGGCAAAGCTGTCTACTTCTCTTTCAGAAAACAAAAGTAAATAGGTATTACCTATTATATTCTTACCTTCATCTCATTGTAGATTATTCCAATGGATTTCTTAAAGTCTGCAGTCGCTTCTGCGATATCAAAGGGTCCTCCGTTTCCCTATACTTTCGGGGATCAGGTTGATATAGAGCAGTCCATATGGAAGTTATACAACGGCACCAAAAGAGTGCGCAGAAGAGATGACTTTGGTAAAGGATAGGTGACTAACGATAATACAGGGAGATGGCTCCGATTGCAGTATATTCTCTTTCGATGTCACTGCGAATAGATCTCGATTACCTTTAGCCAAAAATGCTGTTAAGAAGCTTCGAACATTACGACATCCTGGAGTAATCAAAGTGCTGGACACAGTTGAGGTTTGAATTTCGGAGGCTCGAATTATGTGGCATATCTGACTTACGATACGGGGATAGACCGATACATATATCTATATTGCCACAGAGAGAGTGGTCCCTTTGAGATGGCACATCAAGAGAAAGAGCATGAGCCCGGAGACACTGAAATGGGGGTTATTTAGCATAGCAGTAAGTTGGCGAATAATTCCTATAATATGGCTAGTCTAATCAGCTACATAGCAAACAATCAAATTTATTAATGATGAGGCCTCATCCGTCCACGGGATGCTGCGAGTAGGATCAATTTATACCAGTGAAAGTGGAGAATGGAGAGTTGGAGGATTTGAAGTATTAAGCAATATGAATGACACCGAGGCAATCATTTACGTGAGCACTGTTTATCACCAGCATACAGAATACCAAATACTAAATCTGGCAGAATTATGGCAGTCTTGTACCCGATTCCAGACAATATACCCCTCCAGAATTGGCAAATTCTGGCTGGAATTCCATCAAGGAACACCCGATATACGCGACCGACTCTTATAATTATGGAATTTTGATTTTTGAAGTCTTCAATGGCGAATTCATGGGTAGCGAGCAAGCCGGACAGACGAAGAATATACCTCCCGCCATACAGTCAAGTTATAGACGTTTGGTCAATAGCAATCCTAAAGCTCGGCTGAGTGTTGGTCATTTCCTTGAGCAAGGTCGTCGAAGTGGAGGGTTCTTTGAGACACCTCTAATCAAGCTTACTGAAGGGGTGGAAAATCTTGGGATGAAAACGGAAACTGAACGAGAAGAATTCTTGAGGTAATCTCCCTATCAGAAGCCTACAGTATTTTTAGCTAATTTTGGAGTGATCTTGATGAGCTATCAAATGACTTTCCAGAGGACTATTTCAAGATGAAGATTCTCCCCGAACTACTAAAATCTGTCGAATTTGGAGGCGGTGGGCCGAAGGTCTTTGGTGTTGTTATGAAGATTAGTACGAAGCTTACAGATGATGATTTTGAAGCAAAAGTCACACCTGTTGTTGTCCGACTGTTCAGCAGTCCCGATAGAGCTATTCGGGTGTGTCTTCTAGATAATCTTCCACTTATGATCGATCGATTATCACAAAAGGTGGTCAACGATAAAATATTCCCCCAAATGGTAAGCTTGCGGCAATTTAACTTTGGGTTTGAAAATACGCTAAGTTATGCAGGTCACTGGTTTTACGGATCTTGCACCAGTAGTACGAGAGCAGACAGTCAAAGCAGTTTTGACAATTATTGGGAAACTATCAGATCGGACAATCAATGGAGAACTTTTGAAATATCTGGCAAAAACTTCAAATGATGAGCAACCTGGAATACGAACGAACACGACAATCTGTTTGGGCAAAATAGCCAAGAATCTAGGACTCAGCACGAGATCGAAAGTCTTGATAGCCGCCTTCACACGGTCACTTCGCGATCCATTTGTACATGCTAGAAATGCAGCTTTGCTAGCATTATCTGTTACAACCGACTCCTTTAACGATGATGATTGCGCTAACCGTATATTACCGGCATTGTGTCCTTGTCTAATTGACAAGGAAAAGCTCATTCGAGATCAGACAAATAAGACAATGGATGTTTACCTGCAGCGCATTCGCAAGTCTGCTGCCGCAATGCCTGATACTATTCTACCACCGCCAACCACAGGTGAAGTTACCTCATCATCTGCACCCCGAATGAGTACGCCACAACCTAGTGATGCAGGTCCATCATGGACAGGTTGGGCTATTTCTTCATTTACCAATAAAGTAGCTGCAGCTTCTGGTGAAATTCAACCAACAAGTGCTGTTGTAACACCAGCTATTACACCAGATACACGTTCTATCCCGCCACGACAAGAAAATGAGCCTCGCCGTTCAACCCAATCTGCATCTGCCTTACATCGCCAAGTCGTGACTTCACCAGCTGTTGCCTCAACGAATACATCATCTGCTGGGCACTCTTATTTTGAAGATACAAACGCAGGAGAAGACGATATAGAAGCATGGGGTGACATGAAAGAAGACACCTTCTTCGACGCACCCAGCGAATCCACCCCGACAATTACCACCACCACATCCATCCCGAATATTACCACCAGCACGTCCTCAACCGCAACTCCTTTTGACGATAATGGTGAACCAGATTTCGCAGGCTGGTTGGCGGCCCAACAAAAGAAACCAGGACCACAGAAATCGCTTCCAAAAGGCCTGGCAAAACCAGCGGCAAAAACTAACGGGAGACCTATTTCTTCAGGAAGAACTACCACGGCTAGTTCCTTAGGAGCAAATAAAACTACTCCTGCTGCAGCGACAAAACCGGTTGTGACTAAGAAAATTGATGCAGCGACAAAACCGATTGTGACTAAGAAAATTGTCACAGCGCCAAAAGCTATAGATGAGGATGCTGACTGGGGGGATGGATGGTAGCTTTTCGTTGGTAAGGTTCTTATTTTTGTATGGGTATCGTTATCACTGGGCTTGAGTTGAGAAAACTTGGCGTGGCGTTTTGGGCGGATGGAATGGATTGGCATTAGTAGGCGAGGCGCATATATTTTTTGAGCCTTAAGTCTTAAGTCTTAGGTCTCAGGTCTTAAGAATGGTGTTGTGTGTGGCTAGTGGTTAGGATAGATATTATAGAGACCTGGATTACTTTATATACAAGTGAGTGAGTATGCAATATCGAAATGGGAGATATTATGTTTTTATGGTGCTATATCACCCCATTGGTGGAACATCAAATGGAAATATGAGACGGATATGTATACAATCTAGGCATCTGACAGTACTATTGGGGACCATGAATGGGGCGGGGGCCCCGTTTGATAAAGGACCCTCTTATGGTAAGATTGGTGTGTATAGTATAGTGTAGTATAATATAATCTAACCTTTCATATTATAAAACACTGAAAAAACGCACATGGTCAATGCACGACAACGAACATTTTTTTGGAAATTCACGTGCAATACCACATTCAATCTTCAATATTAATACACTTATAATGATTAATGAAACAAAATCTAAATAGATAATATTCAATATTACCTTTCAATCTATATTCTTTTCCAATATATAATTAAAAAGTTATAAATGGTTGAAAGTGAAATTTGAGATTTTGAAGGGACACAGAATTCAGAATTAAAAGCCTAAGCACAGACCACCTCATCAAAACTCAAGGAAAGTTCTGAATAGCTTCAAATATTGAATTATTAGCGATGCATCCGTCCCCCGAGCCTAAGGCGAGGATAGGGGCGGATTGTATCGCATCACTTATACTACAATATATCATTATATTCATATCCAATAGCTGCGCAGCACGAGTGAATGTGGAGGCTATTCAGAGCTCATAGGCTCTGAAAGAGCCGTAACAAAGCTCGTATAATATAACCCTAATATAGGCATATCTTATCTTATCTTATCTTACCTTTTATACCCTACCAGTATATCTCTCTATCGTGACTGACCTTATGCATGGGATGGGGATGGGGATGAGGTGAGATTTATGAGTATTTAGTATGTAGTGTGTACATGTAGCTATAGTATGTATGTAGTAGTAGTACACAAGTAATAACGCAATTTACAATTTACAAGATCTGGACTGCGGTTGGGGTTGCGTGCGTTTGGGAAGTGTATTAGGGAAGGAAGTGTATTGATGTTGATGGGTGTTGATGATGCGAGGTTGTTTGAGGTACCTACCTACCTACCTACCTACCTACCTACCTAGGTAGACCAGGGAGGGGTACTGGTAGGACAGGTGGGTTAGGTTAGGTTAAGCTAGATTAGATTAGGTTAAATTAGGTTAAATTAAGCTGAATACCTTACTCTAGGTACCTACTGGAATGAATATTGTTCTCAGAGAGATGAAGGAACGCCTTGCCTTTCTTTGTGTTAGATGTTAGATTAGATTAGATTAGATTAGATCGGGTAGGGATGGGAAAGGAAAGGAAGCTTAAGAGAAGAGTGCATATGAATGAGATATATGAGATAAATGTAATGAATAAGATGGAGAAAAAAACATTTATGTTGCATATCTATGAGATTAATAGTAGAGGTTTGTTAAGGTATATTAAGGTTTATTAAGAACTCAAGGACTTATGGGAGAGGATATAATGGGTAGAATAGATGGGGCTGATATTGGGGTTCGCTTATAACCTTAGTGAAGGTTTCGTGAGGTTGCGGTGAAGGTGTGAAGGTGAGCCATTGTCTCATAATGTTATAATATTGTGATCCTATGATATGATATGATATGATATGATGGCTTAGCTTGGGTGGGTGTTTTATAGTTGGGTTTCTTGTGTTGTGTTGTCTTGTCAGATGTTCGGGATTTGTCTGACTGACTTTATGTATAGGTAGGTATGCTTTTGAACGCTAGAGACTAGATCTTGAGTGTAAATTTGATGGGCTCGTGGTCGTGGTTGTGGTTGTGGTCGTGCTCGTTCTCATGCTCGTGGTCATGACTTCGCATGAGATATCGATGGGTAGGTAGGTAGGTAGGTAGGTAGGTAGGTAGGTATCTAGTATATAAAATCAGGGATATATATATAAAACAGCTTATTCAATCAATCATCAATCATCAATCCAACAAAACCTCTACACCCTCCTCCAACGCCCTCTTTCTATTTTCCTGCCACTTCAGCCATGCCATTCCCTGTAGTAGACAATCTGCTAGATCATCTAGTTTACCCATCTCCTCTACTTTCTCTATTATAATCTCCTTTTCTTCCGCTTTATTTTTCGATGTGTTTGAGGTTGTACTCGATGCTGTGCTTAAGGCTTTGCTCTTATTTTTCTGTCCTTTTGTTCTCCCGACTTTCCTGTCCCATTTTTCTGTATATCTTTCCTTGACCTCTTGGACTTGTTGACTTCCTATTAGTACCATTTCATTAGGGTGATTCTTCTGCTCCCCGTTTTCCTTTTCTCCCGCATCTAACCACCCCCTAACTAAATCTATTTTAGCCCCCTTACTCCTCGCCTTCACCTCCTTCGTAGTCCTAACCTTCTTGAACTTTTCATCCTCTTCTCCCCCTAACCCACCTTCCTCCACCCAAAAACTACCCACCTTCTTCGGCGCAATCTCTATCAACTCTCCTACCCATATCTTTTCCTCAGACAACGTTTTGAACGTAGCCCATAACATACTCTCCAACATATTGACCCTAATTGTCCATTCGAGAATGTGTTTAGAACCCATAGAGCGAAATCGCTGTCTTTCGATGAGGATATGTGTTGGGGAGAGAGGAAGGAGCGTTTGTCGGATGAGTTTGTAGGCTGCGGAGCTGAGAATGGCAGGGGTGAATCCATTGGGAGTTTTGTCTTTTTCTCCTGGGTCGGAGGAAGCGAGAGGAGGAGTTTGAGGGAGGAGAGAAATCTTTTGCCAGGATTGGAGGCTAGGGATTGTAGGTTTTAATTTCTTCTTGGAGGACTTTTCGAGGCATAGTTCGAGAAGACAAAATGAGAAATTTCGGATCCCCATATCAATGCTTAGAATTCGCATAGGTTTGGGGTTGGCAGACGAGGTATTCGTGCTTGGGGAAGTAATGTGCGGGAGCTCATCTTGCAAACGTTGGATGAGGATGGGCTTGGTGCCAGAGGTTGATACACCGCATTTGAATGCGATTTGTTTGAGTGCCGCAGCTTTGAGTGTGTTGGGGATGGTGATTGCCATTCATGATTGTTTGTGCCAGTCGGTGGTTGATTGACTGAGTGATGTGTGAGTGATTTGGAGAGCAATGAAAATTCTACAGAAGTTTTGTTGCACGTCTGTAGGCCAAATCAATTTTTTGAATAATGAGAAAAGTACAATCTTCTTGACAGATTCAGAATCAGGGAGATGTTTAGATTTCGAAAAAAACTGTTTCGGGGATTTTGAAAGAGAATTTGTTGCCTCTGAGCCCGGGGCGTTTTGGAGATGGTTTTGTTTACTTTCATATTTATTTTTGGCAAGGCTGTCGGTAAAATATCGGAATATCCCTAGCTTCACAACAAATAATGCAGAAAGTTTTGTTGCATATCTATATGAAAATCACAAAAATTTCGGGCAGATATTGAATCGTTGGGTTTTTACGAAATCAATTTACATGAGAGATATGAATGCTAGGTGCTTGCATGGTGGAGTAAATGGTTGGTTTATGTGGTTTTGCAGAATTTTCACGATTGACGTTGGAAATGAAGCTATTTTAGTGGTTTGTGTTATGTGAGTGCGAGGCTGTGTACTTATATGCATATGTGAGGCTGCGTTGAAACTGATAAGGATTAGAGTTACTGGTTGCGATAAGGATTATTAATATATTACTAATCAGATTAATAGCTCTAGCTCAGCTCTTGTATTTGAGTACTCGGGTCTTTGGGTCAACAGACTACGATATTGGCCATGGGGGCGTTGAGTCTGCTATTGGCAATGGATACGAGTTCACCAGCGTGTTGTGTTGTAAGAACATTAGTCTCTGACTAACGATATTCTTCTTGGTCGAGTCTTGAATCCTTTTAGAGGTGATAGATACCGAAGGTAGGTAATGATGTCGACAGCTTAATCGTCAATGTTTGAATCCTTACTTCTTTTCTATCTTGTATAAACCCGGGAAACAATGCTTACAGCACAATACATATATCAATATTCCAAATAATATCATAATACATTAACATCCAGCTAGATCAAAGGATTCTGGCCAGAGAGAGGTCTGTCTAATAAGCAAAAAATGTATATAACACAAAAAAGCCGAGGCTTTTGCTGAGAAATCAACGGCAATCGTGATATCAACTCAAAATTTCGAACTTTATCAATATCAAAACGCCTTTATTGAATCTCAAGTAATCATCCCAAAGCTATTCAAGCCTAGACCCTTTATAGTGTAACTCAATCCTACTCAATTGGTAATCCTTCCCTCAAACCCGTCAGACGTCACTAAATTCCACCCATCAACCCCTTGTAAACAAGGCCCCCGCCATAAGCTATAGAAATCAACCCCTCCTTCCTCCTTCTCCTTCCTCCTTCTCCTTCCTCCTTCTCCTTCCCCCTTCATCTCAAAATAGCTCTCATGCAAAGATTCACTCTTCTTGCTAGAGCATCTACCAAGACGGCAAATACTAGACTTTCTTCTCTCTCTCGTCAATTTTCATCTACAACTTTCACTATGGCGCCTATAGCAAAGGAATGTGATTTTTTGGTCATTGGGGGTGGTAGTGGAGGTTTGGCCACGGCCAGAAAAGCAAGTGGTGTTTATGGTGCGAAGACTATTGCTGTGGAAAGTAAGAGACTTGGTGGTACTTGTGTTAATGTTGGGTAAGTGAGGATTTATTACTCTGTTTCCCTCCCTGAAAATAAGTTACTAACGATATGATAGTTGTGTACCAAAGAAAGTTACATTCAACGCAGCAGCCATCGCTGAAGCTATCCATGATTCGAAAGCCTATGGGTTCTCCGTCGAAACCACCGCTCCATTCGATTGGTCATATTTCAAGAACAAGAGAGATGCATATATCAAACGATTGAACGGAATCTATGAAAGAAACCTTGGCAACGATAAAGTCGAATATATTCATGGCCGCGCATCTTTGACTGGGAAAAATGAAGCGGAAATTACACTTGACGATGGCACCAAACAAATAATCAAGGCCAAGAAAATCCTTCTTGCAGTCGGAGGTCATCCTACTATCCCTAAGGGTATCCCCGGTGCAGATTATGGCGTAACCAGTGATGGATTTTTTGATATTGAGAGACAACCTAAGAAAGTAGCTTTGGTCGGTGCTGGATACATTGCCGTTGAATTCGCAGGAATGTTCAATGCTCTCGGTTCGGAGACTCATTTGTTCATCCGTCATGATAAGTTTCTCCGAAACTTCGATCCGATGGTTCAGGAAGCTATCACAAATGAATATGAACGTTTGGGTGTGAAGTTGCACAAGAATTCTAGCCAAAGTAAAGTAGAAAAGGACGAGAAGACCGGGAAACTCACCATTCACTACGAGGACTCGAACGGAAAGGGTACTCTTGAGGACGTGGATGATTTGATCTGGGGTATTGGACGTTCCCCCGAAGTCGAGGATTTGGGCTTGGAGAAAGCAGGCGTCAAACAAAATGAAAGAGGACAAATCATCGCAGACGAATATCAAAATACCAATGTCGAGAATATCTTCTCCCTAGGTGATGTAGTCGGCAAAGTCGAATTGACACCCGTAGCCATTGCCGCCGGCCGCAAACTCGCCGATCGTCTATTCGGCGGTCCTCAATTCAAAGATTCCAAACTCGACTACGACAACGTTCCCTCCGTCGTATTTGCCCATCCAGAAATCGGCTCCATCGGTCTCACCGAACCAGAAGCCATTGAACGCTACGGAAAAGAAAATATTAAATGCTACAATACCAGTTTTACCGCAATGTATTATGCGATGATGGAGCCTGAGGATAAGGGTCCTACAAAGTATAAATTGGTGTGTCAAGGACCTGAGGAAAAGGTTGTCGGTCTTCATATTTTGGGACTGGGGAGTGGAGAGATGTTGCAGGGGTTTGGAGTGGCGATTAAGATGGGGGCTACGAAGAAGGATTTCGATGGGTGTGTGGCGATTCATCCTACTAGTGCCGAGGAATTGGTTACGTTGAAGTAGAATAGAGTAGAGTAGAGAGGGGTTTAGATGTGTGGTAGATGGTGGATGCTGAGTGGTGGATGGTGAAGTAAGGATGGTGGATGGTGAATGAATAGATAGATGGCTGGGGTGGAATAGATGGAGACTAAATGAGATAATAATGAGAAATGGTATACAAGTATATCTTTAAAGGGGTTTTTGGTTTCATGTCTAGTGTCTGGTGTCTGGTGTCTTATGTGTTGTTAATATGTTCTGAGACTGAGACTGGAAATAGATAGAGAATTTCATATTTGTACTGTAATATGAAAATCGCTTGTGAAAATGAAAAAAAGGGGTATCGGTACTCGTATTGATAGTATACTCAATAGTATCCCTTTAAAAAAGAAAAGGAAAAATAAAAAAGACAATGACAATTCCCATGAGAAATGAAGTGTGAGATGCTGATATCTTTGTTTTGTTTTGTGTTGTATTGTATTGAATGGAATTGAATGGAAATGATTGTGTATTGATTGTATATCTGGCTGGGATTGGGATTGGAATTGGGGTTGTAGAGATGATGTATGTGTGGTAGGTATATGGCAGGCATATGTGTGGTATGGGATATGTGGTATGGTATAGGTATATGTGTGGTATATATTTTGTACGGTATGTGGTAGGTATATGTGTAGTATGAGATAAGATAAGATGAATAAGTCGTGTAATACGTGTAATTGTATATGCTAAAAATATCTCTGACTGAGTGCTAATGGATATTTTTGGGGAAGAGGTGAACAGATGAGGAGATGTTGTGTTTTAAGTGTATAAATATGTAGATGTATATCCCAACCATTATTTTCCCATCCCATACATCCCATATGTAGTTAAAAATATCTCATCTCATCATATCCCGAGATAAACGCTGCGTTGTTGTAAGAACAGTTGATGATGAAGTCGATGATGATGATGTTGAAGATGATATACATGTGAGAGATGTGAGAGATGTGAGAGATGTGAGATATGTGAGATATGTGAGATATGTGAGATATATGACGTAAAAGACAACGAAATATCCATCCATCCATCAGCGAGTAACTCAATCGCTCAACTCAATGATATCCCTCTCAATACTCCTCATCACATTACACAATCCCAATCCCATTTCCCCATTCACATTCGAGTTAATATTCGTCTTCGTCTTCCTATCGACACTTTTTCCCTTCCATCGTCCGCTATTATTCCCGTCACCGGTAAGGGTACTGGGAAATACTTCGTTTCCTCGTGGTGTTTCGCGGACTGCTGCAGCTGTTACCATGGCGTCCTTAGTCGTCCCCTGGATGGCTACTTCATACTCACTATCTTCATCTTCATCAGTGAACTTCCGGAATCTGTTGATACCATCACCCTTACCCTTCCGTTTCGTGCCACTCGCTACCTCATTACCCAGCACCATCGAATCGAGAAGGTGTCGGGGTCGAATTTGGTCGATACCTTTCCCTTTCGATTTATCCCCTGATATATTATCTCCCCGTGTCGTAGGACCAGAAATAGCAAATCTATCGATACCGACACCCTTACCCAAACTATTCAAGCCAGCCCTCCCCATCTCACTCGAAACCACTCCATCCAAACCCCCTGCTCCTCTCCCTCTCCCATCCCCTCCCCCAAGCATACTCCCACTCGAACCCTCTTCCCCCCCTTTACTAGCTCCACACCCCCCCATTTTCGTCCTCACAAACAACTCCCCATCTTCCCTCAAAAACCCCGCATCAGCCCTCACCCCATCCGGATAATACTCCTTCCTGCTCGCATCCCCCGCTAAGTGTATGACTCTACCCAACACCGCCATTCCCCCCTTCTTCCCTCCCTTTTGGATTTTGGTATGGAGATCATGACAGGTATCGCAGAGGAGTAAACCGCAGCCCTTTTTACCCCTATCGCTTCTCTGAGATGTGTTTGATGCAGCCCGTCTACCATTATCCATCCCCTGAGAAGAATCCGCGCTCATCTCGCTATAATCACAGATCCAAGCTGCAGGACTGGGACAAACAGCACACCATTTGGCCCTCCAAACGAGTTCCGCTCTACTACCCCTCTCAGGCTCTCCACCCTTACCTCTCCCCCATCTCCCTCGTTCCAAACCCTGCTCACAAGCTCTCACGCTATCCTGCACAATCTGGTCATCCCACATCCTTTGATCGACTCCTCCAAGCGGCCACAAAATATGTTCGGGACACCCTAATATCTTGACCCGGTCATATGTACACTTGACGCACATTCTCGTTTTGTCTTCGCCCGCCTCACTATCTCCATGTCCATTCTCGAGTTCCTCGTATCCGGCGCCTGTGATGGAGGGCCAGGGAACCACAGTCACGAGACGGGGCCCGAATCCAAAGAGCCCGAAGAAAGGATTCGTGTGGAAGGTACAGGGAGGATAAAGATACATAGGGTCTCGAATGTAGTTGAAGATGATGGGGTGGGAAAATGCGGTGGTGATGGTGATGGTTCGGATACCGTTGTGGGATAGGGTAAAATTTTGGGGGAGGCCGAGGTGCATGGGGGTATGGGGTTTTTGAGATGCAGTGTGGGTTTGGGATATGTGTTTTTGGGAATTGGGATGAGTGATGGGTTTAGCGGGTAGGAATCCCACGGAGGGTGAGTGGGAATGCTGGGCTCGCTCGAAGGCTTTTTGTTGGGCTTTGGTGCGGCGGGCTTGAGGGTGGGTGGTGCGCCAGACGCAGTCGTTGAGTTTGGTGGATTCGAGAATGATGGTTTGGGTTAGGTCTTCGGCGGACGCGAAAGCTGGAGAGATATCTTTTCCTTTTCCTTTTTCTTTGCCTTTATCTTTACCTGTGCTTTCCGCTGGAGCGTTGGAAGTAATTGGGGGAATTGTTGGAAGAAATGTGAAGGTGCATGGTTCATTTGCTTTGACGCAGCGATTGCAAGGACCTTCTTCGCCGCGCTTGATCGAACATTTCCCTTTAAACTGCTCTCTGCACCGATTACACGCAACATATTTCCTAGCCATAGCTTGCGTTTTCGGCACGTCAGTAGCCGTCGCTGGAAGAACTTTCTTGACGCCCTCTCCTTTCAAGCTCCCTCGTTTCTTCACACCAACATTCGCAAGCACTTCCGTCATTCTCATCGAAGTACCAGAATCAGCTTTGGGACCCGCAATACATTTGACATTGGCCTCCTCGCATGCCTTACAGGCTTCGACTCCTTTTCCAGCGTCGTCCGCATAGGAACATCTTCTTCGTAGCTTTTCTTTGCAGCGTGTACATGAGAGTTTTAGTTCGGGTGGGATGATGAGTTCGCAATCATTGCCTGCGGCTTCACACGCTTCACAGGGCCATTCGTGACGAAATTCAATCAAGGAACATTCGTCATCGCCGGCTTCGAAACAGGATTTGCAGCCGCGACGTTGGGGGTGGCCGATAGTTAAGTCTTCGAGAGTTAGACCATCGGATCTGGTATTGTTAGCTGATTTTGCGAAAAATATCATGTGAAGTGAATGAGAACGTACCGCCGGTTATGTGAAGTCTTGATCTTCTTCCTCCTAGTAGAATGAGTGGGATACTTAATATCATCATCATCTCCCGAATCCTCATCATCCACTTCATGAATCCGGGAAAGTATACTCTCATCACCTTCCGGACCGGGTGTGATTTTCCTTAAATATTTCAATCCCTCTTCACTCTTCAAGCGAATTGTAATAATCCATTGGAAAGATCCTTGCTGCTTGGTTTTCCTTCCACTCCTCGTACCTACGCTTGTCTTTGAGGCTCCCTCTCCTCCACCATTCTCTTTAGCCTTCTTGGCTTTGGTACTTCTAGTGTTCCTCTTACGCTCTAAGCTGGGATCATAAGTTCCACTATCATCTTTATCAGCTCCCACCGCTCCAATTCGTTGCGCTTGCCCTTTGATAGCAGCGTTACGTTTAGTGCTGCTGTACATGATATTAAATTCGTAAAGAGATTTTGGCATGCCCCATTTTGAGGATAGAGGAGAGCGGTAATTGGAGAAGAGTGAGAGAGTTTCTGGAGCAGAGACAGCTAGAGCATTGAAATCAGGCGCTTCTGGCGATGAACTAATCGAGCGTGAGCTGCCATTACCGCTGTTCTCATCGAGATCCGGGTCAGGGTCGGTATCATGAGCGTTCAGGTCAACTTCGGGAGTTGGAGTGATGGGTTGGATGGACTTTGGACTTGTATTGGTGCTATTGGGTGCGTTCGAGAAGACGTTGGCTTGGACAGAGATAGGGCTGGTCAGATTGCTGTTTGAAACATTTGAGAAGATGCTTGTCTGAGCAGAGATTGGGCTGATGTTGGTGCTGTTAGGGATGTCAGAGAAGATGCTTGTATAGGCAGGAATTGGACTAGTGATGGTATCTTCGGCATTATTGGAAATTATGCTAGCTTGAGCGAAGTTTCCGCTGTTGAAAAGATTGGGAATACCAAAGATGCCATCGATGGGATCACGTTGGTGGCTGTCAGTCATGGCATCCGGATTTTCATCATCCAGATTGGGCTTGGAACTATTGTCCATATTTGAAATACTTGGAACCTAGATCACTCGAACGTTAGTCATTGATAGCAAATGACGGTGATAAATAGGAGCGACGACAAGACTGCACATGAAGAAAAACTCATAAGTACAATGGCATTGTAGAACTCCATGTATGTGTCAGAAATGGGGACAACAAGGTTGCAGTCAAAGGCGGTAGATGCAGTCGTATAAAATGAAGCATCGTCGATACATCAAATACTGGATGCCTTATTGATATAAGGTAGGTGCGACATATGTGCAAGGAAGGACTTCCGAAAAATGCAAAACGAAATATTCAAAGTGAATAGGAAAGCATTCATCATTGATGAACATCCCAATGAAACTTCTCACATTTGGTCGATGAAGAGAAATTGACGAGTGCTGATGAAGCGAACTTTGCTCCCCTGAATCCCAGAACCGCGCAAACGATGAATCGAAAAAGTGAACCACTACCACAACAAAAAGGTCAACTTACCTTCGAATCTTCCCCAGAAAATTTGTAGAAAGATATCTAAGATACTGAGGAACAGTTCGCAGTTAACAATAAGTGATTTGGAGTTGTGGTGGTGGACTTGTGTAAGTTGTGTTGAATATTGTAAGTTGTTGTAAAGTGGATTAATGGGGTGAGGCGACCGAAGTGAGTATATTACCATCCCATTTAGCATGGTCCGTGTGTACACTACCTCTTGCATTATTGGTATATAGGTATAATAGAAAAAAGACCTGAAATAGCTCATGGAACTCGGTTAAAGAATATGACACGTCTAGAAGTATGAAGAACAAGTCCAAAGATGCTTTGGGGTGAAGATATTGTCATATCCATCATGTCATGTTCCATGACCGAAGAAAGTTATACACGAACTCCATCGGGTTTAAAGTTATCTTATTCCTTTCCATGGTCCACCAACGATCCATCTTTCCACCAGGTAGTGACAAAAGCCAATGCTGTGTACTTCCTGAAGTGAACCCGGGTTCTAAACATGACTTCAGGATAGACGGTGACCGGTAACAAATCCAGTGACAAGTAATCTTCCCTTAATCCAGTAAGGATTCCAAAACGCACAAGAATGGCCTAAAACTACTGGCCAACCATGCACAGGTCTCTTCGCTGAGATGAGGAAGATTGCTCGGTGTATCTAGTAGTGATTGTCGTAGGTGTGGAACGAAAATGTTTTAGCATGGATTTCTGAAAAGGTCAGCCAATACTCAAAGAATTTCTAGCCTATGCTATGCTTGCTCATTGTCTCACATTCTTATATTTGGATTTGAAAGTGCTCAAGTCTCATCTCCTCCTCGCCTCCAATAGAACCAACGGATCTATAGACGTTGCCAGTAGATCCCAATGACGTCTGTCACGGTCTGTGAGAAATGCCGCATGTCGTGAGCCCGTTTTTCGCTATATTTCAACAGAACGGAAAGAACCATTTACTGCGCGGTATATATGAAAGCCCTGCGAGTTATCTGGCGGTATAGACCAGCCAATAACGCCCATAATTGTCTTCATTATATCGGCCGTTATGTCAGGGGAGACATGATAGAGGATAAAGCACAAGTGAAAAGTATGTAGTGCACTGAGAGATGATGATAATAAATCAACGACCCATGGCTGTAAGGCCCATAACACGAGGCGAGCTATCCTGGAAGATTTGTTGACCAGAAAACGTATAACTCTACCCATTACTGACGTAAAACCACCAAGAGATGCAAATAAATGCATACCAAGGGATAATATCGCGAGCATTAGTGACAGAAGTGCAATGTGTGTGTATGTTGGACCTATTGGTGTCTCCTCCAGGGTTATTCGAACTATGTATCTCATATAATCCACATATAAAATAATACACAATCCGAAGAAACGCCCGAGATCCGAAATGAAAATTTCTAGAATTCTTTCGTCCATTTTCTTGCTGTGGTAAATGGAAGATTAACTGCCGTGAAGAATTCTATTAGAGCGATATGCTGTGAGGCGGAGATCGTGTAATGTTCGGAGGATGTTGAGATGGTGTGGTTCGAGGAAGGAAATGCTTTTCTGCTCCATCTTCTTTACTTGTACTATGTGATTTCGCCATGAAGGGAAGGTTCGATAGTTAGGATCAATGTGCTTTCCTTTTCAACCAATTTGTGGATTTGGAATGTAAAACAGTAGCACCTGAAAGATTGAATAGACCGATTTCTTCGGAATCGTATTCTCAATACTTTCTAAATTGCACATCAAATTACCAGTTTGGCAGGTAGCGAAGGGATTAGTTAGTACAGTATACAATATTAGAACCTCGAGGATGAACGAATCAGGTTATTAACGTTCTACTCGTTCGCAGTAGCAGGTCTAGATAAATCAAAACCCAAAAATGCAATCATTGCCGGTAGATATAATCTAGATCTGAATACCGGTACCCAAATGTCGAGTTCCCCGTACCTCGTTCAAGCTTCGAACGAAGTCGAGCCTGAGCCTCGGGTTACAGTATGCAGTCATATTGACACAATCAATGTATTGAAAGACCCAAGTACCGGTACCAGATGTTCAAAGAGTTTGATTATGGGAACAAAATACCAGTACCGGTATACAATTTCAACATTCATTCACATTGAAATGGCTGAATGCATACAATATGAAAAATAAGATAACCAGAATCCGATTAGAAGTTGACGTCGGCTCAAATTCGGATGTAGAGATACACTAGCTTACTTACTAAGCAAGCAAGCTCGCCAAATTAAATTTTACGATTTTTTCGCACCTATAAATTTCTTTCTCACTCCAAGATCATTATTGACAAGTATCGGTACAACCTTGTACAATTCAATCAATTCAATTGTTGTATCAATTATGATAATATCATTACTTCATTCATGATTATTTCTTTCCTCTCCCATATGCCGGGATGAGGCTCCTCTTGATCAGGCACGGTGAGACCGTCGACAATGTTGCTGGCGTATAGTAAGTATATTTCACTCCTTACTCGTACATTTTGAACGTCCAAATTATAATTGGAAATAAAAGTGCAATTTTCTGGGATCTTCTAGCTAACTTCTTTCAAGTGCCGGCATTACAGACTCCGCACTAACAAACCATGGTGTGTTGCAAGCCAATCGACTAGGTACTCATCTCGCATGTTGGAAAATCTCGAACATATTTTCTTCAGATCTTCAACGTGCTGTAAAAACTGCAGAAGCCATTCGTGCTGCTCAAGACAATGGCACAGCTCTTGAAATAGCCAAGCTTGACCTTCTTCGAGAACAAGACTTTGGTTACTACGAAAAGAAAACTTTCCATGAGCGTTCGAAAGATCAAATCAAGAGTGGCAAAGAAACATATTTCAAAGCACACCGAAACAGACCTGAATTCAAAGATGTGGAGTCAAAGGAGTCGATGAAGGGGCGGATGGAGACCTTTGTCAAAGAGCATCTGATGCACTTTCTCGACAACAATGACAACAGTCCGAATGATCATGCTATCGTCATTGTGGCACATGGAATCATACTAGGCTATTTGTGGCGAGTCATTCTAAGGCAATTCAGCCCGAAGAATATCTCGATTGGCCCTGATGTTCCAAATCTTGAGCGTGGGCTAGAATATCTTGGTGTGTGGTCCAATACTGGCTACCTAGATTCGGATATCATGTCTATTCAACATCTGTCGCCAGCCAAAGTTGGTTCGGTGTCTCCAGTCTTGGATGAACAACAATCAGATGACCAAATTACCATGGGCCTATCAAGTGGTGAAAATGAGCATTCCGAGGTTCCTTTGGATGATCAAGCAAATATTCAAAATTCGTTGAAGCTATCACAGCATCGTCTTGGTAATTTTGTGGTGGTAATGTCACTTGTGGTGAAGTCTGTTAATAATCAGGATCATCTTCGAGGGCTCAAGAAAACCCGAGGTGGATTGGGAAGTCTGAAACATGACTCTACCCAAAAAACAATGGATTCGTTCTTCAAGAAGAGGAAGCTTGGATGACACAACTTTGGTAAGCACATTTTTCTATTTTTTTTCGCTGGGGGATGGAGAGTAATATGATGATATACCTTATTCACAGACCTGTTCTGTAATCTTCTATGTGGACAAAAAAAGTACCAACTGCTGTCTGATTACTCTTGTATCTATTATTTTGTTTTTGGAGATGATGATGAAGCATTTGCTAATAACTCAATAGGCTTTGTACTCCATGAGGCCAATTGTCTTTCACACCGTATGTTCATTTCGTTTCCGTGTTCCAATAGCCAAATAGCTTAGTTCTTCATCACATAATGACATACATACATTTACAATCTATATCTCACTTGACGATGTCACAACTCACGTGAATCATGTATGATTTCCTCTTCGCACCTTCAATGCCTCTCATTGCAAATGCAAATCATTTCATCCTCTCAATTGAAAGTGCACCTGCATTCAAACTGTTCTGCATGTTGTTCATTCCGGCCCCCTGTGCAACAAAACAAGCAAAATAAGCGTCGTACCTACCCAACAACAAGTCAGTCCTACGACATTGAAGTAAAAATAGTATAACATCGTACGATAAGACTCTTTTGCAAGTTTCTGTCAACGAATGGGATCGAAACTTGTAGAGAGCGAAGATTGGTTGCATATCTGAAATTGGGCCCGAGTTTCTGATGGATGGATGAATGGAATGGAATGAAGATGAGAGTGGGAGATTACGGGGAAGTGAGGCAATGAAGTGAAGTGATGGAGTGATGGACTGATGGAGTGTTAGCGATGAGACGACGAGTAGGTCTTGTTGGTGTGATATTAATGTGACCTCAAGGTATGAGTGACTTCAAGGTATGAATGAGTAGGGTACCGTGGCATATTGGGAATGGATGGTCATGAATGTTGTGTTTTCATGAAGAAGATTCTGTGCAGCACCTACCTACTGCACATAGCAAATCAGCAGAGAGGGACATATCTCTTGAATATTTGGGCCCAGCTTCAAGAAGTATATCATCAGAATAATATTATTTCACACTTTAGACCCAATTCCCAAGTCACACAAATTATCAATCCCAGATGTATACAATTAAAATTAATGCATTATTATCTCTTGCCGTATATATCATGACTTCCGTCCTTTCCATTACCGCTTACTTTTCCCCCCCATTCATCCATTACCACTTCGTTGCTATCTGAAATCTCGCAAACCAAACCAAGCTTCGCATTCATAAAGTGAATAAACATCCATTGTAAGCAAATTGACGCAAGCAATATCATTCAAATACAAAAATACAAATCCAATATCAAATCCAAATCCAAATCCAAGCAACGTCGCGCCAAGTCCAGAAAAATTTCAACAAATCAACGAATTTAATCCAATCAAAGTAACAAAAGCATACCAACAGCAAAACCCACCAATCCCACAACAGCACCTCCCTCCATAACTTGGATCTGTCCAGCTGCGCCGGTGAACTGTCCAGCCACGGCCCCAGCACTGGTTTCTGCTGGTCCTCCGCCCGGAACCAGGGTTGTGAATGTTTGACCATTGCTTGTGAAGGTGCTGAGGGCTCCGGCTGGGATGGTCGTGGTGATTGTTTGACCGTTGACCACAGCCGTGCTGAGGATATTGACTGGGCCTTCGGTGGCGGGGACGACGGTTGCAACGCCGTTGACGGTGGTGGCGATGCCGTTGATGGTTTGCACGGCGTTGTTGGTGGTGATGGTGAGGGGGATGAGAGGGGCGATAGGGGCGACGGGGATGGAGGTGATGGTTGTGATGGGTGGGTTGACGGTGGTTATGGTGGTTAGGACCGGGAAGATGGTGATGAAGGGGAAGTTGGTGTTGGGGGGTGGGACCACGGGGGTAGTGATAACGGGAGGAGGAATAACTGGGGTGGTGGGGATAAGAGGAGGAACCCCTGGGGTGGTGATAACGGGAGGAAGAATGACGGGGGTAGTGGGGATAACAGGAGGAGGAACAATCGGAGTCGAAGTAACGATTCCGGAGTTTCCTCCCGTGCCCGTCCCAGTATTGGTACTAGTCACGACCCCGGAGTTTCCAGAAGTAGCGCTTCCCTGAGTGGTAGTGAGACCCGATTGAGTGCGGGTTCCTGTTCCTGTTCCAGTGGGTGTAGAGGACGAGGCTCGACTGGTAGTGAGACCCGACTGGGTGCGGGTTCCTGATCCAGTGGATGAAGAGGACGAGCTTCGGGATTCGCTAGAGCTCGAGCTTCGCGATGTGGTGACACCCGATTGCGTGCGGGTGGCGGAGCTGCTGGATGTCGTGATGGTGACGACGGATGTAGATCTAGTGGTGGTGGGTTGAACGGTGGTGGTTGGACGCACGGTTATGGTGGATGTAATGATGACGGTGCTTTGGATAGTTGTGTCTTTGCTCGTGGGCTTGATGGATGTCGGCGCAATGGAACTCTTCATGGAAGTCGGCTTGATGGAACTGGGCTTGACTTTAGACGATTTTGGTGGAGGACTGGGTTTTCCATTGTTGTTTTCATTGATGTTCTCATTGATGTTTGTGTTTTCGTTGACATTTGTGTTGCTGTTGCTGTTGTCATTGCTATTTCCATTCTCATTGGCATTGCCATTGGAATTTCCATTGCCATTCCCGTTCCCGTTCCCATTTCCATTGGTAGTAACAACCTCGTTGCTATTCTGATCTTGACCTTGCGGTGCCGCAAGTGAGATGGTCGCGAGACCTGCTAGGATAGCAGGGATGTAGTGTAAACGCATCTTGAGGGTGAAGTTTTTTTCAGTGCTTGTTGTTTGAAAAGTATGAACGAGAGATATAAAAATCTTCCGATTGACTTGACGAAAGTTCGATTAAGGAATTCCAACGAAAGTATCTGAGAAGTAAAGTTTCACGAGATCAAAAAACCTGGTGCCTCCATGGACTACATGGTTATATACAAATACCACTCCTAGGTGCTTCTTTATCCCATGATAACCGCAAGCGGATCATCAGGGGGGCGAGCTGTCCTATCTAGAGATTCTCTTCGTTTTCACATATCAGGTGCCCATGTTTGCGGAAGTGAACTCGTTTTAGGAAGGACTGGGGATAATCTATCATGAAAACGATGATGATGATGATGATGCGAGATGAGATATAGGGACAAAGCAACTGACGAATCCAGCTTTCTCCAAGTCGCTGACGGAAACAGCAACGGGAATAGCACAGAAGTAGATATTTATGGAAACATCTCGAGCTTGCTTAAGCTTGATAGCAGGATGGATCGACAGTATTTCTTTATTCCCCTTAATATCCGTTTTCAAAATACCATGCTCGAACCAATCAAATGATTTTTATCATTTATATGTATTCGTCACCTCTTCTCGATTTGACTTACTCATCATGACCTCGATTTTGATTTTTCAATCTTGGACGATGGGTTGCTGTTCGCAGACGTTGAACCGATGAGTGGCCTCCGGTCTCGTTTGAGTTTAAGCCGTCCGCATTCCTCAGTACGCCGAGATCGCATGTGATTCTTGGATCTCTTCTCTGCGCTATTGATATGCTCAGTCCTGTGTATTTTCTTTCATATGAGGACATCAGTAATGCCATGCCTGCGATATTGATATTTTGTCACTATGCGTTAGATATGATCCTTCCAGTTTTATATTTAGAGCGACTTGCTCCTATTCATTCCGCACCTACACCTTACCCTTCCAGGCATTTGTAGAGTTTCTCCGCTAAGAAAAATTCAGGATAATGATATAATTACTATTGTATCTCAACAATGTACACTCCTTCTGGACAGATTCAATTACTCTTTACCAAAGGATCGAGAAAATTTACCAACCTATACCGTAAGAAATCTCATCTCAGAACCGTCAAGCAGGCTATCCGCCCAACAAAATGATATTTGTCCGTGAACGATATGAGTGCTACACACACTCGTGTGTAAGGTAGATGGTTTAGATTCCATCGAATGCAAGATTTGTTGCATCATATTTAGAGATTTCCCTGCTCTTATCCGATTCACCGTTCCCGTCGCCTCATCCGCATGGTCTGGAATGTAGCGGCTCTCCACCACCAACACTCTTTTTAACATTGCATGCATGGATAATGCAATGATTTCAATTTCATAACAATCATTTATTGATTCATAACTCTGATCTCATATTTTCCTTCTTGGTCATCTATCATTCACGAATCTTGATCCGTTGACGTCGTTTCCGTTGTCCACATTCCACACGTTTTCCATCCGCATTCCATCCATCAAGAAAATCTAATTTTAGATATACTCTCAAACCTCGACGTTCTCAAACAAGAAAGTTGGGAAACCAGGAACAGCCTGCTCAGCCATAATTGGCAAAGCCCCGTATTCTTTCTCCTCACTACCCTCAACAGAAACAATAACACCCTTCTTTCCACCTTCATCACCGTCAACAATCACTACCTCTATCACTGCCAACCCTGCTGCCTTTTTGAGACCGGGTACCATGTTCTTGAGTGTCTGCTTTTCATCGAAAGCTAACTTTCTCTCAAACACCTGATCTGGAACTTCACCGCCCTGTAAACTCCTCTTTAAAGTTTGTACAAAAGGCATCGCTTTCTTCATTTCTCCCATCTTGGCAATTTTTCCGTTTAGTTCTTTATCATTGGCACTCTTGGTCTCTGGGTTCCAAGACTCGCGAACAAGATCAATATACTTTTGTTGCCAGGCAGGGAATTTAGCAGCAGAGAAAATGGTAAGCTTCTTAGGCTTCTTGAGATCATATCCGATATCTTTGCCCTTCGCCTTCTTCTTTTGTTGAGCAGCCTCAGCGGATGTGATGTTTGAGGATGTGGAGCGAACGTAGTCGCGAGCAGCACTGAGAGCTGGAATTGGTGCTGGAACAGTAGGATAAAGGGCGTTCTGAATGGTAGTAGTTTTGTGGAGGACCTCGAGCCAAATGTATTCAGACCAATGAGGCGCGATAACAGTGAGGAGGAGAGCTTGAAGCTCGATATATTGGAGAATGAGATCTTTATGCATCTTAATTCCGGCAGCAATGCTGGCTTCACGATAGAAGTCACGGGCGGCTGTGAAGTCATAAAGAGCCGATTTAAGGGCGAGTTTGAAGTCCGTTGCTTCGTAATGTTGACGACATTCGTGAACGATAGCATTCATTTCGTTTTCGAACAGTGCATCGAGGAAATCGGTCTTCTCTCCAGTACGGAGGCTATCTTGATCTTTGACCATATCCTCACACCATTCACGGAGAGTGAAAAGACGGAGAACGTTATTATCAGCAACATCTTCCTCAAAATTGGCATCTGCAACTCCATCTCCTGCATCAGCCAATGCGATACGACTGGCATCTGCACCATATTTATTGATCATGTCGAACAAGGTCATGAAGTTACCAGTGGATTTACTCATCTTCTCTCCATTCAAGAGCAAGTGACCATTAGCACGGATAGCTTTTGGCCAATACTCTGGTGGGAAAATGGCAATGTGGATATAAAGGAAGAAAGTAAGGTGGTTCGGGATGAGATCCTTTCCTGAAACTCTAAGGTCAAGCGGATACCAGTACTCGAATTCTCTTCTCATTGACGCGAGAGTGTCCTGTGGAATCTTACTATCGTTCAAGATATCATCACTGATATCCCGGCGAGCAAAGACATAATCCCAAATCTCGTCGGTCATTTGCTCTGGCTTGATTCCAGCAAGACCTGGAGTCTTACCAAAAATATCATTATGAAGGTAGTGAGCAATGGTGTAATATGCCATGTAAATGGTACTGTCGCTCAAACTTTCAACTAAGAATTGAGGATCCCAGGGAAGTTTCGATCCAAGACCGTAAGTCCTGGCACATGCCCATTGATTGAGCCAGTTGAGCACACCTTCAAATCCATTTTTGGTCTCTTGTGAGTAAGTGTTCAATCCGGAGTCAACATACTCGAGAGCAATTTTTCTCCAGGACTCCTCTCCGTAATCAAGGTACCATTGATCCATCAATGCAACGCAGCATTCATCTCCAGATCGACTGGTAACCTTTCGCTCAGGTTCTGAGTATGCAAAGCCTTGACAAGCGTCGATGATTTGCTTTCTGACCTTTGGTTTGGTAACTTCGACCTTTTCTCCCTTGAACTCTCCAAATGACATGGTACCTTGATAGTACCCCTCTTTGTAAGCCAACTCTTTTGCCTCTTCCAATTTCGTCTTGTCCTTTGGTGAGGCAATCTTGAGCTTATTCACCAAGAATGGAGCGCACATATCTCCATATGAGGGTGTAGTGATGACAGAAATGATTTCTAATTCGGCCCATTCTTTCTTGATACCATAATAATCAGCCTTCTTAGCGAGATCCATAATAGTCGCATAATCATCTGGACTGTCAGATGGTACACAGGTAACGACTCCAGTACCTTTGGTAGGAAGAACCGACTCCATGGGAAGGATTCTGACACCATCTTTATGTACAGACAGAGGAGCGTGAACCAAGGTCCCAACACATGCTGAACCAGTGATCACTGCTACCTTATCGACTGTACCATTTCCAGGGAAGATATTTTGATATGACATGTTTCTAGCCGCACGATCGGTAATGACAAAGTAAGTATTTTTCGAAACCTTGAAAACTCCATAGGTAATCTTAGGTCCGACGAAACAACAATTCTGCCCATACATGGTCTCTGGTCGAAGAGTAGCAGCTACGAAAAAAACGTCTGCATCCGCCGGGAGTTTTCCCTTGATTGCATCTGCGGCTTCTGGTGCCCATTCCATGACCTTCAACTTCATGGCTAGGTAGTCCTGTGGGCCAACTCCCTCTCCGTCACTTCGATCGTGGTCCATGCATGGCTGTCCGTCCTTTGGCGAGTAAATTGTGTATCGCTTTCCGAACTTAATTTTCTTGAGCTCCTTGAGGCGATTCATCTGCCAGCGAACGAAAGAATCGTAGTATGGGTTGGCATCGGTCGTAACAAACGATCTTCTCCAATCAATACGTGCTCCAAAATTCGTAAGGTCTCGTTTGCAAAGAGGGGAAAAATAGGCACCCCAATATTGAGGGTCTGCGAATTGATATATATCTTCCATTGGAATACCTAATGCTCTCATGATCTGGAATTGGTACTTCATCTTGATAACCTTTGCGGCAGCCTTCCCTTTCTTCGCCGTGAATTTAGTAACATCTTCGTGATGTGTACTTGGTGCAGATATGTTTGTCTTCTCTTCCAACTCCTCTTCTTCCTTGTAGTTTTCGAAGTTCTTGCCAAAAAGTTTGATCTCATTCACGAGCTTGTCGGCGCATGCTTTGATAGGTAAGCCCGTCAAATGGAAACCCATAGGGAATAGGGTTCTCTTTCCCTGCATACGTGCGAAACCGGCGGTGAACTCGACTTTACTGACGGTAAAACTGTGACCGGCGTGGAGAGTACCATTCATGTATGGATAAGCCATGGTACCGAAGAATTTAGGGTGCTGTTCGCGCAATTCTGCGGCGGAGACAGAGTGGAGGGGAATCTCGGAAGTCGAAGGAGCATCTGGCTGGAAAATACCATCCTTTTCCCATTGTGCTTGGTATTTTCTTTCGATCGCAATGAGTTTGTCTCTCTTCTCAGTCTAAAAGGTATTATGATAAGCAAGTATTTCGAATCTGCCAATGGAGGGGTACCTACGCCTTTCAACTCCTTGGTTTTGGAGATTGTGGCATTCTCCAAAGCCTTCGCAGTGGCTTCAACAGCTGCCATGTTTGCGATATTGAATCTGCAGACCTTTCGATATCCTTCCTGCAGAATCTATGCTGTTATTTTAAGGTTTCACTGAGTCACCGGAAATCATACAGAAATTCGAGTCAACTTGACAAATTGCGGGTGGTGGGGGTTTCATGCATAATTGCCTGAGGCCAAGACACCATTTGGTGTTGGTCTTCCTCCAGCTTCAAGCTTCATTCTGAACGACCAACAGTCATGTTTCGCACTGTTGTTAGACGTGCTGCTCAGCAGACACGGTTGGAATTTCCATACGATCCGAATTTGAATCCATACCAGGCAAAACGGTTATGGCCACCCGATTTCACAAAATTATCACAAAAACATCAATTTCGACTTGAACGAAGATACAAAAGAAGATCGAAATTAAAGTGGGCGAGGCCAGGGTGGACGAAAGGCGTGAAGGTTGCACAATTTAGCTCCGTTATATGTGAGTAAAGTGTGGGACGGTTCAGCAGATCACAGAATGCTGATGTTGGGACAATAGTTGTGATAGTGTATGGAGTATTATTTGCGGATTGGAACAGGGACAATTTGGTTGAAGAAAGTGCACCATTTCAAGGAGTACGGTCACCTCCGTCTCCACCAATAAGCTGATATATTGACAAACTCTAGATTCGGGAATGGTTCTTTGGACTGACGGGATCAATGTGGACAAAAGATCAAGTTCACAAACGTGTAGACGAAAGTAAAGACGCATCTCCTGTAGCGAAGACGAGTAATTGAAACACAAGTCATATATTCGAAGCTTTGTTAAGCCATAATATTATTTAATTTGTAGTATATCCTTGGCGTAAAGACGTTAAATACCACTCTGGGTTGGAAGTGTAAATCAAATCTTTCCTCTAGTGTTCCTCGCCGTTTGTTCATCATCTCTCATGAAATAGCAGCATCTAAATACTCAAGTAGCACAGCCTCTGGTGGCGAGGTAAAGGTTACCAAGAAGACCTGTGTGCTGACAGCATTGGGGTTCTTTTGTGCTCATGCTTGGTCGGCGTGAGACTTATGTCGTTCCAACCATCCGGAACGATCTTAGCTTTCAGCGTGTTGAGCTGCCCTTCTCAACTGCCCTCCATTAACTTCCCAGTGCTAGCCGGGTATCACATATTCTGCAACCTTGTAACCCTTGGTCAAAAGTGCGAGGTACTCTTATTGCGGTTTGTCTTAAGTGTGTCTTCAGCCAAAAAGATCATTGTCTTTCACCTGGAAGCCCAAGCAAAATTACCGCCCATTCCCATCCCTCCTAATGCCCCGCCCCTCCCTTCGTTCAACGGCCTCTTTGCCACCTTTCCTTGTGCCTTCACCCCTTCTACTACTCTCTCTAGCTGTGTCTCAATCACAACGCCCCCTACGATCATCTCGCTCAAAGTAGAATGTAGCGTCTCGAAGTTGAAGATCAAATCCAGCTCGCATACATTCTCAAATAATCGATCAAGTGCCTCCACATAGACTTGTATCAAATCAATAAGAGCAAGTGGGGATTCGGTGGATGTTGAGATGATGATGAAGTAGAGTGTTGCATAATGACGGTAGGTGACGAGGGAGGGAATATCATTATGAGGAGATGAATCTGTTTTGGATGTGGAGGAGGAAGCAAGAAGAGGCGGAAGTGGGAGGAAGTTGCATGAGCCGGCAGGACGATTAGAAACGAGGGTAAATATTTCTGAGATGAGTCGTTGTTGAACTGATGTTTCCTTATGGGCTATTAGCACGGGGGTTCTTTAGGGAATCGTGGGGTCATTGGTATTCACTAATTGTGTATAAAACTTTGTAAGGCGTGGTTGCCCAGCATTATTGAAAACAAGAACCGCATTGATCATCTTGAGTGGAAATATGTAGTAGAACTTTGGATCAAAGGGTTTATGAAGGTTGACAAAAGAAGGCTGACAAAAGAAGGCTGAACTCAAATGCATGGTGCAGTACGGGACCTTCCGATGTGCCGACGATGAAGCGAAAAACGTGGGGTAGCTAGCTCGAAGCTTACAATTAAGCTTTGTGTAACCATTCTGTTTATTAACTCATAAAATTGTAACCATCAATTATCGACCCATTTCCCCATTACATCGATCCACGGCTTCTGTACCACATATTCATCCGTTCGGACGCATCAACACAATGTCTCGCACATTCCTTGCAAAGATCCTTCGTAGTGCGCCTCGTCAATGTGGTAGCCCTCAAACTTTCCTTACTCGTGGTCGAGCATTTCCGACCATTTGCTCAAGCGCTTTTTATCAAACCTCTCGCCCAATCACATATTCAAACAGAGTAGGCAAAGGGCTTTCTCCGGAATCTGAGAACCCTCAGCCCAAGATATTGGAGAGCAATGCAAAACCAAAGCAAGCTGCCGAGCTCTCTCAGGAACAATACAGTGAGCTATCTGATGAATATATGGATATGATGGTTGAGAAGCTAGAGGAATTGCAAGAGAAGAGAGAGGACGTTGATGTTGAATATAGCGTGCGTTCTTATCCTAGTCTCATGCGCCTTTCAATGGCCTGCTTCGCAAAACTGACGCCGAGATAAATCTGTATAGGCTGGAGTTCTTACACTCGCATTTCCACCCATTGGCACGTATGTCATCAACAAGCAACCGCCAAATAAGCAGATTTGGCTTTCTTCTCCCACTTCCGGTCCAAAGCGCTACGATTTCGTAATTACGAGTGAGGGTCAAGATTCGAAAGAGGGAACAGGATCAGGGGAGTGGATATATTTGAGAGATGGCTCTTCTTTGACCGACTTGCTATTGAATGAACTCGGTGTCGACTTATCGAGTACATATACCGCTGATATGCAGGGAGATGAGTGATATGCAGAAAATGGTTCAGGACGAGCGTGAAGATGGATTGGGCGAACATTTTTGTAACTTGCGGGCATTCGAAGCGGACATCATGATGGCGTTTTATGGCAGTGACACTTTCACGACACGAGGTATATGAATTACGGAGATCGAAGAGACATTGAGGCAGCTTTTAATAGTATTGCTGGGCATCATCTGATGAGAATGGACACAGTCTGGCTTTATAAGTGTGTGTTCATCATAGACACAATGGTAGATTCTCCTAGAGATCTAAATCCATTTGCTTCTTAGTAACCGTGACCTCGGCTTGACCTAATCTGGTTTTGTTTCTGCGGTAAGCTTTCTTCGCGGAATGACACCATGGACTAGACGCTCATCATCGGGCGCAAATCATGTTTATAAAGTATGCCCGTCATCATCACCGCATACCCCTCAGTCATACTCTATTAGACCAATCCCCAATACTACTCGGGTGGAAGATATTCTCGTCTCGGATCGCATGTCGTGAAGCAGCCCCGGAAGGTCCCTCTACTCAAGTCGCAACCGCCACCTGAGCACCACCTTGATCTCCTTCAGGCTTTGGTAAATCATCCTACGTCGTGAAACATTAGCAATAATTCAAAAGATCTTTCTCCGCATCGATAGAACCTCAATGATATATGCCTTCATTTCGGCATCGATTCCTTTTTCACACGAATAACAAAACTCACCACCTCAAAGATGACTTTGATCATCAAACTACAACTTGGGCACACTCCAATATCTTCTCCATCTCTCAAATCCGCAATCCCGATTTCAAATCGATCGCCACATGGACATGGATAATGATATATTTGTAAAACTGGATCGTAAGTCATATCCTCGATTTCGATTTCGTCGTAAATGTTTTCGGCCATTTTTACTCTGTCAGCTGTAATCTCCGAAATACAAATTGTTCTTGTTGGAGGTTTGGGGGCCTTCTGCGAATATGTTCTCCTTGTTGTGTATGGGAGGGGTCATAAATTTGTGGTGATGGCGGGGATTACAAAACGGGGACAAAGAAAAAAGTTCTCGGAGAAAGAGTTATTCCGCTCCGCTCTGATACAGTCAGCCGAAATCGCTTAGACCTGCTAGTTTCAGGGTCAAAAGTCTCCTCCTACTACACTGCCTTGAGTGGCTGTGTTCTTCAGGTTCGATATCACGATCTCACGATGTTTCTCAATTATGGAAACCTTCATCGTTTCATTGGATATTTTTTGATAGACAGCCGGACTAGCTACCGGTATTCGTCAGATAATCGACTTGTTGCTACGCCTTACCCGCTGCCAATGCGCTAACTATATCATCTTCATACCTGGAAAACAGCCCGATATCAATTTGAAGTTGGTTGAATGGCCCCCTGGCAAACCAACACAACTCATACGCCGTACAAGTCTGACAAGAATTTCTGGTGATACCACAATTCTTCAAATTCTCCATGGGTGTCTCATGGTGTCTCATGGGACATAAGGATATTGGAAAGTCCAACATTCGTTCCTTGGGTTCCAGTCAATCATGCTGGGACTGCTTTCGTAGATACGAGTTTCCCATGTCATTTTTCAATCATTCATTACTACAATTGGCCTTACAAATTTATGCAAGTGCAAGCGCAAGTGAGAATTGGACAAAGCATTTGCGGATGCGAGATGTGGTCTTTGAATGCACGAAGTGGAGCTTTTTTCTTATTCGTCAGTTAGTCCGATTACCCTTTTCCCCTGATACAAATCTCACCATGCATGCAATACACCGCCTTTGAGTCTTTCACTATGCTCCTCTTTCCCTGTCTTGTTAGCCCTGCAACGGCCAACCCTATCGGCCTTAGCCGCGAATCTCAGCCATTTCATGGTGGGATAGGGAAGTTATCGGTACTTTAGCAGAATCTTAAATATAGCCTGTCACTCGCCATGCTTCTCAAGATTTATAATCTCATCACAATTGTTTGCTTGACGTCTTTGATTAACGATGGCCGAAATGCCAGGTTATGTTAGAAAAAGAGCTTCAAAACCCAAAGTCAGATCAGGTTGCGTAACGTGCAAGTATGGTTTGTCGATGTCCTGTCCTGAGCTTAACGTTGACTTGATACACCATAGATTTCGGAGACTAAAATGCGATGAAGAAAAACAGCTTGTTTTCGATGTTCTAATTCCGGAATTCAATGTCGTGGTTATGCTACCCAAGCGCCTGCATCAACGAAGAAGAAAGTAGTTGTTCGACAATGCTTAATCCCTATACGTCCGGCACCACCAAACTTGCCATGCTATGAGTTTTCTTACTTCAATCTTAGCGAGCAAGAACAACTGTACTTTGAAGACTTTGCATGTGCAGCTTCCACCGACCCATATAGCATGGTCCTGGACTCAACACGCCGTACGGCTAGATCGATCGAGTCATTCTTTTGGAGCGAAACGGTGCTCCAGGAAAGTTTTACAACGCCTTGTATTCGTCATGGAATTGTCGCCATTTCTGCCCTGGTGCAGAGCTTTCAGTTGGACACTATCAACTCACAACAAGCCCATGAACAATTCGCCTTGAAACAATACGGTAAAACATTGCAATTGACGAGAGACTTTATTGCCACCACTAAATGTACGATGGAGCGTTCAAGAACACTCTTCATTTGTTCTTTGATATTAGCCCACTTTGAATGTTTCTACGGGAATCGAAATCTGGCAATTTCTCACATGCAATGCGCCCGATCATTGCTCACGAAAGAGACCTCGAAGTTTCTTGATTACAGATTCGTCAGTATCTTAATGAACCTTGATATTGTCAATTACTCCACTATGGGCTTCAAATCAATATTCTCTTATCGCCAAACCATATTTGAAGAGGAGCGGATTTACATACCGGAACTTTTTTCCAGCATAGGGGAAGCAGTCAAAACTCGAGCGATACTCGTCCAAAGGGCCAACAACCTCTATATAGAGATTTTCAAATATAGATTCACACCAAAAGCAAAGATTCCCCGCTCCGCGATCAAACGGAGAGATCATTACGTGGCGCAATTAAGACGGTGGGATGCTACCTTCCGTCGATTTACGTGGATGTCCGATTACAAAACTGGCATTGTCGGACATCCAGTGCGGAGACCAGATTCATTGAGGATGCGAATATTGATCGGTGCCATCAAGCTTGCCACAAGTCTCAACGAATCGCAGTTGGTCACGGACGAGCTCCTCGAACCATTTCAATATATTGTCTCTTACACGCGAGATATAATAGACTATGAAGCATATTTGTCTAAAGGTACTTTTATCCCCTTAATGAACAACTGATGATGTAATAACTAGATTTCAAGGTAAAGCATCATTTAGTCTTGGTATTCGCACTACTATACCACTATTTGAAGTTGCATTATACTGTCGCAATTCGCCGTCTTTACGTGACGAAGCGCTAAAATTACTTGTGTCCTCTCATTGACAAGAGGGTGCATGGGATAGTCGTGTGACTGCAAGGATCGCTATCTGGAAGATGGCACTAGAGCAGCCAGGGATGGATGAATTTGGAACTATTTCTGAGCATGCAAGATGTTATGGGGAATGTTTCGAGGTCGATCGATCGAAGAAAGAAGTTCGAGTTACCTGCAGGCAGAAGGACGAGAACATACCTGGGGGTCACCGAATCGTTACCGGTGTACTTCAATATGGAGAAGTGGCGGATGAGCTGTTTCGCTCGAGCCTAGACTGGATCACTACTTCGAATATCTCGCCATAATCTTTCATACTCTTTCTTCTAAGCTTGTGATGCTTCATCTAGCGCATGTTTATCGCTAATATTAATCTCCATAACTCCAATAATTGTTTTTGGAAACTCCAGACCTCCATTACCCACTTCACTTCGGTCCTCACACGCTACCTCTGTGTGGCGAGCCTCCGATGCTTCATCGACATAAATAGTTCATCATTTTAGACCTCTGATCTCTTACTTAAAGTGGAACACCGAAAGACGGTTGTCAGCATGAATTCTGGAAACCAACCAACATGTGGCTGCATCCGTCTCATTAGCCACTTGAATGCTATCAAGGGTGTATATTGGTAAAATGTAAGCGATATTGATTGTCCATTCATGGATTGAATTGAGGGACGTTGAAGCAATAACGAATAATTTGCATGTCCACTTTGTCTGCGCCGCTTTGATCGGCGGCTTAGTCTACTCCTCTCTGTTGGATTTGGTTGTGTCTAGCAGAAAACGGGACATAGCCTTACCCGTATCAGACATGTCGGTAGCAGTCGCTAAAGCTTGTATAGACAACCAACACGGACCTTTTTCTATCGGGGGTGGAGAACCTTCTGCTTGATACAATCAGATTCTAACGTTCTACACACAAGATTGAAATCGCCATTCAGAGTTATGGACAGGGGGTATAATATTCGTCTTCTAGAGCTTCTGTTACACGTCAGCTTACGAGTTGTGTTCCTTCAGTGCACATGTATGCCCTTATGTAGGATTCATCGGACAATACCACCACACACACCACAATTTTGTGCTTATCAGAAAGAAAGGTAGATCTCTGTAAAGCAGGGTCTAAGACATACCACATGTACTCCACGCGAACCAACTCATAGTCAAGTCGATGGAACAGATCGTTGCAGAAATAAAGCTATTGCGGGACTTTTGACATCTTCTTGTCTTCCGAGAGTCCGGACAATCAATCCAAACTTTCTCTTTTGCAGTTATAACATTAATATCACAGATGACCAATTGCACTGCGGGGTGGCTCCTTATTGGCATGCTAGGGATATATACGCCTCTTACGCGCAGACTACAACATGCATTTCTGACGGCCAATCTTAGCATGCGGCGCTTAAACAGGCACGATGTGAATCCCTAGTTCATTACTTAAAGTACTGTGATGCAACCAATCATCAGCCGCAATGAACTTTTTGTATCTTGACAACATGCCCAACAGACAAGGGAAAATATATCGTGCAGGAACCGATAAGATGATCACTTGACCACTCCACCACTAGGAGCGAAAAGCAAATGTTTAACCCCGATACCGAACTCTGCGGCATGTTGATTTGTGTATCGCGAGAGAGAAATATAGGCATGCCGAAGTCCACGCCGCATTCGATCCTTTTCTAATCCATCAGGTGGGCATATTATTTTGGATGGCATGTTCCGTTGCAAGTGGAGCATACATAAAGTGATTATCAGCTGTAAACTGTAATAGATTCTAATGAATTCAATGGAAGTGCTCATTCCAACACGTCATTTCAGGCGATAGACTGATGGCTCGCTGTATGTGTCTAATTTCAGAACAGCCAATCAACGAGGAACCCGGTAGTTTGGTTCACTGTTAGGATACCGAGGTTCATGCGGGTTAAAAGATTCTGCCGTCTTGATTTCATATTGATTACGCCTTGGCCACGAGGCCACGCACGTCGTTGGACTGATCTTCACTTGGTCAGGGCTTCCGGTTAATTCAAACAACGGAGCCGGTTGGTGATGTATCCTTGGGGAACGTCATTCCTTCACGCCACTTCCTGGCAAACTAACGGGCTTCTACAAGTGTTTCCGTGTCATTACTACATCTAAACAACATTTCTTGCGGCGTCGCCAATTTCAGAACCGAGCAAGAAACTTCGTGCTATCTTTCTTACCAACCTCTGCCTCACCCCACTTCCCGCTCCTTCTGTTACTTCTTTTAAGTCTTCTAGGGGGTTGTATTGACCCCTAGCATATGTTCCACTCCATTTCCTTCGCCGTGTATGCTCTCAAAAAGGGCAATATCTGTCTGACTACAGGCTGCATGTGCATCAAGCACTAGATTTTAATATCGTGATGGATGCACACGGAATTTCGTTGCTGGTATGGTATGGTCTGAAACGAAATGAGATGTGATGATCTGGTTAAATTGCCTACTATACGTTGTAGAGTCTACGATGATACCGACAGTTTAGTTGAATATGCAAGACACCCTTATGGATTTGAACCTTTTTCTGTCACGCATGATGGATCTAATAATACAACTCTGCATTTAGCAGCACCAACAACTGGATTCGCCTACTGATAAGTGTGTGTGGATCGGTATGGTGGTATCAGTGTTACGTTAGGGTATTGGTCATCCCTTTGGTTACTCGCTAAATTACAGTATGATTGCCAAAATCACGCCGTTTGCTCACTTAGGGTAGAATGCATGGATGTCCAGCTCTTGACTCCCACAGAGCCTGACGCGCAAAGGAACACCCGCATGCATTTTATCAAATGATTCCAGCATTTGTAGTGTCTCGAGAAAGACACAATGCAGAGGCGCAGTTCTTGCAATGTAGCTTAAACTGGAAGTATTCCTTGAGCTGCATGATATCAGGCAAAGCCAGTAGCATCATAATAACAATCTATGTATGCGACTGATAATGAAGATATGCGCGTAATATGCCTAGTCGCGGGCAAGACTGAGGTCTCGGGTCACGGTACTTTGGGCGCTCGTACCAAGGCTTTCCGACGGGTTGGAATTCATCTAGCGTTCCTAGCATCGTTATTCGTCAGTCAGCAGGATATATTATTTGTCGAGATATCACTTGACCTCCATGTTTGCGTTCGCACTGGTGCTTCTCAGACCAACAACTCATAACGCAATCGGAGGACCTTGAATTCAGTACAGTACTTTCTGGCGAATTCGTAGGTTTCGGGTGTTTCAGAAAATCAAATTTAGCTTCCAAGGGAAAGTATACTATGTGGCAATGTTAGTCTGACAACTACACTCCATCTTCGCACACCTCCAATGGGATTTTCAAAGCAACCTCTCAGCAGTCAAAACGCTATCAGAGACCCAGAGTAGTACAAACAAACAATTACAAGCGCACTCAATGTCGTATCAACTCTGTGACAGCAATTTACAATCTTCACCATCTCAATAGTACCCACAACACTCACTCCGAATGCGATCGGGGACCTCAAAAGGAATTCAATGTACAAATTGCAATAGGGCATCTAATATCTCACTACTTTAAATTGTACTAGACTATCGGTGTTTATCTCGTATCGGTGTACCATAACCACCGTAATTCTTATATGTGTTACATGAATGACAAAAGTCGTGGATGTATCGTGACAATACAAGTCGCTACTGTACATAGTACAACTCGGCTACTTTCGACAATACAAGTCGCATCACCTGCTGATATAAGCAGATGGAGCCGCGGGAAGTCCCACACTGCTTTCGTGTTTGTTGTGATAGAGATAGAGATAGTAATAGCTTGTACTGTTGTTGTGAAGTCTCGGCTGCTGGTGTAGCTTTTGATTTGATTTGATTTTTTGCTTGTTGACCTTGTTTGTTTTGTACATAAGTCACTGCACAATGCGGATGGTTGGAAAATTGTTGGCATTCTATTTATACGAGCAATGACGATAACGAGAGGATTCCTATGCAATATGTTGTGCTCTAGTAAGTATTCTAAAATTAATGCAAGGCTTCCTCATGTATTTAAGCCCTTCCCTAATTCAGCGGATCTAATGTGCAGGCTCCTTTACATCCTCAAAAGGCGTTTTCAACAGCTTCATCAACTCCCCAAACGCTTTAACCACATCTTCTTCCTTCGTTTCCTCCCACAACTTCAAAGTGTCCTCCCCTAGCACCCCCCCAGCCGCTTTAAAAGTATCCTCCATGCCCTCCCCCCCAAACTGCAGCTCCGGGCTCGTCTCCGCCACCCTCAACTTCATCCCCGTCAACGTCTCATTCAAATTCCTATTCGCCGACTGTCCTCCCTTAGCCCCATACGTAATGATCATCGCCGGCCTCCCAATCCACTCGTTGTGCAAATAATCAATTGCGTTTTTGATCCCGCCCGGGATGCCGTAGTTGTATTCTGGGGAAACAAAGATGTAGGCATCGTATTTGGAGATTTCGGCGGACCAGGCAACGGAGTGCGCGTGAATGAAGGAGCCTTGGGCGGGTACCTGAGCCGGAATGGCGGGTTCGTCGAAGACGGGGAGCCCAAAGCTGCCGATGTCGACGATGCTTATGGAGGGGACGGGTGTAATGTTGGAGGAGAGGATGGTCTTGTGCACGAAATTTACAACGCTGGGTCCGACGCGGATGGTGCGCGTGCTACCGATAATGAGGGCGATTTTATGGACTGCCATAATGATGGCTGGTTTGATGACTTGGATTGGAGAAGTGGAACGGATGAAAGCTTTCGATATCTGATTTTATGTCTGAATAACAAATCTCCAGGAGATACCTCCCATATTTATATTATTTGTCTCCACGCGTCCTTTTCCCTTCAACTCTTCCCGTCTCCACCACAAACCATCTACCCATCAGCACAACAGAAGATGATTACTAAAATCCAAGACGTAAACTCAACCTGCTTAGCAATGCAATCAATTCCATAGCAATACAATACCAACCCCATTCTTACCATAACTTTTCAATCTCATTTCACCCTGTATTCCTTACCAAATCACCAGCCAGAAGTACCACCGCAAACTCAGTACAAAATCCCTACTTACAGTACTCGTATATATCAGGGGGCAAACTAGACCGGTCATCCCAAATACCCGAGTCTCTGATCCAGTTTTGAGCGCGAGCCGCAGGGATGGACCAATGATAGAGGTTTCCGCGCCGCGTTCATGGAAAATGTTTACATGTATTTATACTCGAGTATACTGGTATATAATTGGGTACTTCTGCGCCGGGAGTCTTGGTTGGTTGGTCGGCGAGGCGGGATTGCGTATTTGGAATGATATTATATCGAGGGGCTGGGATTGAGGTTGAGATTATTATGTACATATGTGGTATGGATCTCGCTCTCCTGGTTGTGTCACGGTTGGTTATATATGGATGGATATACTCGAGTACATAAATAGGCATGGAGCTTATAAGGTACTCGGTATCGAGCTTTCTCCAAAATGTTTGAATGTTGAGGATAATGACTAGTGTGTTGTTCAAGTGAGATCATGTATGGGCATTTTGTCTGGATGTTGAGTTCTGGAATTATTGTATGGAGTAGAGAGGAGGGTAGGGATCGGATTCAGGGGAGTGGAATAAGCTTTGAAGTCGAGGGTTTTTGGGAAACCCAAAGAATCTCGTTTGCTAGACTGAGGTGAAACAGGTCGTCCTTTCAACCTTCCAAGATGAAGATTTTCCTATCACTAAAGTTACAAATCAATGCAGCTAAGACTGGGAGACCTCGAAATTCCTTCTTCGTTCACTTCTTAATCACTGGCGGAAGCTTTTCTAAAATTGTGTGTGATGTATTGATATTATTTTGCAATGATAGCCTACTGTCTCTCGAGCATCCCTGATTAAATCTATAAAACTTCCATGTGATCATTACCCGGCCCAGATACTGCATTCGTCCTATGGATGCAACATTCAAATAATGAGCCAGCGTTCGTGGAGTCCCGCCTAGAAAGTGTTGGTGAAGAAAATGAGCATTGTCCGTTGAGTGTACAAGCCCTTCGTAAGCGCGCAATTTGGGTATGTTCGACATCCAGTAGACTCACCGACTGAAATGATGTGGTGCAAGTAATAATGGGCTTCTCAATGCCCATATATTTATATTAGTACTGAGATTCGAAAGGCGTTTAAGATCCCCTGTGCAGTTGCAAGCGGAGGCCCCCATATCCCGGTAAGAAATTCTTGTTTGGTGTTCACTTTCAATATCCCAACCATGTGATATAGCCAAACTTGACTACGGCCGGCTGGTTGTGAGGCCCTACCCTACCAGTCTTCTTCCCGTAGATTCCATGGGAGTTCGGAGTCTTTGACTTTCGCGCAAAGAAAGTAATCTTTGAATTTGCCCTGACCCGCCCCATGTCTAGAATTATCAAGGACTAACTTGTTGCGCATTGCGTGCTTTAGAAGAGATTTGACTTCCGCAGACCAAGTCGCCAGACCTTCATCATAGAGAGACCGATAATGCGATGCGATTGATGTAGAGTTCATTGCGTGGTGCTGGACTTTGTGAGCAAGACTATGTTGGCCATTCATGACCTGACGTCCCATGACTCCCAGAATACCTTGATTTGCTATGTCAAGCTTCTCGTAAATACCTGCGTAGGCGACGATGACACGCATGCGGAGCTCCTTATCTTGTTTTGATATAACGCGGTCAATCTTCCATCGGCCAGCAACATGAACCATACATTCTTTATAGAGAGTTTTATTCCTGGCTATTGAGTAATACTCCATCCAGAAATTTTGATACAGCAGGTAGGGCACCGTAAAAGTCTGCAACTTGGGTAATGTAGTCGAGATCGAAGTCTTCGGCGCCTAGTATGAACGGCTTCCCGTACATACAATCGATCATGCTTTTGACAGCAAAGTACCAAATGAAGCTTTCAGTCTCGACGGGCTTGACACCTCTGGCCTTGACCTGACAATCGGCTTGTTAGCCATGAGCTGCACTCAAACAACCGAGTCACCAAGCACTTGATGTAGTTGGTCTAAGAAAGATGACCAAAATTGATTGGGAGTAACTAACCTTAAATGCGACTTCGAGACTTGGCACGTCATCCTGAATGGTGACATACTGATATTTGAAATTCGGATCGTATGGAGTGGCATATTTGTCTGCTGAATCGAGGAATTTCCTGAAATAAGCTGAACCAATCTTTAATATCAATGAATGGCAATGAATCTCAGAGTTAAAGACTCGGAGATTGACATCGACTTGATGCCCGAGTAACTTGTAGAAAATGGCGTCCGAATCGTTGAATGCCATTATGGAATGGATGAAATCAACTTTGTGAGATGATAGGGAAAGAAAACTTAGTCTTGGGAAAGGCCCATTCTTATTCTAATCGTCACTCAGAAAAGGCAGAAGCGTACCTCTACGAGCGAGACGAGGGAACGAGGAAACATCGAGAAATCGAGAAGACCTCCGAATAGGGAAGGCCATTTGAAAGGAAATTGATACCTGTATTCAAAAGTTTCATTGCACTTTCGATATACTTTCGAGTGCAAACGCGTGTCTTCCCAGCAAACCAATGGCCATATTGCAAGATGCAATTACTGAATTGAAATCTTACAATCTAATGGCTTAGTTTCCAATTAATTGCCAATTATTGGTATCATCTATTGAAGCAAATTTTATACAGGTAGCCTGAATCTCTGTGGTACATTGAATGAGTTCCGGCGGTAGAGCCGCGCGCCAAGCTACGTCGACACGTGATTAAAATTAAGCAGCAGAAATTCTCGCTTATTCTAGCTTTCACACTAGCTTCTCGCACCGTTCTTTGATTTTTGTAAAAGTTTTAGTTCGAAATTCTTTAAACTCTCACGACAAATTCTACGACGACAACGATTGTACTGGTGAAATTTCGAATCATCAGGTCAGTATTCTACCATTATATCAATTCTACTAGCATTGCGATCGAGTATCAAGAACGGAAATGAAATCAGAATACGCGGTGGAAAAGATTGTCGAGAAAAAGGATTGGGAATAGTTGCGCAGTGGATATTTCTAGATGGATGGACTTCAAAATCTTCTTCGATCAACTGCAAACCATACCAATACCTACTTCGCACATCTCAGGCAATCTGCCACCGCACAACTGGTCGCGCATTCAGTTCTTTAATACGACATTTTCAAGTGCCTACACGAGGGTCAACTTCATTCCTACTTTGGTTCAAATTTGGCTAATCATTCTTTCATACCGCAGAATTAGCAATCATGGGTATCAGCCGTGACAGCAGACATAAGCGCTCCGCCTCTGGCGCCAAGCGATCCCATTACCGTGCGTAGTAGATAGCCCATATATCTTCAATGATATATGTTCCAACCTGAAAACTAAGACTTTTACAGGGAAGAAGCGCGCTTTCGAAGCCGGAAGACAAGAAGCAGGTACCCGTATCGGAGCCAAGAGAATCCATCTTGTCCGTACCCGTGGTGGTAACCGCAAGTTCCGTGCTCTCCGTCTCGAAGCCGGTAACTTCTCATGGGCCTCTGAGGGTGTAGCCCGCAAGGTCCGTGTGATCGTTGTCGCTTTCCATCCTTCCAACAACGAGTTGGTCCGAACCAACACCCTCACCAGATCCGCCGTTGTTCAAGTCGATGCTGCTCCATTCAGACAATGGTATGAGGCACACTACGGTCAAAACTTGGGCCGAAGACGTCAACAAAAGGCAGGTCAAGCAGTTGAGGAGCCAGACACCAAGAAGAGCAAGTCCGTCGAGAAGAAGCACCACGAGAGATTCACTGCCGCTGGAAAGGTTGACCCTGCCTTAGAGAAGCAATTCGAGGCTGGTCGTCTCTACGCTGTAGTTGCATCCAGACCTGGACAAAGTGGACGTGTTGATGGTTATATTTTGGAGGGTGAAGAGTTATCTTTCTACCAACGCCAATTGAGAAAGTAGATCATCTTCTATGGGATTTGGGATTGGTTGTATTACATTGGGATTCACGGCATGGAGTTCCTGATATGGAATCATGTGAAAACTGGTTCTCTTCAATAGGCTATGATGAATTCAAAAGCAAATAAGAATACTCTCCCGTTGCCATTTGTTAGTATGTTCATGATTATGATTATGAGTACGAGTTTTGTGTTGTGTGATGTCGACTTATATCGTTCTCGCCCTTCGCCAATATACTGGATTGATTGTGACCATTTCTTCAATCACAAACCTAATGATATTCGAAGCAATCTAGCGGGATTGAAAAGCTGGGGAATTCCTAATGATCGACCAATACATGACTTGGCTTTTGGACCCCTTGTGTATTGTAACCCTTGTATCTCACCCCGCGTTTCTTATCAACCTCGTGATGGTTCGTCGCTATCTACTTTCAATCTCCTTCATCCATCTTCAACAGATAAATCCACTACTTGAGAACATTTCTCTTCTTTGCATATGCAAATAGCGGTTCATCAATCTGCTATCTCTATCGTGTAAAATCAACTGATAAGTAATGTACAAATCTACAACTTGATATTCTACATTATACCGCTTATCTTCACTCACTCGTGGCATCACATTCTTTATCATAATTGAACCCAACGACCCCTTTATAGAAACGACCAGCGGTCCTCACATTATAATGTCTACCTCCTCTCTCGCACCACCACAACCTGATATCGCTGGTCCTTCCTCCACTTCCTCCCAATCTCACTCTCATCCAATCTCCGCATCCACATCCGCATCCCCCTCCGCATCGTCTCACTCCAACTCTCATTCTCACTCCCAATCCCACAACACAAAGCCCCCCTCGACCTCCACTGCCTCCCCCCTGCCACCTCTCCCTCCCTCCCCCGAAACCACCCGCCAAATAGCCGAAGCGCGCACCGTCCTCAACGCCTCGATCCAAAACATATTCACGCCCCACGAACACGCACTCAAATTGCGCGCTCAAAATTTACATCAAAATAGTAGTGCGTTGACCAAACAGGAAAATGAATTGAAAAAGGAAATTGGAAAGTTGGGGAAAGAAGGAGATAAATTGGAAAAGGTTGTTAGGGAGGGACAGAAGAGAGTGAAGGAGTTGGGGAATGTGCAGAATTGGGCGGAGGTGTTGGAGAGGGACTTTTTGGTCGTGGGGGAGGTATTGAGGTTGGTGGGGGTGGGAGGGAGTGAGGGGGATGAGAGTGAAGGGTGGAGTGGGAGCGAGGGTGAGAGTGAGGGTGAGAGTGAGTGGAGTGGGGATGGAGGGAATGGGGGAGAGGGAGGTGGGAGGTTAGATGGAAAGGCTCGAGCTGATATCGATACGCATATGCGGGATGCGAATATAAGTGAAGATACCCCCATACACGACACAAATGGCATACATTCAAATGGTAATGGAAAGGGCAAAGAAAAAGAAAACGAAGGAGAACGAGAAAGTGCGGAACACATGGAAGCTATGGATACGGAGGAATCATCCATTTCAACCAATATATCGAATTCCGAACCTTCATCTAGCTCTATTCGTACTTCGAATTCTGGGATGAGTTGAGTTGAGTTTGGCTGGGTCAGATTGAGATGTTTTGTATGATGGGATTTATGAAGTATTAGTTGGGTTAGAGATGTGATTTGAACGGAGCAAAATACAGAGGAGTTCTGGAAGATTATGGGGTTGTTTTATACCCTGTGTATGTGGGAGGATATCTGGTTCCGAAACATGCATCACAAAACAAGTGTTTTGGGTTTCCACATTTGGACGTGCTGGTAGAGAAGCTTCTGAACAAGACCTTCAACTTAATTTCGGGTATCAGAACACAACGTTCTCGCGGCTTTTTTTTGAGGAATTATCTACCTCATGATTTACACTTGTCACGAAATACATCATATCATTATTCCCCCATCCCATCTCATCCATATCACTACCTCCACTTCTTCTCCCCTACAAAACCTCAAAAGCATCATAAATCACCCTATCCCCATTCCGCCCACTACTCGCCACCCCCACCACACGATTCAACCACCCATATTTCCCCATCGCATCACACTCAAACGTCATATTCAACCGCATCCGATATTCTGCCGCTCCATATCGATCTTCGTGCCCCAATCCCTCCAGTATCTCGCGTTTTCCGGTGCGTACTCCGGTCGTGCGCAGGTAGATGCAGTGGTTGTCGTGGGTGAGGAGATTGTAGCGGGTGTCGAGGTGGGCGGTTTGGGTTTCTGAGGGGGTGGTGGAGGTAGAGGGTGGATAAGAGGGCGTGTTTTGGATGGTTTCCCAGTCGCCGCCGCCGGGGAGGATGGTGCCGCGGAGGTGGGGTCCTTCGAATCGTCCGCCTGGAGTGGATGGGGTTAGTGGGGTGGTGCGTGTTTGGAGATGAGGGATGGATGTAGGAGGGAAAGGAAGGAAAGGAATGAAGGAAGGACGAGCCTTTAAAAATAACAGTAGCGCGATTTCCATGACCTCCATCACCAATAGGGTAGAAAGTCTCCATGTCGCATTCGAGATGAAATAGGAATTGGAGGGAGGGAGCTGGGAGAGTGTATTCGGGTTTGGACCCTGTGGGTAAAAGGTCAGCTTGAGTTTTACTCGAGATATATGTATGCGAGTGTTTGTGAAGGTGACAGGAGGTGGAAATCGAGGAGAATGAGAGGGATTGAGATTGAGATTGGGAAAGGGATACTAGTAGGCGAATCATGTATGTCTTACATTCGGTATTCGTCAAAGTAGATATATGATGAGCTGTTTCTACCTCGCCGGCTTTTACTCGTCTTTCTTTGTCGTCGGGTGGCATTGTTTCTGGGGTAGATAGTTTTCTCAACTCCTAGATCGTCTAAGAGTAATAAGACGGGGATTTCTTGTATTGGATGTTGTTTGTTCATGTATATGTACTCGAGTATATGTATAAGATTGATTGATTGATTGATTGTTTATGAATTATAGGAGGAATTGGTGCTCAAGTTACTGGTACAGGCTATTCGTACAGATGAAGCTTGACGAGACACTTGGAATAATAATGACGTATATAAAGATAGATACTCGAGCAGATAGATAGATGATCCACTTTATGTAGTCTAGACTCTAGATCCTATATCCCTTAGTATATTAATAGTATACCGGTACATACCTAGTATACCGGTAGAGCATCGGGACTTGGATATGTCACCCTTAAAAGGGAACTAGCGTTACGGGCTGAGACTTGAGAGATACTGTAGTACAAGTAGTGTGGGAATTGGAGTTGGACGGAAGTATATCGAAATACTCGTGGTAAGTATAAGATTAATTGTGATTGATATTTATAAATTTTATTACTATTGAGTACTCGAGTATATGTTTATTAGTGAAAGATACAATGACTTGGTAGATGTAATAGGTGAATAGAACTAATGATGAAAAATATCTTTTCAATGTTCACTGGCTTTAAATTGGATTTTTGGTTCAATTGTACGAGGAAATAATAGTAGAGTGGTATTGTCACGGTCTGTACTATACCCATAGCTAATAGTTATGTTCCCAATTTTCAAACTATATTATCTATATATTGTTAATACTCATAGCAATTTTAGAAAGAGAATAGATGGATTCTCTTGGAAGCAAAAGGGTATATGTATCTATCTGAGTAAGGTGATCAAAATTAATATTTATACCTAGGTAGATTCATCTCTATATTCTATTCAGTTTATATAATTAGTAATTAACATTCCAGTACTAATCAGATAACAATTATTTTAAAAGAAGCAATCAGTAAATAGATTTATTTATAAACCTATATTTGAATATCGCAATTGCGGTTACTCATTCCCTATTTCGTTTTCGCTTGCGAAGAGCGAGGGGAAAGGAGAAAAGGGAGGGAACAAAATTAGATAGATATGAGTATCTGCAGGATATTACCAGTTAATTTTGATTCATGTTCAATACTGAAACCGTTC